TGGGCATTTAAAAGTTTCACTATGTTCCCAAGATCTTATCAACTTCGGGCCACTATATCTTTACTCCTCTACAAGGGCATCAAATATTCGACGTAATCCTAACTTTCTGTTCAAATTAAAGGCAATTAAGTTGTTAAAACCCGCCTTTTTATCAAATAATTTGCCTATTGCAGTTGCTGTTTGTTTTCGATTACAAGTAAAATGTTTAACACAAAATCCAATTATGAGAGACCGTACAGTCAACCACGGAGCACTTTAGTGCCTAGCTATCTATATAGTCGAGATTTTGGCACTAGCTTCCACCGTGTCGCCTTCCATTTGTGGCAAAGAGTCGGGCTACGTGCCGTCTGACTTTCGAGCCGTGTCGCCTCCTGCTCTGCTCTGCTCCGCCGGCGCCAGCTCCATGCCGTTGTCTGTGGTCCGTATTAAGCGCACATAAGCTGCACGTAAAACCCTTTTTTGTGAAGGACTCACGGTCACTGTGTGCGTGTGTGTGTGTGTGTGTGTGTGTGTGTGCGCGTACCTACGTTTAATACAAATTTGCCAGTTGTGTGTACTCCCAAAAGCCAATTACGTGCTCAAATGCATGCCGGAAATGAGAAAGAGAGGGAGAGAGACAGCAGCTGGAGAAATGGAGCGGACATATAGAGAGAGCAAAAGGGGGGGGGGGGGGGGGTAGGGATTATGCGTGCCCATAACATTTATAAGATCACGTGCTCAATTATTAAGCCACTAAATAAATAAATAGCGACATTCGGACACGTGCCGTGACCGTAAGGACAATGAAATTGAGGCCCGGAGAGGCCCAACCATGCTGTGGGCCACACATAATATACTTCCCTGGCACCCACAGCAGGGAACGGCGCGGGGCGGCGGGCGAGGCGAGGCGCTGGGCGGCACAGCACGGCGCGGCGCTTAAATTTAGTTGGACTCATTACTCATACGCAGCGTTGGATATATTACGTATACGCAGCGAGATAAATCGTTCGCTTGGTATCAAGCAAATTAATTAATCAGCGCCAGCAAAAATGCGAGAAAAAAGAAAAAATAGCACAAATGTGTTTTCCCCTAGCTTTAAATACCCTGTGCGGACAGAATGGGCAGAAAATTGTATATATTGTGTCTTGGGTTGGGAATATGTGTGCTTAATGCCCAAAGTATGCCACTTCGCATATAATATTATTTATAATTATTAAGTATAGGGTATCTACTGACTCCAGCATTGTTCGCTGCCTCAGCTGCTGCTTTTCGGGGCAAGCACACGACCTCGTTTGTTTGGGTGATAAAAATCGCGCAATTAGCCGGCGTTGATTTTCGCACAGGACATGCATCTTTGATATATGACGAACCGCTTGCGGGGCCCCAACTTGGGTACGCTCTCTCTCACTCTCTCACTCTCCCCCCCCCCCTTTCTCTGTGGGATCTATGGAACTAGAGCAGTCTAATTTACTTGGGAATATAATTCAGTTGGGAGTCCGAGCGTTTAAGCGAAGGTGCAAATTAAATCAACATGCATATCCGTTTGACACCGTTTCGTAAATCACCCCGGAATAAACAAGTGGGGAGTTGAGAGAGTCGAGAGAGAGAGAGAGAGAGAGAGAGGGAGAGAGAGATTGGAAAAAGGGGCGCATATTGCAAATGACCAAAAAACCAGCAACAACAGCAAAAATGTTGCTTTTGCTTTGTGTATGTCTGTGTGTGTGTGTTTGTGTGTGTCGCTAACCTTGTTTAAAACTGGAGCGCATATATGCCAAAACATGGAGCACGGCTTCAGGTGGGCCACAACACACATAAAGCACATTGGAGCGAGTCCAACAATAAAATAAGTGAAAACATTTTTGTTTTTCAAATTTCTCTTCTATAAAGTGCTCCACACACGGGAATGCATCGCAATCTGTGCGGTGCTTTGATGGGGATTCCCAGACAAGGAAACAGCATTAGCATTATGTGAGCTCAGAGAAAACGACAGCTAGCATATAGAAAATGCTCGTATAACAGCAATAACTCCTTTTGGCTTATTCCGACTGCAACTAACTGAGCAGATTGAGTGTTGGCTTATGGGCACTTTAAGTTTAGACGGATACTTTACGCACTTGCATAGAAATCAGGTGTAAATTGTTAAATGCAAGTAGGTGTAGATAAGGCTTAATAACATAAAGTATAGTAGAATGAAAAGGTTAATTTAGAAACTATGAAATATAAACATAAAAACAAAAAGCTTTGTCTGCATTTAAATAAATATTTTATTAGCATTAAATTATGGAAAGCAGCACAAATTCAAAAAGAAAGTTTTCCTGCATAGACTTCAATTATTATATATAAATTCTTTAAATTTCTTTCCCATCTTTGAATATAAAGTTTGTCTCTGTCATAAAAAAATTGGCAAAATATTTGGAATACAAACAACAGTTGTTTATGAACTTGACGCAAATATTATTAGCTATATAACAAAAATGAATATAATACTAAAGAAAATAGAACACAATAACAATGGCAAAATTCTTGTCAGCTCGACCAAATTCCAGACAGAATAAATAAAAAGATACAAGTACAAGCATTTAAATAAATAAAAAATATATATGTACAAGCATTTAAATGAATATTTCGACGAATTTCTAAGTTTTATGAATTCTCTCTGGCACAGCTATACACACAGCTAATATGCTCTGGTTTAATTGTTTTGTGTGCTTTAAAAAATAGTTAATGCCACATAATCCAAAGCCGAAATGTGCGAGGAGGAAGGGAGGGGAGTGCGGGACCGTCAGCAAAATGAATGTTTCGCAAAAATAATGCAGTTCGCTCACTTAGCTGCCGCAGAGTCTGACAGTCGCTTAAATAAAAGATTTTTTTTTAATTAAAAATATTTCACCTGCACAAAGCGACGACACAATTTTCCTCTTTGCGCTCGCACATAAATAAATGCAGCCACGCACACGGCAACGGCAGCAACAACAACGGCAACAACAGCAGCAGCAGAGAACAGCCAAAAACAACAACGTAAACAAAAACAATAAAAAAGAGCAGCGCGGCAAAAATGAGAACAGGAACAGCAATTTAAAATACAAAGACACGAGCCAGATGAACGAATGAGGGGGGAGAGTGGGGGTGAGCCACAGGGGAGCGGTGGGCGTTGGGCTGGAGGTGTTGCCACTTGCCACTTGCCCAGCTGCCCATTTGCCAGTGGGTCAAATGAAAATGAGCCGTGGGCGTGAATATAAATAAATGAGCGAGGCGACAAAGGAAAAGGGCGCAAGGCAATAATTAAACCGATACGCAAACAATTAAACGCTAGATGGCGCTCCAGGTGTTCACCGCAACTGACAGCAAAAACAGTGCAAAAGGCAAGCGAAAGAGAGACAGAAAGCAAGCAAAGCTCACTGAAATTAACCCACGACTTTAAAAACATTCGTTTAACAAGAAGAAAAACAACAACAACAGCCACATAAATGATGGACACAGCTTAAAGCAAGTGACAACACCAAAAGGAAGACAGCGACAGCAGCAACAACAACAATGACAACCACATGCTGTGCGTGTGGGCGTGATTGTGGGTGTGGGTGTGGCTGTGCGCTGGTCGCTAACAAATTTTTGAGAGATGACCAAAACGGCAGCTAAATTGTGTGCCATCAGTTGTGGAACAGTTGACTCCTACAGCGGGTGGGCAAAAATGAACGCATCAGCTACGTAAATACTTTATCTACGTTCAACTGTGGAGAGGGGGGGAGGGGGTTGGTCTCTCGTCAGTGTTGGAAGTCGAAGTCAGCAAGTGTAACAGTGACAAATTTGTGAGCTATTGTCGTCTCCTCCCTAATCCGCATTGAACAGCCAGACAGACAGAGACTGAGAGCAGGAGAGAGCGAGAGAGAGAGCTTATTTTGTGCCATACTCTTTGGTTCTCATTCTGAAATTGTTCGAGCTGCTCAACAACAGTTACTTATAGCATTGAGTTCATTAGCATAAATGCATTTTACAGCCCATGCAACAAAGGGTCAGTCACGTTAATCATTTCTCTGTCTTCTCTCCTAATGAGAGGGCATCTCAAAGGGTATGTCATAGTCAATTACAGCTTCCTGCTCATGTAAATTATTAGCTTGTAAAGCCTGATAATTTATTCATTATTCCAAGGAGCAAGCAATTCATTTAGGTGTATTTGAAATGCATATTTCTGGCAAATGTTTTTTCTAAATTGTTGTTTGGACTCAAAAAATTGCTTATGTCGCAGAAAATTTTGCACAATTATCAGTGTGAAATAACAAAAAAAAAAAAACCAAATTGTTTATTCAATAAACACAATATAAAGTGGGTGAAAATTGCCAACGTTCATTGTTTATCGCCAATGGGGTTCTTGAATTTGTTTATAAGTATTTAGCCATTCAAGTTTATAAACAATCTTACTTTATAATATGGAAATATGTGTGCATAATCTCGAAATAATTGCTTTGGGAATTGCGCTTAATATATTTTGAAATATTTATTCTTCATATTTATTATCTTTTGCCATTTAAATTTGCATCTTTTATTATCTCTGCAATAATGTTTCATTTGATAGACATTTAAAGCATTTCATATGCAAAAGCCATAGCTTACAAATTGTAATTATGTTTCGATAGTCCTTGATATTTTCTGCTCTCTGCTTCACTGACACAGGGGGAGGGAGGGGGGGGGGGGGGTATGTGGGGGGTACATGCGTTTCGAGAGGGTCGAAATAAGCGAAAGCAAGGAAATTGCGATGCAATTTTCATTTATGAGTTCGCCTGCTGCAGCCGCCTGTCCATCAATACAAAGGAGCACATCCGCTGGCCGAAACTGTGTATGTGCTCCATAGGCAGCTCCCAGTTCTGCCTCAATTTGCGGCAAGCAACAGCAGGAACAACAACTTTATCGAGCTGCCAAAAAAGCAAGGCAAGCCAGAGTCGTACATCAGGGCGTATGCGTGTTATCTGTGGTCAGGCGAGCCGGCAGCCTTTGTGTGTGGAACACATCTTCGGCCTTGCCGGCAGCCTGCCTCTTGTCGTCCTGTGGCATGCTTGTGCGTGCGTTGGCTTCTTAAGTTGTTAATATTGCTGCTGGCTCCTCAGCTCTAGATTTATGCAGCACCAAAATATAGTATAAGCCAAGCGCAAATAATTTATGGAATAAAGGCATTAAGATAGAGGATAAAAAACGGTCAACAAGGACCGCAAAAAAAAAAAGAAGAAAATAAAAAGAAACGTCTAAAACTCTTCAAGCTTAATTCAAACTAAGTGGCCCAACATCAAGGCAAGTGACGACGATGAGGATGACGATGACGACTGCTGGCGATGATGACCTGAAGGGCGTTGGGGCAAACAGACGCAAGCGGGACGCGCAAAAATGAATGGCTCTCGACAGGCGCAATGTGCAACATGAGTCCTACACCAGCAACAGCTACAACAACAACAACAACAGCGAAAGCGACAGAAACAGCGCCAAGTGGGCCAAGCCACAACAGGCGCCACAAGCACCTTCAGACGGGTGGCGATGGGCGGTTGGGGGGGTGTGGTTCGGATCGGGTCTCGAGACCAAAGACCCTCTAATGGCACAGTGGCAAGGAAGCTAAGCAGAGCTGCATATTTTTTACAAGGATAAAACGTTTAAGCAATTTTTACTCTTGTTATAAATCGAGCCTCATTACTCTCATAACTGAGCTGCAAAATCTTGATGCTCTTTATAATCGTTATATAATACAACTACCAACAAAGGCACGATATGCCTGTCTGTGTTAGCTGTTTGAGCGTTGAACTAACAGACTAAAGGTCGCCGGTTCAAATGCAGCAACAAAAGATAAGTATGCAAAAAAAAGTATGATGGTACATCTGCAAGTGTATTTAAGCTTCGATGTGCCGAATAAAGCTGTTCTTTCAACTTAATTCTAATCAAGTTCTAGAATGTTTTCTAGGCTTATTTCACGCCCTACTTCTCCCAGCCTGTAGGTCAAATCTTTCCCAAGGAAAACTTCTATAAAAAGTTTAGCTTTTCACCTTCAGATGTTTAGGCTATGTTTCGTCAGTCAATCAATCAATCAATCAGTCAGCCAGTCACACAGATTGATTGTGTTTATCAATCAAATTTGACTCTCATATCTTTGGGTTCTTTATCGTTTACACTATCGAACAGGACTCCTTCTCTGGTGGAAGCCCTTAAATATTCTAATGCAATTTGTCTTGCATCTTTTTTACTTTACATTTTACTTAGCTTAACTTAACTATCAGAGACTTCTAATTATTTGCCGCCAACTCTTATTCCATTTTGTTAAATCTTAAATAATTCTTTAGAAATATGTAATTCGATATGGGGAAACTTAAAGAGCAGCACCTCCTCACACTGTTAGCCACTGTGAAAGTGGGCTGGCATGGGTAATGTGTTTTGTGGGTGGCTCTGGGCAGAGGTTGGTGGCATACGAGTGTTGCATGCCTCTCGTGCTCTCGAGGGCAGCGAATTATGTGCTTGCATTGAGTGCATTAGCACCCGGCTTGGCTAGGGAATGGCAAGCGCAATGAGAATGAAAATGAGAGCAGGAAAATGATGCGGTGATGAAGATTGGTAGGATGAGGATGTGAGGTTAAGGATGTTAGTTTTAAGCGTTTGCCCAAGAGGCGCATGTGGCATGTGGCATGTGGCATGTGGCGAGGCCAAAGCAACCAAAGGCCCATTGTTATTGTTGCATTCGTTGGGGCCAAACCCAAAAAACTGTGCCACAGCAATGCAGGGCAACGTAAATTATAGTTCTTTGTTGTTGCGCCTGCTGTGTGTGCCCCGAAAAAAAAAACAAAAAAAAACAAAAAAAAAGAAATGAAATCAAAATCAAATAAAACGAGCGCACGTGAGTCAAGCTGGATTCCAAGCGAGCTCTGGGGACGGACCTGCCACACAAACTGGAGCTGTGGATGTAGCTAAAGCTGATGGCTGGCCATGCAAATTAAATTCGAGTGCTGATTGTCTTCCTCCTCTTCTTTTTGGTTAACAAAAGAAATCAGAGAGAGAGAGAGAGAGAGAGAGAGAGAGAGAGAGCGAGCGAAAAGGGTCACAGGTGCGCTTTGTGCCAATTTGAGTTTGTTTTGGGTTTAACGGGCAACTTTTACGTGAACGCAACAAACCACACAATGCCGCAAAATGCACGAGCCAAGGGACCCAACATGCCACATGCGGCACACACAAACGAGCTGAATGAGAAAATCATAAGCACTTGCACCCCGTTCCCAGGGGAGATACAACTGATTTTGAAATGAGTTCAGCTATGCAACGATCAAATGGCAAAAATAGTTAGCCAAGTGTATGAAAAAATGCTGCACGGTTAATTAAACATTCCAAATTGTGCAGGATAATTGCTTGTACTTGGCATAACCTGCAGGCAATAAGAAGAAGAAGACAAGCAGGATGGGAGGACAATGTGTATTATGTAATGTAGAAGATAAGCCATGCTCAGGTCTGCATGGCCTTAACATCTTTTGGTATTTATATATAAATAAATATGTACTTACCCGAAAATTCCTGCACAAGCACGTTTAGTTTATTGACACCTTCTTGTGGGAGGGAGACGGTCTTTAATGTGTACACATTCCTGAAAAAATAGAAAAGCGGATTACAGTAAGCTGGCATTTAAAATGGGAAAATAGAGATAAAGAGAAGGAGAGAGATAGATAAAGAGAGAGAGAGAGAGAGAGAGCGAGATAGATAAAGAAAGAGAGAGTGAGGTAACACTATAAGCAAAGCAAACCTGCAGCGCTTACTTGAATTCATGAGAATCGCATAGAAGGGCATTATATATTATTTGTTTTTAAAACAAACGTTTTTTTTTTAAACTTCATTTACTATCAAGGCATATTAACCTGCAAGAGCTTCATAAATTAATGAGAATCGTGTAGAAGGGCAACCTTGAAAAGAAGCACAAGCTTCCTATGATTTGTTATCAATATGGAATATCAGCAAGGGTACGCACTAGTCGGCTCCCGACTTGTTTTTTCTTTCATTTTGCTTTATTTCTGTAACAGTTTTTAAAAGCAGATTAAATCTAAAATTATTCCCAAGCACATCTAAGTGCAGCTTTTATGTATATTCATGAAGTTTATGCACTGCAGCTACATAAACTCATAAATCCTTCGACACACGCATTTTACTGATTATTTAAGGACTTACACAGTTAGCCAAATGAGAGAGCATAGCAAATGAGCAACTCACAGTGGAGTTGGCAGCTGAGAATTGAAAGTTGTTTAAGGTGCTTTTTAGCTGTTATTTAAAAATGCCCTTTGCCAGCAACCACAGAGTGCCACAAAGTGGGGCAGGGCAGGGCAGGAGACCGTCTTCAATTGAAGCTCCCAACTCAAACAAACTCAACCCGATGGCTGGACGACATGCACCGAGTGCCGTTGCCCAACTTAGTTTGGCTATCGAACCAGCCAGCGGAAGCCAAGGACATACCGACACACACACAAACACACACACACAGGCACACATTATTCACACACTTCGATGCACCCAAAAAAAAAAAAAAAAATAGCAGGGAAATGTATCTAGTTTGTCCGTTTGTGCGTTAGTTGATAGCTGTTCCATTAGCACAATTGCCACGACTGTTGCTTTAGCTACTCAACCCCCTGCACCACCCCTTGGTGGCCACTCTGGTGGCAGCATCAATTTATCTTGCTTACTTGGAAAATTGTATCATGCAATTGGATTTTGGCCTTATGCATTTTAGTTTTCTATTAAACAGTTAAACCTTACCATAGCTAAGGAGGCACTTTCCTAGAACCAACAAAACAAAAAATAAACATTTCCAAATACTCTAGCCCGACGTGCTTGATAGGGCAATACCCTGGAAATGCATCTGATTGACTGACTGTTTGATTGACTGACTGTTTGATTGACTGACTGACTATCTGACCGACTGGCAGATTGACTAACTGATTAAGTGACTGACTGATTGACTGATTGACGAACTGATTGAGTAACTGACTGATTGATTGACTGACTGATTGACTGACTGACTGACAGATTGACTTACTGATTGATTGATTGCCTGCCTGACTGATTGACTGACCGCCTGATTGTCTAACTGATTGAGTGACTGACTGATTGATTGACTGACTGACTAACTGACTGATTGGCAGATTGACTAACTGATTGAGTGACTGACTGATTGACTGACAGATTGACTTACTGATTGATTGACTGACTGATTGACTGACTGACTGATTAATTGACTGACTGATTAGCTGACTGGCTGACTGATTGACTGCCTGACTGATTGACTGACCGCCTGATTCACTAACTGATTGAGTGACTGACTGATTGATTGACTTACTGACTGAGTGACTGTCTGTCTAATTGACGGACTGACTGAACTAAGTGACTGGTTGAATGACTGACTGATGATCAACGCACAGCCCAAATCGTAAGAGCTACGATGTTGAAATTTTCACTGTAATTAACTTATGTGATAGAGTTTCGCGCTAAGGCAAAGTTTTGGGAAATTCCACTTGCAAGTGTGGAAAAATCAGGGAAAATGTTTGTATGAAACTTTTGTGTTTATCATCCGATTGGCCTTAAACTCATTTTCAAAGATTTTTGTTAAAAATTCATTTGAGTGCTGTCTCCCACTTTTCGGAAAATCCATCCCTTCTTGATGAAAATGCGAATTAAAAACTTGGTGGGTGACGTTTCGAGCTTAAAGTCCATTCTCAGAATTAACTCAGAGACGTGTTTTACACTTTTTTGCGAAATTCAAGCTTCCTCGGCGGAAATTGCGGATCAAAGATTATTCGTGGGAAGCTTTAAGTCTTGTTTTTTTTTTATATATTCGTATTTTAAGCATATTTATTTTGGGCTACATAAATTTGTTGTAAACTTTTCCAGGATTAACCTACGTTTTTCTCTGGTATTTTCCAGGTAGTGAAAAGCATAAAAGTATTGAAATCAAAGGTAAACACTGGAGCGAGTAAAATAACAAGGTGACAACCCTGGCCAACGGGCTGCTGCGATGAGAGCTGCAACGGCTGCAGCGTGGCTGCAACATCAACAACTGCAATCATCATAATAATAACAATAATATTATTAATAATAGTTGATGCAGCAGCGGCAGCGGCAACAGCTGCTCCGATGATTACAAAAATCCAGCCGCAAGAGACGCAACACAACAAACGAGATTCAAACTCAAAAATGCAAATTACAATTTGCATGCAAGCGAAGAAGAAGACGTACAACAACAACAACAACAACAACAGCAACAACAAGGAGAACAACAACAACACTGGGCAATCAGCAGAGTTGCCAAGCCTGTGAAAAACAAACGTGCTACCAATTCTAGAACATATCAGCAAGCGGCGACAAGATGATCAAAGGCATTCTGATACAGCGCAAAAGCCAGGAGGATGCCAGCTACGCCAAGCAGCTCAAAATGGAGCACGCCGATCTGGTGGCCGAAATGCAGACTGTCGAGAGCTTGCCAACCCACGAGAGACTCCAGCTGGCCAGACTGTAAGTAGAGATTACGTCAAATCTTAGCTAACCAATTTGAAACTCGGTTGAGTTTGAAATTTCACGGAACTCTCAAGAATTTCATTGATAAACATTTTTAAAGATTTTCAAATATGCATGCCAAGTACTTTGGTAGAACGGTCACACTTTATTTTAATTGGATGTTCACATTTGAAAGCCTTTTTAAAATAAGTAGAAACTACTCTAGTCGAGGCTGCCTTAGTTGGAGATACCCTATACCAATTTAAATTTATGTTCGCCTCTAAGCCAGGAAACCAAAGTAAATTCATTCTTAAATAACTTTTCTGTTTTTTTGTCTAAAGAGTATCAAATTTTGGGATATAAAGCTGCATAGAAAGAGATATCGATATGTATATATATTCTAAATCAAAAGACGAGTTGATATAGCCGTGCCCATCCGTCCGTCCGTCCGTCTATAACGATCCGCTACAATATATAGATCGCTCGAAAAGTAGATTTTTGTATGTTTATCAAAATATCTCGAAGAAACTCGGCATTTATTAGTCAACATCGAACCCTATATTATATAGTTGCCATAGGAACGATCGGACGAAAATAAAATGGTTATATGCGAAAATCCTTTTTGTTTTTCATGATTTTTTAAACAAAATTATGCTACTTTCATTTGAGACAAGTCTTATCTGTCATGAGAAATTCCAATTTGAATATTTCGAAATTTTAGTTTTCGAGCGGCGATTGAATCTTTTGATTTAAAATTTGTTTCCTTTTTTACCAATATTAACTGACGATTTTAAATAAAAAAAAAAAACAAAGATGAATTGAACGATGATAAAGGATAAATGAACGAGGATAAATAGACATTTATTTTATAAAGATCCTAACTAAATTTATATCAGTATATTTGTTCGGAACGTAGAGCTAATTCGTGCTGATTTATAAAAATTGTTTGCCTTCAGATCTTTGAACGAAACTTATTCCCAACACAGTTTCAAAGCAAAATAAAATCGACTCACATATTTGTTTAACCTGCTAAAAAGCGATAAAAAAAAAAACACAGATGTTCAAACTGTTTTCAATTAATTTTCGCCAAGAACTAGAATTCGAAATGGTGCGTACTTTGACGACGATTCACGTGTGAGCCAAAGTCAATTTAGCCCAAGGCCAAAGACTTCGAGTTGTTGCAGGCAATTAAAATTACGAGTCACGCACATTTGAATGCAGCTTTTTGTCTACCAACAATTAAATTCTCGTTTCATTTAAGACATCTTCTTGTTATTTAAACTTGTGCGCCCGTAAAGTTGGCCATAAGAAATGAAAAGTTCTAAGCCAAGTTTTGATTGGTTTTAACTAAGTTGGAAAGAAAGTATGTAGTTGTAATCATATAAGAGCAAGTAAATATTGTATAGAGTACATCTGGAAATGTGCTTAAATAGAGCTTAAAGAAACTGGCAAAAGTTTTCAACTAAACTCTCTTTCCCTCCCTGACTTAGACGACGTGCTCAGCAGCTGAAGCTGGCCCGCCAGAAGGAGAAGGAATGGCTGAAACTGCAACGGGTCAAGGGTCAAACAGGCAGCGGCGGTGGCGGCAGCGGCAGCGGCGGCGGCGGCACAGTTAGCAGCATATTAAACGGCGCCGCTGGCGATACCACGCATCATTTCCGGCATGCCAACGGCTCGGGCACCCTGAGCGGCAGGCGGCATATATCGTTTGAGAACAGCGTGGTGCTATTGGAGGCCGCCTCCCGGAACGATATGCCCGAGGTGGCTGCCCTGCTGCAGCACGGCATTACGCCGGATGCGGCCAACGAGGATGGACTGACGGCGCTGCATCAGTGCTGCATCGATAACAATGTGGACATGCTGCGGCTGCTGCTCGACTATGGGGCCAATGTGGATGCGCAGGACAGTGATAAATGGACGCCGCTGCATGCGGCGGCTACCTGCGGCCATTTGGAGCTGGTGCGCATACTCATCCGGCACAATGCCAATCTGTTGGCGGTCAATACGGACGGCAATATGCCGTACGATTTGTGCGACGATGAGAATACCCTCGACTTTATTGAGGGCGAGATGGCGCAGCGTGGCGTCACCCAGGAGCTAATCGATGAGACGCGCTCCTCCACGGAACGTGTCATGCTCAAGGATCTAATGGAGCTGGCGCGCACCGGTGCTGATCTCGAGGAGCCGGACTATCAAGGCGCCACACCGGTAAGTCACACACACACACACACACCACATTTGTTGTGCACAACTAATCTCTCTCCTCTCTCTTGCTTGCAGCTGCACATAGCTTCTGCCAATGGTTATGTGCGCGTGGTGGAGTTTCTGCTGGAGCAGCATGTCAATGTGGATGCCATGGACAAGGATCTGTGGACGCCAGTGCATGCGGCAGCATGTTGGGGTCACGTAAGTAAACCCTATATCCATTGCACCCAAAGAGCCTGTCCTCACTCTCAGACTCCCCCACAGCTCGAAGTTCTGGAGATGTTGGCGCAATGCGGCGCTGATTTGAATGTGCGCAACAAGGACGACGAAACGCCTTCAGGTGAGTCCACTAAAAAAACTCCACAATAATCTTGTGTACACGACAATACTGCATCCTTTATAGATATCTGCGAGGATCCGGAGATACGTGAACGCATCGAGCAGCTGAAAACGGAGCAGGAGAGCAAACGACTGGCGGAGGCGCAACGAAGGCGCGTTCGGCGCTCACAGAGCAACAATACCAGGTGGCTAACCACAGATCCGAGCTCCAATTCACATCTAATCCCGACTCTCTCTCTCTCTCTCTCTCTCGTCTGTGCAGAGCCCAATCGGTGCGTCGCACCAGCCTGCGCGACAAAACGCTTACAACCAAAAAGGATGCCGTGGAAGAGGCTCGTCTGCGTCTGCAGGCGCAGGAGGCCACGGACACGAACTCCACAACAGCGTCGGCGGCCGCCGAGCTGCCCAATGGCTATGCCTATCACACGACCAGCAGCAGCGGCGGCAACAACAACATCAGCAGCAACAGCAACAGCAGCAGCAGCAGCAACAACAACAACAACAACAACAATGCCGATAAACGCCCCTCCACGGGCAGCCTGAGCAGCCAATTGCTGTCACACTCCAAATCCGCGGATGCGGTGGACAATATAACGCTCACAACGACACATTCCTATCTGCCGCGCCGTCCGCCCGACGGTCGCGAGAACGACGAACAGCTGCTGCTCAAGGCTGGCGATGACGGCGCCGGCGCCGGCATTGGTGAGCTGCAACGTGCCACCTCTGCCGCAGCCGTCATACTGACTGACAAGGGCACCGCCGCCAGCGCGGAGGCGCTGCAGATTCAATCATCCAAGGCGGCGGCCGGCAATGGCAAGATCAACGTGCAGGTCACAGTGCTAGTGGGTGAGTATCACAAGCAACACCACACACATGACACCTGCACCCACCACACACACACACACACACCACACACAGCACACACACACACACACACCACACACAGCACACACACTCACCCGCAACACCAGCGCTTGCTGCAATCAAGCAGCGCCGCTTAAATGCTTCCCCTTGTGTCAAATGTCACTGTCTAATGTGTGTTTAACGACTCTACTAAAACGAACTCAAGATAAAAAGCATGCTGACAGTTGTCTAACAAGTTGCAACGACTAAGGCATGCTCTTCATTATTAACATACAAAATAACTAATAAAATTATCTGCTATACAATATGTTACTAACAAACAATAGAAATGAAACTAACTAGTTTCAGCTTAAAATGCTTTGTCTCATATTTAGTTAAGATTTTACACTCTTAAATATTAAGAGAACTTTTAGAAAAAAAGCGCCTCATTTCCTACAAGCTTCAAGAACGCTTCCATTGCAAAGTACTTTCTTAAAGCTCTATACGTAACATATAATATTTTTATTTTAATGACTTTCATAGGCAAATTTCTAAGAATATTTTTGTATTCAAAAGTGTGTCCAAAAATAATATAATATAATTCTTAAATTCGATTTATATTCCTCAAAGTTCTAATTTCCAAAAAAAAAAAACAATTTTCTTTTAAATGTTTTTACCTTTTTTTTAACTGCCTATTGGAAAATTTAATTGCATTTCAGCTAGATTTAGTTTTTCTTCTTTATAAGGTATTTCAAACATAATATAAATATTTTTAATTTACTAAATTTTTTTTTTTTTAAATGTGTCACAAAAAATTTAACTTTTTTTTAAATCGATTTTTTTTTCTCGAAGTTTTAATTTCCAAAAAAAGTTTTCCTTTCAAATTTTGTTAGACGAATTTTCTGTTTCTTTTGTAAAATGGGTTTTCAATCATGTTTTATATGTTTCGTAGTTTTCATTTCAAATTAATTCTTTAGTAGATTCTTTAGTTTGATTAGTCTCTATAGGGATTTCCTCTGATTACGACTTAAATGTAGTTCCCAGTCTTGATTTATCTATGCAGTTGAAGTTCAAAAATCTTTGGTACTTTTGAAAAACTATATCAAAATATTCTTTACACCAGATCCCACTTAAAAAATAATAAAAAACAGGCTCCAAAAGAGTCTTAGTGTACTGCAGACTAAATTTCAAAGTGACTAAGCAAATTCTTCAGCTAACAAAACGTATTTTGTCCTTGTACTAAATTAAATAATCAATTAACCTGGTTTCACTCACACACACACACACAAACATAGACAATAACTTAAACCCAAGAAAACAGCTTCTGCTATTATTATTACGGTGATAGGGTATACAAAATTCGTATATTATATAGAGAGCAAAAAAAAAGGAAGTTAAATAACATTTGCTTGTGATTTTATGTTTATTTTTTGTGTTCGGCTCGTTGCGCTCGTTTTGTGTCGTCTGCCTGCCTGCCTGCCTGCATCATTATCAACAACAACAAAAAAACCACCCAACCACCCACCCATCAACACCAACTCATGTAGACACAAACAGCACGCATCATCAGCAGCAACAGCAGCAACATAACCAGCAACATCAACAACAGTTGCAGCAACATGCGCTGCTGTTGCAGCAACATCATCATCAGCAACAGCAGCAGCAGCAGCAGCTCCAGCAACATCTTCAGCAGCAGCAGCAGCAATATGTTGCTATGGATGCGGGTGCCGTTACTTTATCGAATTTGAAAAAGCAACGTTCGCTCTCGCGCACCGCCAATGTGCTTAACAATTTCGAGCTCTCATCCACAACAACTGCAGCAACTGCTGCTTCTACAACAACAACAACAACAACTAATGGTTCTGTTTTAGGAGCCGCCACTTCCGTTAATCACAACAACAACAACAACAACAATAGCAGCGCTAACAATAACAACAACAACAACTTGAGCACTGGACCAATCGCCAACCAGCCCCTGGGACTGGGCGCAATGAGTCCCAGCTTACTAGACTTTGAGACAGCTGCGCCGGCAGCAACAGCAGCAGCAGCAGCGGGAGCAGCAGCAGCTGGCAACGCCAATTCGGTTAATAAATTTAGTGGCAACACTGGCGATGTGGTCAGCGACAGCACCAGCACCAGTCGCAAGTGCTGTGCGCTAATGTAGACAGCCGTCGCAGCAAGGATAACAGGGTATTACAATATACAATTGCCAGCCGTTAAGCTTACCAAAACTAAATGGGGTTGGGGTTGGGTCAGGGTAGGGGCAGGGACGGGACGGGATGGGGGGTTATGTACGTGTTAATGGGGGAAAAATCAAACAATTAGCAATTTTGAAATGCCTGGCAAAAAGTGTCTTTTATTAGCATTTTAGTAGAAAAAGTTCAAAACATAATTTTTAACTAATGCAAAGCAGGGTTCAATTCTATGAGCTCTATAATTGAAAAAAAAAAAAGAAGATTAAATAAAAAAGAAAATACGACTCAAAGTCGTGGCATTTTCCTAAGCCAGCAGAAAAAATAATATATATAAACAAAAAAAAAGTAAAGTACACACAATAAACGATACATGTATATGTTTACATGTTTTAAAGTTGAACAACATGTTCTGAATTTCAATATCGAAACTCTGAGAATTCCCAAAAACAAACAAACAACTATCAACAAATACTGAGGGCTAGAATAAAGCTAGAACAACCTTTTCTTTTCGGAATTGAAACTCAGTACATGAATGTTTCAAAATCAACTAAAAATGAAATCCAATTCGATGTGAGCCGTTTATGTTAAGTAGTTTTTAATGTTAAGATTTAAATGATGTGTTGAGAACTTTTGTTTTTTGCTAGTTCTTTAACTTTTGCTTCGTGTGCATGCGTATGTGAAATGGCAAAGCAAAGTATTATGCAAAAGTATAAAAATATACATAAATACTATTATTAAAATATACTATTAGCAAAATTGTAGCTACATGCAGCAAAATAATTAAAAACAAAAAAAAAAAAAACATCTAAAGCAATCGACAAATTGCAAGCACGTAAGCAATTAAACAATAAAAAAAAAAAATATTTCATATGTGTACATTATACATCTAAATGTCAAATAGTTTAGACTGCATCTATTGCAGCTTCCAATCGAAAATAAAAAATAAAGAAAAACTTATAATTTGTTTACAACAAAGTTACCTGTTTCAATTACACGTTCAATTTAAATTTTCTTGGAAAGATCTTCATTTTTGCACTTGTGAAAGTCTATAGACTGAAACCACAAATTTATTTTTATTTCAGATAAAGCTTCGAAATGCCCAAAGATCAATTGCAGATCTCCCCCCTGGTCGACCCGTCTTCATAAACTGCACCAAAAATTTAAATTCCGAAAAGTATGCAACAGATTTTTGCGAAAAATCTGTCAATTAACTTTCAATATTTTTCCATAACTCTGTTAATTAAAATACGATCCTATAAAGCAAAAGCATTTTGGACTTCGGGGACCTGATAGCATAGATTGGAATCAAACAATTTTTGATTTCTGAACCGAAAATTGTCAGTTGCCAATTTTGCCGAATACGGTCAAATTCTAGAATAATTTTTAAATGCGAATCGCTACTTCTACGACTCCTAACATGTATTACAGTACAATATTATAATATTAATAATATGGTATTAATATTATAATATTAATATCACCCGAAATATTCCAATGATTTTAATTTTCAAGAAATTGAAACGCTTGTAGGAAAGATAAGCCTTTTAAGGCTCGTAGGGATATTCAAAAGCAAAAGACCAGTAGATTTATCTTTTTTCTTTTGGGTAACGTATTTGCTTTACATAATTTTATTGTACACAAAGCTACCTGAACTTACTTAGCTTTGCCCGATTCTTGCAGACGCTTTATTCTTCTGTCCACAATATGTCGCAGCCGGCGGTCTGGTTTGAGCAATTCACTCTCATCCATGGGCTCGATAACTTGGCCCTTGCGCGTGATGATCGCCGGGCGTGTTAGCATACGGAATGCTGTTTCCGGCACGAAATTACGTCCAATGGGCGCACGTATGCTGGCCTCATAATCGGCCAGGGATTTGAAGGGGAACGGCAAGCTGGATACCATGTGGGTACGCGCTTGTTTGTTTGTCGTTTCATTGATATACAGATTATCCTTGTTGTCGTCGCGACGCTTTTCCGGCGCTGCCAATTTGAGTAACAGTCGCTTGTTGCGTCTTTTGATAGCTTCCTGAGATATGCCAGCGCCCGCCCATGAGCCCCAACCGGGCATAGCTAGCTGCAGTTCGGTGTTCTTTACCTCAGAGTCTTTTGTCTTATCCTTGTTAAAATCAGCTATAATATCATCATCCTCAAAGGCTTGACTAATGGTCAATTGGCGCTCGGCGTCAGCATCCGCTTCATCATATTCGGCCGCATCGTCATCCGCAAGTGCACTATTCATTGCATCCGAGCTGCGCATAGTTTGCTTCCACGTAATGGTGGTAACATTTTTAGGATCGATCTCACTAACGGCTGTCGGTTCAGTTTCCGGTGGCTTTTCGTCCGACTTGGTCAACTCGCTAACTGTTTGTGTAGCCGGTTTTGGTGTTATTTCCTCTTGATTGAGCGGCTCGTCGATTTCCACACGCTGTTTAGTCTTCTTAAACGTTAAATCCTTCAGGTTTTTCAGTTCATCTCGTTCCTTTTTCTGCTTTTTGGATTTCTTGGTGGGCTCCTTTAACTTTTCTGCTTGCTTTCTAAGCTTTGCTAGCTTTTTACTAATCCTATCGTGAATATTTTCATCGTGTTGCTCAAAAATTTCATCAATTGATTTAACTTTTACTGGAGTTTTAACTTCCTCTACTAGCCAGCCGTTTTCCACAACAGCCTTGGGTTTCTTTTTCTTTTTGATGGGCTTTTCCAAAGGCTGTTTTTTGGTTTTCTGAACCTTCTGCTGCTTCTCAACTGCTTTAATTTCTGCACAATGCTCAGCCAGCAGCTTTTCATTTTCATTGCGTTCCGTCCAATACTTGCGCCAGTTAGGTTCCCCTTCGGCGGATTGTTGGGGTACAGCCTGTGCCGCTGATTTAGCTTTCATCCAGGGATTCATTGGATCGTAATCTTCTTGCTCATTTGTTTCCATTTTTTTTGGGACCTGGTCATCCTCACTATCCGTATCCAATTTTTTCTCGGTCAACTGCCGACTCACAGCCAACTGTTCCGCAAGATCTTTGCGTACCTCCTTATCATATTTGGCGCGCACTTGTAGATTCTTGGCCCAGGTGCCGGTGTTTTTGTGCCGCAGACTGGCGCGTTCCATGACGCGGTTCTTTTCCAAGGCATCTAGCTTCTCTAGCGCAGCCTCAGGATTGGTCTTTTGCAGCAGCTCAAACTCCTTCATTTGCTCCAAGATCTTTTGCCGCTTCTGCAGCTTATGGTACTTCTTGGACTTGATTTTGTTCTGCATACGAGCTTTTGCCGACTTTTGAGACTCGCGCATCTTTAAATAGGCCAGCTCCCGGCGACGCGTATAAAGCTCATCGCGGGTCATTTTCTTTTGCAGCATCTCCCGTTCTTGTTGGGCTAATGCCTTCTCATCGGTGTTGTCGCCAATTTGAGCTTTGCGTAGCTCACGCAACTTTTTGTTGCTCGCTTCCAGCTCCTTGCCCAAATCGGATTTGATGCTTGTCTGTAGCGCTTTTGCGTGTGCCGCTGTATTTATGTAAATAGTTTCCGAGGGTTTGGGAAATATCTACAAGAATTCGTTTGAAGCACAGGCCTTATTTTAATATCCATCTCTTCACTCACCTGCGTCTCGGCGGATCGCTGCTTGGCCACGACGGCGTCCCAGCGTCCAAGTTTATTTTTTACACCCTCGTAGCCAATAGTCCGTTTGATCCGATCGGCTGCCGGCTTTTCCAGCGGTTTCTCGAGCACCTTTTTGGTGCTGTGTACATTCTTTAGCTTTTTGCCTGTTTCGATGTGCTTGGAAGTGCGCAATATTTGGACCAAATCGTTCAGGCCGACGGCCTTAGGCGCATGCTGTGTAGTTTTGGCACTTTTAAACAGTCGAAATTCATCCTGTTGGGGCTGGCGTTCGTCGCGTGTCGATTTGCGTAAATGCTGCACATTGCCCAAATTGGTAATGGCCTGCAGCAGCTTCTTGTGCGCCGTGGGATTATATTGCTCTTCATCATCACTCATTTTAACAAATTTTATGCCGAGCAATTTTACGAAACACGCGGTGGTAAAAAACAGCTGAGTGTTATCGACTAATATTTGCATTCACAATAGAAAACTATCGCAATGTCACTGTACATGGTACGCTGTTCACGTAGGTCAATTGTTTATACTAAAATACCGAATTAAAATTCCAACAATCGATATAATGGCAACTTTAGCAATATTTTAACTTGTAACTTTACAAGAAAAATAACATTTGTTATAATAATGTGAATATTTATCGCAGTATCGATATCATTGATATCGCAGGCCAAATAATATCGCATATCCAAGATTAATTTAAAAATATCGATATACCGGCACGATATCAGCCTACATGCAGACGCGAAATTGTTAAACAAATTCGGGCGCATCGTGCCATGGCCGATACAAAATCCGGCCGTTATGCGAGCAGCAGCAATGCTATATCCCCCCTAGTACAGAGTCCTGAGAATTTGGAGTGCAAGAACTTTCAGGAATATCTGCGCACCCGTCAAACACCCGAGACCCTAGAGAAGCTCTACAATTATCCACCCATTTGCCTGGCGGTCTATCGCGAGTTGCCCGAAATCGCAAGACAGTTTGTAATTCGCATACTGTTCGTAGATCAGCCAGTGCCACAAGCTGTTGTCACCTCATGGGGTGCACAACGCGTTGCCAAGTAAGTAATGCAAAGATCCGGTCCAAGCAATAATCTGAATTCACATATCCATTGCAGGGAACAAATGGAGGCCACCAGCTGCCTGACTGCTTTGTGTGTCTGGCGCGTCACGGCCATACCAGGTGGCCTGGCTGCTTGGGAGCTGTCACCAACGTTTAAGAAGAGTGTTCGCCAGGTGCTACTCGGCGGCGGCAAGCCCTGGGCAATGACCAATACGCTGGAAAGGGATTCAAAGCCGCGCGACATTGCGTTTCTTGACTCGTATGCCATGTCCCGCTGGCGCTGTGTGCTGCACTATATGGTGGGCACGGGCACCCGTGGCGGCACCGATGCCGAGGCGATCAGTCCGGATGCTGTGCGCATTCTGCTACATGCGAATCTTATGAAGCGCGACGAGCGCGATGGTATCACCATTACACGTCAGGGATTTCAGTTTTTGTTGCTGGACACACGCGCTCAGGTCTGGCATTTTATGCTGCAGTATTTGGAGACATGCGAGGAGCGCGGCATCTGCCTGCCTGAGTGCCTGTCCATGCTGTTTCAATTGAGCTTCTCGACGCTGGGACGCGACTACAGCTCCGAGGGCATGAACAATCAGATGTTGACGTTTTTGCAGCATCTACGTGAGTTTGGACTGGTGTTTCAACGGAAACGCAAGGAGGGTCGCTTTTATCCCACACGACTGGCACTAAATGTTACGAACAAGGATGCAGCACAGGCGTCCACATCGGCGGATGAGGAGCGCATGCAGGAAAGGGGTTATATCGTGGTGGAAACCAATTACCGCGTTTATGCCTATACAGATTCACAGCTGCAGGTGGCTGTGCTCGGTCTTTTTACCGAGCTGCTCTATCGGTTTCCCAATCTTGTTGTGGGTGTCCTCACACGCGACTCTGTGCGCCAAGCACTGCGTGGCGGCATTACGGCCGAGCAAATCGTCAGTTATTTGGAACAGTACGCACATCCTAACATGAAGCTGGTCGAATCAGCCATTCAATCAAAATCCTGCCTGCCGCCCACAATTGTGGACCAAATCAAACTCTGGGAAATGGAACGCAATCGTTTCACATACACAGAGGGCGTTGTTTATAATCAGTTCCTGTCACAAAACGACTTTGTAACGCTGCGCGACTACGCCCAATCCATAAACATGCTGGTGTGGCAGAATGAGCGCACCCGCACCATGGTGGTACAGAAGAACGGTCACGATGATGTCAAGCGCTACTGGAAGAAGTACTCAAAAAGCGGCGGCTAGCGCCGAATTATTATACTTCGTATTTAAGCTAACTCATTAAATTTTATATATAAGTTTATAACGTTCTCAGCAGTTGCCTTTTGTAACAAGCACAAATTTGAATTGTTATTATTTGTATAAAGGCAACTGTGGACACGTTCTGTAATAAAATGGTATACCTCCATCTATATATAAATATATATATGCCTAACAAGTGTGATTGGGCCAGAAAGTTTTCAAATTTATATTTCTTTCCAACTGAGGCTTTCCCATCAACCTGTGCAAGAGTTTCATCAAAGATGGTGAAAGATAGTAAACATTATTTGCTCCAGTTTATACACATTATATATATAGATATATAAAATACAGTACATACATTAAATTCATAAACAACACGAAACATTAAAGCTTGACATAACATCGTACTTAAATGCATAATTGGAACGTTTAATATAAAATGGGCCGCTGCGGCATACAGAGATTATAATAGCTCTTCTTGTCCCAAAAATCCACACTCTTCCAGCCGCACCAGCCCTTTATCTGTATGGTGGATAAATCATCGGCACCCGTGTAATGAGGATCAAGTATTAAGAACTTCGCTTGTCCCGTCTGCACACAGTAGTCCACGCCGATAATTGTGTGAGCCAGGACGCCACCGCCAATCATAACAGGTGTCCCCTGGGTTTGGAAATGCATGGCCAGCTCCGGAGCAATTGTTGAAAGCTCTGCACCAGAAGCAACGTGTAAAATCTTGGAATCAACATTGAGGAAACCCTGCAAACACATGCTCAGCTCAGTGGAGCCAATCCATTGCGACGAACCCACAAACGATGAAGGCTTATCGTTTATTTTGTGCAAATATTCCTGTATTTCCAAATGCGTGGGTATCGCACGTTCCGTGTATCCCTGTAGTAGGAACCACGAGCAAATCGTCTGCAGCGAACGATAGGCGCAGCCCCAGCCCTTATCCTGTACCTGCTGCTGCAAATAGTGATAATAATGATAGTTGCCATTCACCAGATACTCTTTGCCATCAGTCACTCCACTGGGCCGAACACCCAGATGTGTGTTAAGCAGCGGCGTCCAAGTCGACGTGTCCACCGTGTCTATGTCCCCTTGGAAGCGACACTGATTCGCACGCCTGAAATACGGCCGAGTGGCGGGCAATGCAAACTGTCGATGTAGCCGCTTGCGTTTCTCCTGTACACTGGGTTCGTCATCGCTAAGCTGCTCCAAATATGCACAGCTCAGAAAGTGTCCAAATTCCTGAGGATAAAAATGATAGCTGCGTGGCGACAGTAGCAACGTCTCCGATGCCGCCGTCTCTTGCTCGTTGAGCCGCTCGCTGAGGCACTGTTCGAACAGACGCAACGAACGACAAATGCTCTCTATAAGCACATCATACAAACGCAGCAGCTTCGTCTTCTTGCAGAGCATGGCCATTGCTTCGAGCTCCAGTGGCACCTGCTGCTTACTGGGATCCTCATTCGTTATGCAAACGCTAAGCGCTGGATGCGACGATGCATCGCCCCCTCCAAGCTCCCGTGTGCGACAGCGCAAGACATCAATGTTAATCACATCATAGGCACAACCCACCGCGCCATAATACTTGGCCAGCTCCGGTGCAGTAGCAGCAGCTTTTTTTTTGTTGCCACTAGGGGACTCTGTGGGGGTGGGAATTTCCGCGATAAGCTGTTCAATTAGCGAATCGCTGTTGAAACTTTGGTGCTGCGTTCCACAGTTGCTGCTCACATAGATCTTCGTCTGTGACACGTTAAACACCAGACTTCCATCGGCTACCCGTTTGCGAAGCGCATGCATCTCCTTGGCTATGGCCTCTTGCGTTGGCGACGTGTGCAAGAAGAAACCACACTTCAAGCGCGTAAAACAAAAATCGTTATACAGCTGCGGCGCTTCCATGACTTCGTACGGCACTTGTTCCAGCTTGCCGTGTATAAAGAATGATGCACGCAGTCCAACTAGTGTGCCCAGCTGACATTGAAGCAATATCGGATTATCCGTTATGTCCACCGATGAGATTACTTCATTTAGATGAGCTTGTGTATCGGTACAGTCGCCAAATTTGACCAGGCCACACAAGTCTAGCTCGGCTGGGAATTTGTGCTGTATATGTTCATAGTTCAGTTCACCCACACTTGACTCAACATTGAAACTCAAGAGTAACAAAGTGCTTTCTCCATAAAACACGCCGTATAAACAACCGCTGCACTGCAGCTTGACGCGCTCCAGGCGCTGAAGAGTACATCAGCAAACAAAAATAACAGATAGGGCTTGGAGAAAATTTAAACGACTTACCTTAAGCAGAAAAGCTGATATTCTCAATTTGGGAAGCATTTTTCTGAAAACTAGGCGTGAAATTATAATATTTAGGTACAAACTGCACAGCTGGCAAATGTGTTATCGATAGACATGTTATCGTATGTGCATTGCATTTATAATCTGTATCGGCAACAGTGTGACCATAGTGTACAACAAATGCATAATTGGGATGTTGGCGCTTAACATGCATATTTAAATTAGTTAATCAACATTCGAATACACACATATAACATTTATTTAATACAATATATATTGAATTCGGCATAGATTATAGATTCGCAAAAAAACGCTTGAATATTTGACTGAGCAAGCTGCTTCGGGTTATTTACGTACTTTAGCTTTACCTTACTCAGCTGTTACCAGCTTGTTGCGTTAAATTTCTTGGGCGTTTCCATTCTTCTTACTGAACTTTAATTCTATCAATGTTATACATTTATATACAAATACAATATTGATAATTGCCTGCTGCCGCCTTTACATTCCTAGTGCGATCTCCTTCTTTTTTTTTCTTTTACTAATTTACAATTTGTATTAGGAATTTTGTTAGATACGATACTACATACTACTAGTTTTCCACAATTTTCTAAGTAATTTTCTTTGCTAATTTTATATGGTTCTGCCCAAAGCATGCATTTAAGGTTGTCTTCAATACAATCGCTTGAATATAGTTATCAAATTCCTGCAGCTACTTTGTTCGCTTACTCTTCGTTCGTTTCGATTTGTAAATATTTAGACTGAACATTTAGATACGCTAAACATGAAATTTAAAACACAAACATCCAGTTCTTTGGCGCTACTTCTTCTGCTTGGCAGCCGAAGTTGCGTCTGTTGTTGTTGCTGTAGCTACTGATCCCTTGCCTGTGGTTGACGGTGTTGAAGCCAATGGCTCCCTTCCTCCCATAGCTAATGGGAAATCACTGGCGCTTACCGGCCTAGTCGTTGTAATCGAAGATTTTTTGGACGCATTATTTTTACCTGCAATTAAATATTATTTAAATGCATAAAACCCAGTGCCGTTTACAATTAAAACATACCCATTTCGGCCTTCTTGGCCTTGTCAGGCTGATCGGCTTTGGGCGATGGCTTTTCCAGCGTCTGCGTGGGCGATGAAGTCTCGCCTTCAGCATGCTCCTCAATAGCCGGCAAAAAGACCTCCGACGCGCTGCTACTGTCCTGTATGCTAGTAGGCGAATCCTTCTCTTCGGCAATGCGTGGCAAGAGCTCACAGCTGCTGGCTATGGCTACATTATTCGTTGCTTGATTATCAACTGAAGCTGACGCTGCTCCACTAGCCACTGCTGTTGTTATGGCAGAAGCTGTTTGTCTTTGAGATTCCTCAGTGCTGCTGCTGTTGCCTAACTGCTGCTGCTGTTGCTGCGGTGCTCCACCAACTCCAACTCCAGCACCACCAGCAGCCGGTCGCCAAGTAGCCGCCACAACACGCTGATGCTGATGATGTTGAGTTTGTTGTTTAATGGGCGGTGAGCAGCATAGCGGTGATATTTTTGTCTCTGCGCTGCGCGGATGCAGTCGATCCGGCGAGAGTGCGCGACGCAACAATGGCGAGCTCGGCTCTGCAGATTTGGTTCGTGCAAATCCCGCCTTCTTGCTGCTGGCGCTTGCCGCTGTCTGCAGCGTGGGCAACGTGCTACCTGGACTATACGACTGCGTGGTATTGGAGGCGCCAGGCTGATGACCCACCAGTGGAAAGGCCAACGGCGATGGTGAGCGAGTTGGCGACGACGGCAATGGCGATGGCGACGGTGTCCGCGCCAAAGGTGACAGCGGTATATGACCCACAGACTTGCGCCGGTTGGGTAGCGCATTGCTGCTCGAAGTGTGCAATGTCTTCAACCCTGCACCCGCATTGCTGCTGGCAGCCGTGCCACCAGCGCCAGTGGCTGCTGCGTGCAGCTTGTGCTTAAGACCATGTAGCGTTGAGGGACGCTGATATAGCTGCGGCACAACGCCAGTGGGTGAAACTAAATAAGAAAGGCGCGTTAAATCCAACTGTTATTACGAAGAGTTAAGGCTTTTGGACTCACCTGGCACATTGCCCACAGAGGTAGCGCTATTGCCTACAACGGCGCCCACATGCGGAAGTAAAACAACTGGACTAGCCGGCGGCGGTGGCAGCTGCCCGCTCAAGGCAGCGACGGGTGCTGCATTAGCGGCACTATTAGCATTAGCACTACCTGCGCCATTACCATTACCATTAGAACTGGTGGGCGTGTTGGGTGACGAGGATGAAGGTGAAGTTGATTGCGATGAGGAGTTAGCTGCCGATTGGCAGCAGCTGCTGCTGTGATACGAAGAGTCCAACGGCGATAGATTGCGTGCCGATGGCGTGGTGGGTGAATTAGTGCCCGCCGAGAACTGAAATCAATCATTTATATGAAATAAATTAATGTAAGTACATATGTGAAATACTCTTAGGCTCCACCCAACGTACCTGTTGCATCTCGGCGTTTGCACGTTTGCTGCTTATGCGGCGAAATAGCGACGTTTTGCGCTTCTTGTCGTGCTCTCGCTTCGTTTGCTTCTTCTGGCGATTAACGCCCTTTTTGGCCAGCTTGATTTGCATGAGGTCACGCTTGCGACCACCGCTCTGTATGCTGGTGTGCTCCAAGGGCGTGGCACGCAGTGTCACATGCTCGCCGCCGCTGAGCAGCAGCTGCAATACCTGGGTGTGGAATAGGCCCTGTATGGGCTCGCCGTTAACATGGGTGATGAGATCGGCGGGTCGCAGACCTGCCTCAAACGCGGGACTGCCCTCGTCGACGGCCATGACCAAATGATGCATGGTATAAAAATCTGTGTCGCCATAATAGACGCGAATAGTGTGCACAGTGAATCCAAAGCCACGTGGTCCACGGCGTATAATAATGGGTGGCTTGAGATTGGTGACCAGCGGCGAGAGTTCGCGACAGGGAGATGTATCCCTTGAGCTAGCTGTGCTGGAGCCATTGCCGCCACCACCAGCGCTCCCCGGTGACTGAATGCCACAAAGCTGTGCCGCCAGTTGCGTGTTGTCCAGCGACGACATTAGCGACAGACCCAGCGCCGATGCAGATTTGACTATGGAGCGCGACCGATGATGCTTGACGCCATAAGAAGTGGGTCCACTGCTGCTGTCCATGGACTTGGGTTGATGCTGCAGTGCCAGGGGCGACTGCTCACGTATATTCATGTTCTCCGTGGAGGAGCTTCCGGCGCTGATGGTTTCATCTTCAATCGAGATGGAGAAACGTGGCAATATGTCACGCGCACAAACGCCCTTGCGCTTGCGATTAATCTGCGGTGAGAAGTCATCGCTGTCCGTTTGAGAACTCTCCGGAGTGCTGCGAGAGAAGCTGCTCACGCTTATTGGTTGCGGTGTCGCCGTGGACGACTGTGTCGGTGGTGGCGGTGTTGCCGGTGTGCTAATTATGGTCGTTGTGTTCGGTGGCATACTGTGCCGCTGCTGCAAACGCACAACCGCTGGCGTTGGCTGTTGCAAATAATGCTTGAGCATGCGCAGCTCAGCATCGTTGCCAATGGTGACGTTATGCAACAGTTCCGGCAAAAATTCGCTATCAGGCGTGGAGGGCACCTTTAGGCAACTGGATGAGAGCTGCAAATCCGCATATATCAAATCAAAATATATTAAGATCGATTTATCATCATCTCAATCACTCAATATACTCACATCCAGTTTACGCAACTGAGGCGTGTTCAAGAACTTGTTGACCACGCCCTCTTGGCTCGCAGCTGACGGCTTGAGCTTGGGCAGCGCTCCCGTTGCAGCTATGGTCGCCGTCGCTGTGGCGGTTTCCTGTGCCCGCGAAGGCAACGTTGTCGGCGTTCCTTTGGCGCTGTCCGTTGCGTGACGTGACCAACTATAATGCTGTTTGCGATATTGCGGAGTGTAGGAGTTGAAGCTGCCAAAGACGGGCGTATCGTCGGTGTCATCGGTATCTTCATCGCCCAGATCGTGGTTGTAGCGATCCATGCGGGCTGTTTAAAATATGATAAGAAATTAGTATGTTGTGTATAAATGGGAGCAGAGACGCGCACGAGTGAAAATGTAAGGAATTGCCATCTCAGGCTTATATTGACGGATACTACTGGGCATCGTTTAACAGTTAATATGAATACTTTAAAGCATGGTTGTGCTTATCAAATAATTCTGTTTTTCACTCAGACTCGTGCAGCTCTCCTGAATGGAGCTGTGGACTACCCACTATCAAAATAGCTGGTGTCATCGTCGTGTGACAGCTGCGGCACAAACTCAGCCTTCTGGCGCAGCAGCGAATTCCAGTCCATGCCTTGAAAGTAGAAATGCTCCTTCACTTCCAATGCGCCGACCTGAGTGCCCAGACGATCGCGCGGATTCTGCTGTAGCAACTGTGAAATTATGTCCTTGGCCTCCGATTGCACGGGCCAATCCTCACTGTCGGGCCAATCAATATCATCGTTAACGGTGTGCGCAAACAACTCCTCGGCAGTCTCCCCAAAAAATGGCACACAGCCAATGAGAAACTCGTACAGTATGATGCCCATGGACCACCAGTCGACGGGCTTGCCATAGCCCTGACGCAGTATCACCTCGGGCGCTATATACTCGGGCGTGCCATAGACCTGCAGAGATGAAAATAATTATGCAAATTCCTGGGTGGGTGGGTATAAGGATCAGCGCTATCTACCTGCTTATCGGAAAACTGTCGCGTCTCCGAATCAATGTAGCCTTCATACAAATTGGTGGCCAACGACATGAGACCCATTTTGGACAAGCCAAAATCGGTAAGCTTGATGTGGCCGAGTGCTGTGATTAATAAATTGTCCGGCTTGAGATCTCGATGGACAATGCCATAGCTATGCAGATACTCCACGGCTAATACTGTTTCGGCAAAATAGAAGCGCGCCATGTCAGCGGGCAGCGGACCAATGTTCTTAAGCAGGGTGCCACAGTCGCCACCTTCCACATACTCCATGACCAGACACAGATGCTTCTTGGTCTCAAAGGAGCAATACATGCTAACCACAAAGGGATTGTCTGCAAAGGACAATATGTCACGCTCGGCAAACACCTGCTCCACCTGATTGCGCAATATGAGATTATTCTTGTTGATCTTCTTCATTGCAAAGCGCTGGCGCGTCGTCTTGTGCTTCACCAGATACACGGCTCCATAGGCGCCATTTGAGATCAGCTTGGCAATGTCAAAGTCGTTTTCATGCGGTACTGGCTGTTGCTGTTGCTGCTGTTGTTGTTGTTGTTGTTGCTGTTGCGCAGCAACTGTCTCCGCTGACGTATTGAGCTGGCTTATGGCCAATGCAAAACTAGGCGTTGGTTGGCCATCACAGCCCACCGGCGTTTGTGGCGGCTGCTGTGGCAACATTGGCTGTGGCGTACAGGTGCCGCTGCCGCCCGAATTGCCAGCGTCCAGTGACATGTTGTCCAGCGACAGGTTGCTCAGTTGCTGGGCCGCACAGGTTAATGGCGAGTTCAGCAATAATGCCCTGGGCTGCGCATCCAGCAGCTTGTCCCCACCAGTCACATGCTCGGAGCACATTTGCTGCGTTTCACGTAGCTCCTGCTGCAGTTCCGCGATGGGATCACGATTGAGACCAAGCTTGTGTATGATATACTGTGGTATATCCGCTTTGATCACAGGCATGGCCTTGGCATGTCCCTCGGCTGCCTCAAGAAGCTCGTAGAATTCTTGCGGATCAAATTCAAGACATTCCAGCAAACGGGCTGGACGCGATATAATCAACAGCAGCTTTTTGATCACGCCACTTAGCTCGGCAGCAGCTTCCGGCGATTTCTCCTTGGTCTCCATCAGAAGACGCTCTAGATTCTCGCTTAGCTCGTAAAAGTATTGCGAGGTTATCAACTTAGCCTCCGATTTGTGCAGACAATCACGCGCCATCTCCAAAACTTGATGATGCACAAAGCTGAATCAATCAAAATTTATTCAAATATCTATATTTGAGATGTACTATAGATAATCAAAGACTTACCGCACGATGGGCTGTGAATCACGAAAACTACTGCAAGCAGCGCTCTTGTTCTCATTGATAAAGTGCTTCATGCGCTCCTCCATTTGCTGTGTAGCCTTGGGGAAGCGCTCCTTATACAATGTATTCATTACAGCAATCTCGCTGTCCACAATGGGTGACCGAGATGGGCTGGATAGCGAACGGGAACGCGGTCGAAAACAGGGAGACATGCGACCGCCACACGGGAAGGACGACATCGAGGCATTAGACGCATTCGCGTTGGCATTAGCATTCCCGCTGCAACCCACGCTCAGGTCGGCGCAGCAGTTAATGCAAGCGATCGGTGGTTTCAATGGCTGCGGCTGCAGCTGTGCAAGCTTTGGTGCATGCGGCTGTTGTGGCTTTTGTGCGGCTAGCAATAAGGCGCAATGTTTGGGACAATGCTGCTTTAAATGTTCCGCACAGCAGGCGCCGGCTGCTACTGCGGCTGCATCCTCCTGACCAGGGGGCGGCATGTTGTGCGGCAAATGATTAAGCGCCTCCTGACTGGAGCATTGCGACTGCGCAGCGAAAACAAGTTATGAGAATCTTCAAGTGCCATGGAAAATAATATGATTTTACCGATAAATTAGAGCTGCCTGGTGTTGTGCCGTAGCCCGAGGAGGGCAGCGATGCTACCGACCAGCGCCTGCCGTCGACAACCCCACGACAGGAGGCGATGCGTTTGATGGGCGCAAATGCGAACGGCATGGGCGAATTCAGGCGTGGACTGTCCACCGGACTAGCTGAATAGGGTGAATGTGCCCGGGAGCCACCTGCTATGGCTGCAGCATTGGTAACCAGGCTCAGGCGATGATGAGCCACACCGCTCGATCCACTGCCACCAGCGCCCGAATTCGCGCCTCGCATGACCACCCCATGCAAATGATGATGCTTGGACAGCGCAATGCCACTGCCAGAGCGCGAAATATTTAAACCGGGTGAGGCCGCCGTGGGCACAGTCGTGCTTGCTGCTCCTGCGCCTGGCCCTGGACCAGAGCACAACTCGTGTCGAAAATAGTTGCCGGTTAGGCAGGGCGCTGATTTGCCTAGCGAGGAATGACGCATACGCAGCAAATTGGACGCTTCTAAGAAAGCCAAATTATAAGATGACTCACAAAATTGGGAGGCACTTACCGCTGCTGACGGCGCGCAGAGAATTCGTGTGCTGCTGATAGGAGATCTTACGCAGCAGCGCCGTATAGCCGCGAGAGTGCAGTGAACTGGAGCTGCCCGATAGGCCACCCGACGAGCTCTTGGTTAGATTGAGATTGCGTAGGATCGAAGAGCCATTGTTGCTATTGCTGTAATCATTGGCTCCCAATTTGGCCGGCGATACGGGCAGCAATTCAACGCCGCTGCTGGCATCAGCGCCGCTTGCATTAAAGGAACTGGCCGCCGACTGAGCAATCCTTAGAGCGTCCGCATCCGCACTCGCAGCAGCAGCAGCTGCTGCGGCGGCTGCCTCATGATCGGAATCTTCAAAGATGAGCACACGCGCCGAGTAACTGGACTGCGGACGTATACGGGACAAATTGGCAGAGCTCAGTTGACGCTTGGCAACTGGACTGGCGTCGCTGCAGCTACTATTGACAGAAATGTCGCATATGGCACTGGCATCGCACACGCCAATTTCGCTGGCCAGGCTGCGATCAATGAACTCCTGTTGATGCTCCTGCGCGGATTCATCACGTTTTTGTGGTGTTGAAGTTGAGATTTTGCTACATGTTGTGCTCCCTGCTGATGCTGCTGCTGTTGTTGTTGTTGTTCTTATTGTTGTTATCGCTCCTGGCGACGACGACGACGACGACGACGTCTGTGAAGCTAACGGCTCCTGACGACTCATGACGTTGTCTAAGCTTTGCTTGATACGCGCACTTAAAAGACTTGCATGTTGTTCTTTTTGCTGTTGGTGTCGCTGTTGTTGTTATTGTTGTTGTTATAATTGCGCTTGCTGCGTTTTGGCATGGCGGCTGCTGCTGCTGCTGCGGCTGCTGCGACTGTAAATAACCAAAAACAATAATTAGCATGGAGCTGACAACGTCGCCCCAGACACTGGCAATTGCTACAATAAACACACACACACACACACACGCGCACAGGCGATATAATTTTTGTTGAATTTTCATTTTCACACACGTCAATGGAAATTTCATTATAAATATACATACGCATACGTATTTGTATATACGCCGGAATATATAAAATAGTTCAGATGTTAAAAAAAAGTGATCACAAATATATACAGTATGCTAACAAAGTCTTCGTACGGCTGCTATTTTTAACTTTATTGACTTGAGAAATTAACAAGTACAAGGTAAAGATCGTGTCGCAAATTATTTATCCGATTAGCTAGTTTACCAAAAGCAGCCAACCTGTGCTGAGAAGACTTTGATGCTAAATTAGTCCAAGAGCTTCACTTTAAATGATATATGTATTTCTTTTACTACAAAAAAGATCATACTACTGACAAGTTCTTTTAAGAAAATAGTTTTTCATTCATTTGCAAACAACAAACCCGCTTTGCCATGATTTTATTTTAACGATTTCTATACTCGATTTTCAAAGAGTTTTTATTATTAAAAGTATTTAAACGTGAAAATACGTTCCCAAAATAAAAAGGTCTAACAAATTAAAAATGACGATTCAATGCTAAAATTTCCGATATGACAAATATCCATTTCTGAGAGTTCTTCTCTTCGACAGCACAGTGTATTGCAATATATACACCTGTCAGATATGTACATATTTATATTAATAAATATGGTTATTAAAAACGAAAGCGCGACGGTTACTTTTGTCGCCAATTTGCATACATTGGATGGAGGGATAAGTGTAGGGTATATGGAAAGAGTGCAGCACCCGCCGAATGATCGTGCGGCGCTGGTTGTCGTAGTCACGACGTCGACGACTGGTCTGCGGTTATCAGTTAAGTGTTGGGTTTGTTTTCATTTTATTTATGTATTTTTATTGCCACTTATTTACGCACACTTGTCCAACTGTGTCTGTATATGTGTGTGTTTCGTTGTATTTGTTTAAATTTTGCTCGCACGAAAATTTAATTTGTTTTACTATATGCCAAGTGGTCGTTTAAGCCGCCAAGGGCAGTTGATTTGGGGTGGGTTCTATTAAAAGGATTTGACGCACAATAAAAACAAACATCAAATTAATTGCGTCCAGGAGCCCCAATAGCAATGACACATACATTTGTCATTCAGCGGCGACTGCTCCACACCTCAGACACAAGCCAAATACATCCTTATTGCTGTGCTGCAAACACTGGGTGTGTTTGTCTGCGATGATAGGTAGACTCCTTATGGGCCGCCCACTGGCTGCCTTGTACGCGCACGCACACAAACGCACAGACACGCACTCTTGGTCACACTCACACTCGCACAGAGAGTGTGGGGCAACAATTGATTGTTACACACGTTACATGCACTTTGTAGATTTTGCACATTACATGATATACGCAGCAAGTAAAGCGGATTCGCACACTCACGTGCACCGCACACACAATAATATTAAACTATTAACTAAGTGTAGACTCTAATAAGCAACCAGAGCGACGAAAAATCGTTGTTACAATATCAATTGGCTTTTGTATGCTTCGGTCACACTTGATACACTAAGTTGGGGATGATAAATGAATGAATGGTCTATCGATAGAATACACTTCGATGCATATCGGTTTCTGTGTATCGAGTAAGCATCGTATCGGCCGGGGATATAGCGGAAAATAAATATGATTGCTTGCGCAGCAGTAGCCACTGTTTACATTTACTAAATTTATTTATTACTTTCTTTAAATCGAAATGTAATTGTAAATTAACTCGCATTGCTTATTATCTTCATTATTTAAAATAATCCGAATAAAAAGCAAATTTTATAATTAATGAGAATATATATATATATAAAGCAACAATCGTTAGCCATAATTCATGTTTGTACTATGCGAGGTCTGGTAAGCGCTAGATATGTTCTTCTGGGACGTTGATTGCTGCGTGTGATGCGGCTGATCTGTGGCGAGATGGTTATTTTCTTGACACCATTCAACAAAATCGTCAATAAGCACGGGCCAAGCACCCTCTGAGTCATAGTTGCTCATACGATCATCGATGTTGGTGGCAAAATCTAGCAGCAGGTTCCAGGTGTCCCTTGAAATCGCGCGCTTGTGTTTCTCTTCAAGGAACTTGCACCAAATGTCCAAGAATTTGAAACGATCGCTGAGCACAATGCACCAATACGCAATGGCCATGTCCAAATCAATGCCCTTCTGGCCTGGATCCTTCGCATAGTTAAAAGTGAAGTGGTAGAAATCCTTAAATTTGCCCGCATCATTCAATTCCTGTTCCAGCATAGGCAATTTTGACTTAAGCTTCTCTATACTGTCTGTGCCCAATTCGCACATGCCATTGATGAACTCATCCCGCGAAAATTCGCATTGCACTTCGGCATGGAACTTCCAGGCAATTATGAGTACAAGCTTGGAGTCTGGGCTCAGTTCCAAATCGTCTAGAAATTTTATTACGCCCTGTGAGCTGATCTTTAGGGCATCAGTTGGATCACGATAACGGATAAATAACTGCTCGATCCGTTTGCGATCTAGCTCCCTATAATAGTATTCGGGATTCTGAAAATAGTTATCGCTGGCCAGATCCATTTTCCAATCATTCTGTTGCAGGCAGAAGATGGCTGTCTGTTCGCCAGTTTGTGTTAGCGAGATAAATTTTTTCACCTTGTCACGGTGTTGGCTTGACTTTAGTTTGTTCTGTAAAAATAAACAAAATTAATGGATAGCCACTACCAATACACATACACATTTTATGTAAATGCACATTGCATAAATACACCAACTACAACAATTTGTGCGTGCGCTGGCGCTTGTGTGCCAGGAAGAAGCAGCAGCAAGCAAAACAAACACAAAAATTGCCTGTAGTATAATACACTAGGAACACAAGTATATAAATAAATTCGCATTTTGATTCTGCACTTACCATGGTTTATATATTGTATTTGTTATTATTTACTAATTATTAGCAAAGTTTTCTCTGCGTTATTGTTTCGACCGTCGAAACTCAGAGATGCCCTAGGTATCGATTCATTCGCACCGATTTGGCAACACTGTAAGTGGCAGCACTCAATGGTTATCGATAATTTACATCTGACTCAATATTGATTTTCAGAGAAGCAACAACAAAAATAACAAGAAAACAAAGCAGACTCAAGTCCTTAGTGTAAAAGTATCCAAAATACAGCCAAATGCATTCCCAGTGGCTGCTGCTGGTGCTGCTCTACGCGGCGGCTATTCAAGCCAGCGATATTACAAGTGTTGTATTTGGTGATATTAAGGAAGGTGTTGTGGCAGCTTTTGGTGACTTTAATTCTGATGAGCTTACTGACATTTTCGTCATTCAAGATGACAGGAAAATGCTACAAATACTATTTGGTGAGTGTATGCTTAAAGAAGAAGCTTTATATAGTGGATTTAATAAATATTATTAGGGGCTGATACGGAACCGTTGCTACGAATGGGTCCCATATGCTACTTTGAGGCCAGAAGAATTGTAAGCGTAGTACCTGGAGATTTCGATGGCGATGCTCTGATGGATGTGCTGGTCAACGTGGAGAGAAGCAAGGATATCAATGACGTTTACATTAATTGGGGCAACACAACAATGCTCAATTGTTCCGAAAAACCCCTCTTTCAAACTAAGGGTGAGGCAATGGCGCTCGATTTTAATCATGATATGATCATTGATTTGTATGGACTGGACACAAATGATACACGTACCTTCTGGATTTTTAACAACAAACGCGAGCCCCCGATAGTCGTGCACCAGGCGATGCCCACTGGCGGCACCACTCAAACTCTGACCATACCCAATGCAAATGCATATTTGGATCTAAACGGCGATTATCTAGCCGATCTGTTTTTGCAAACCAAGACCGCCTACGAGATCTGGTATGGCATCAATGAACGGGACGGCCAGGAGAACTTTAGCTATCAGCGTACCATTCCGTATGAGTTGGTGGGCATCAACGACTACGTGGTGGGTCAAGCCGTTTTCATGGACTTCGAGCTGCGTGGCGTGCAAAATATTGTGGTGCCATATTGCGTACAGGAGAATTGCAAAAACTCGACAATATTTGTTCAGGACGGCAGCCTTTTCTATGATGTACACGTCAATTTTAAGGACCCACAGGGCGTCACATGGGCATTTGTGCCGCCTGATGCGAATGATGTTTATCTGAAAACTATTACTGCACGCAGTGGCGACTTCAATTTGGATGGCTATCCAGATTTGCTTGTCACACTGCATCCGTTAAGCGTGGCAAAGCCGGTTATGCAAACGTTCCTCCTGGAGAATGTCGCCTGCAAGACGTGCAGCAAGAAATTTAAGCGCACCTTTGAAGTTCGCTGGAACGCGTTAGCTCCCATGGGTAATAATACAGTCGCTGGCGCATTCTATGACTTCTATCAGGATGGTGTTCTTGATGTTATACTCATGGAGAAGCTGCAGAATGGAAATTATCGTCCACTTGCTTTTCGCAACACGCTCGACTACGATGCTAATTTCGTCAAGGTGATTGTGCTCACTGGTCTGGTGAATCCGCAGAATCCCACATCGCGCACACCCCTGGGACGTAAGAAGCGCACGTATGGCAGCAATTTGCCTGGTCCAATTATTACCTACAGCACAACCACACAGGATGGCGATCAACAAATTGGCAGCAGTGTCCAACTGCCGCAGTCATCTTATTTTGCGCTTCAATTGCCCTACACATGTTTTGGTTTGGGTCGCACGCCAAATTTTGTGGATCAGCTGGTGGTGGGGCTGTACAGCAAGTTCCACAACTGGACGCAGCTCATACCAAACTCGCAGATCATAGTGGTGCCCAAGCCGCTCGATCAGCCACAGCACTGGAAAGCGCTGCTCTTTGTGACGCCCAGCAAACTAATCCTAATGAGTGTAATCGCCCTGGGTGGCACTTGTCTTGTGATTGTGTTCATCATCTTGGCGCTCTATATTAAGGAAAAGCGAGAGGATAGGCAGGAGCGTTTGCAAGAGTCTCATAGATTCCATTTCGATGCAATGTGAGCAGTTGCATAACAATATTTAATCAGCCAATTGCAAATGCGTTATTGTATGTTTATCTCTTTAATTCGTTTAACACAATTTCCCGAAATGTATGTAAGTTGTTTTCCACATTAGAAAACAACTAAAGCGCATTCACAGTTGGTTTTATCTAGAGTTTATGAACAGACTTTAAAGTAAGATAAAGCCGTATCGTAGAACCAGCTGGGAATCGGCATTAATAATCGTTTAATATATATGTAGTTTAAAAAATGTGATAAAATCAAAAATCCAATAAACGTAATAATAATGAAGACGGGTGTTTTGGTTAGTGGTATTAATGGTATTATAAGGGATAAGTTCTTGATAGTAAATTTCTAAACGAAATACATGGGATTACTTCTCGAAAAGGCCGGCACAATCATCCGGCGCTGATACTCTTCATTCGGCGAACGGGACAGCCGGGTTCTGTTATTTAATAAACGGAAAAGTTAAATAATTTTATTCGTATGCTATTTAAACTTTCTACTATTCTGTTGCTTACCCAGTAATATAAACACGTCCACGTGCTGCAGCCAAGTGAGCCAAATAGGCTGGAGCTGGATACGAAACGGAACGATTGCAGCGTGGAAACATGTGGCATAAATTGTAAGTCAATTGTTGCAATAGATCAATATCCAAATTGCCAGTGTTCTCAATAACATTGTAGCGTGTGGGCTTAGCGGTGCCCTGTATGGACTGATGGCTAACCATAAAGAATTGCATCTCGTTCGGATGCACAATGGTGCGATCCACCACAGTGCCTGGCTCAACATTGTTGAACTTATTATTTCTCGGATTCGACGGCATTCCCTCTGGAAAGAAGCGTGTGTGATGGCGCTTCACCACAATAACACAGCACATTTTTGGCTTGATGCCCAGCTGTAAATCAATAAAATCATTTATAAGTTAAATCGGAAACTTCAATCAAATGGAATTTACCTTGGTACAGGCCACATAGATACCCTTTAACTCGATATTCTGAATTTTCAAAAACTGCCCATCGCTAACACCATCCCGATAATATATAATGTGATCCGGATAGCGCTTCTGGTACTGCTGATAGACACGCAAATGTTCGGTTACAATGGATTCCATATCTTCGATTTCTTCTCGGGCGCCGCCACCGCCGCCGCATTGCAATCTATATTGCATATTGTATGAACCGCCATGAATGTCGTGCGATGCAGCCACGCCCACTACACTGGGTATGTCACGTTGATCGGGTGAAGGATGTGTCACATCCGCACCCAAATACATGACGTTCGCTAGCATAGTGCGTGGATCGTCCTTGAGCTTGTGATTGATACCGTTCAGCTTGGAATTGACCTTTAACAAAATGTTGCCAACTAATTGTCCGTTCAGGCGACGTTCCACATTGTTTTGCTTGATGCACTGCGTCAATATGCCATATTGAAGTTCGGCTTTCTGTTTAATGATGTCATAGGTGGGACCACGCGATGGTAAGATGACAAAGACCAGGTCGTATTGGTGGTCCTTAAGATCCTTAAAATGCACATCTAAATTTCGCTCGTCTCTAAAAGTGCGTATGTCAGCCTTGGGCTCCAGGCATACGTTGACATACTTGGCTTGTTGTAGCACCTAAAAAGCGATCACATTAGAAACTTAAGATTGCTGAGATGCCAACACTAACCAAATCCTGTAATTCGGCAACCTTGTTGTAATGCATGCGTGCGCCCTCGAAATGGAGTATGGCCCATCTGTGGGGTTTTGGCTTAGCGACCAGAAATTGTAAGTTATCCATGCGCCACGATCCGTTAAATGGTCTTGCAAAATTTTTATTCTTGTACTCCAGTTGCGGTGCAGGCAGGAGCCGTGTGCTTACCGTGATGAAATCGCTAGCAATGTGTATACCAAATCGGCTAATAACGGGATCATTATTGTGTTTAAAGTATGCCAATAAATCCATTATCTTAGCTTTGCGTTCATTAGTCGATGTGGCCGCAAATTTGATCATTTCCGAGACTTGATTTGTGCCATCTTTGCGCTGTATTGAGAATGAAAAATGAAAAATATATGCAAATATATATAACGGGACGACGAGATGTGTGGTCGTAGCCCATTTTGGCTGTTTCTATTCGAAAGGATCTATGCGTTATGAAGCTATATTGTGGTAGCTTGAAACAATGCCTATTTTTTGGTGAATATCGTACAGCTACCATAAGAAAGTTCGCTTTAATGATATGAACATTGATATGCTCTTAGCATACAAGCGAGCTTTGACCGTCAACGAAATACTATATAATAAAGCTCTCATAGGAACGATCGTTAAAATTAATATTATGAAAACACCATAGTGTCTGTAAGAGTATTTAATCTCCGGCACACCAAAAATGACTGGTTGTCTTCCTTATTTTCTTATAAATATATCATATATATATATATATATTATACTTACATTTAGAGCTTGGCCCTCCTCAATGCGGCACAGCTCAATGGGCAAGAAAATGTTCTTTGCTGGTGGCCCAACGTGGAGGCACTGCAGCTTGGGAAACCGCAAAGTATAATTCCGGGAACGGAAGTATTGATCCACGGTCTTAACTTCACCTTCCAATTGAAATTTCTGCTCGTTCGCCGGTTTGTCTGACAAGCCGTTCACCTTATATACGCGAGGTGCGCTCCCAAAGCATTTCGGCGGTTCGTACACCACATTAATGCCCTTTATAAAGGGCATTATGCGCCACGTATTATTAAGCGTAGTCGCTGGTGTTATGGCCGACTGCAGTCCATAGCGCTCTAAATACTCAATCATTGACATTGCCATTGGGAACGACTTGTGCGATACATCGACATTTACGAATGGTTTATCGCCCAACACAAAGCTCTGGTAAAGGCCAACCAATGCCTCATAGCCGTCTCCTAGATCGCGTCGTTCGCCGTTGCCAGAGTTTTTGAAATAGGAGCGCCCGGCTCGTATGGATCGTGAATGACAGGGTGAGGCAAGAACTACCTCCAGACATTGCAGCGCACGCATTGGCTTGTCATAGATCTTGTCGTTCATATAGCTGCAAAATATATCAAATTTACTTTCAATTTTCAACATTTAGCGTAGCCCACCCCAACCTGTGAAGTGAGCTGAGCTCCAGCACAGAGTTGTCCGTATCCTTGAGGGTCAAGGTGTAGCGAACGGGTCGACCATGAGGATCAATGACCTGCAGAAAGAACAGCAATTAGTTTAATATAGAAAATATATTAAGCTTTTGGCGCAGACTTACCTCCACTTCGCCAGTGACATTGGGTAGCTTGTCGACAGAATAACAGCATTTGCGTCCATCGAAGGCAGCAATACCGTTCTCCAAATGTTTTCCGCGAAACACTTCGAATGCTTTGCGATAAAATTTCTTCGGACGTTCCGGCACAATGGTCACATCATAATGATATACTATCGCGGGCATCTTACTCATGTCCACATCCAAATAATTGACACCCACTCTACCGGCAATTCCAATGGTGCCACGCTTAACGTTCCCTGTATAGGGCAATTGCGGGGGCAAGGAACCGCCTTGCGTTCGCTGAGCTTGTAGTGGAGGGCGCTGCTGATAACCACCCTGTTGAGGACCTTGTGGGCCACGCTGCTGATAGCCACTCTGCTGAGGGCCTTGTGGGCCGCGCTGCTGATAGCCACCCTGCTGAGGCCCTGGTGGGCCACGTTGTTGGTAACCGCCTTGCTGACTGCCGCCCTGTGCACCGCCTTGTGGGCCAGACGATGGGCCACGTTGTTGGTAACCGCCCTGCTGACCGCCGCCCTGTGGACCAGACGATGGGCCACGTTGTTGATAGCCGCCCTGCTGACCGCCGCCCTGTGGACCAGACGATGGGCCACGTTGTTGATAACCGCCCTGCTGACCGCCGCCCTGTGGACCAGACGATGGGCCACGTTGTTGATAACCGCCCTGCTGACCGCCTGATTCTCCCTGTTGATTCCTTGGTTGTTCACCCTGCTTGTAACCTGTTTGGCGTTGCTGTCCTCCTTGCTGTTGTGGTCTGTATTGTTGTTGTTGTTGTGGAGCACGCTGTTGTCCACCCTGTGAACGTTGCCACTCTCCTTGTGGGTTTTGGCTTTCAGAACGCTGCTGCGGCCGCTGAGTCGCAGGTACGCCATCGTCGCCAGCCTGCAACCTTGACGTATTCTCCCTAGCCGCAGCGCTTGTTGAAGGTGCGGGAGCTGCAGCTGCAGCACAAATTGAATACCTTAGTTAAAGCAATGCATGAGCCATGACGTGTCCGACATGGTTAAATACAAGTTTTGTGCTTCCCCCTTAAATAATAAACTTGCGCCTCGTATAAAAGCTTTGCTCGATTTGAGCTAAAAGATAGCCATGTAGATAAGGTGAAGAGGTGAATCAGGTGATTCCCCCACAAATACGGAGCTTCGAGAAACTTCGAATACATGCATTTATCTGTATGCACACACATACACACACCCACATACACAAACACACACACACACACAAACATGCAATTATAGTGCACCATAAGTACACAAACCAAAGCAGCAAATTATACATATATATATATATGTATATGTATTTATATATATGGATGCATTTCACATATTAATTAAACTCACTTTGTTGTTGCTGCCGTTGTTGAGGAGCTGGCGCTGCAGCTTCTTTTTCGTCTTTCTTATATTCTGAAAATTTCATTTTTTTTGTTGAGGTTGCACCAATAAATTACAAATCTATTGTTTGACAGTACTTACTGTTCTTCTTTCCCATTTCTTATTATTATTTTTTATTCTGCAAGGATTTGCTGATAAATGTCAGAACTATTTCTTTTGCGTTTTGCGTCTAGTTGTTTTCAGTTCGTCTTACTCTTTATGTATTTTTCGCGTTACCCAGCATTGCTCAAATGTTGCTAAGCATTGTGCTGGGATAAATGTTGCAGAGCGCAAAGTTGTCTGCCAATATATATCGATAGTAGTAAACAAATATTTTTGTTTTATCGAAACTAGAATTTAAATGTGTAATGTAAATGTGACATACAGACCACTGAAATGATCTAAAAAATATGGCTATCTGTTCGTTATTTGAATCGAACATATATACTGGAGAACAGAACCACACTGTTTCTCTGCCAGCTAACTCGTTTTTAAAATCACAAAAATCGCATTAAATACCACAAGTTTTCGTTGTCGTTATGGTTGTATCAATTTTATTTGGAATTGCACTTCAACTTTGCCCAATTACAGCAACCAATTAAATGTTTTACAATTTTTTTTCAATATTTTTCTCATTTTTTTTAAGCGTTAAAAATGTTGTAGCCAAAAAATAACATATGGTCATATGGTACATACTGTATATATATATATATATATATTTATATATAACATGTTCGTATAAATATATTGTATTTCTCAATTTTTTTTAACGCATTTGAATAAAATTTTTCATTGCACAAATGTGGTTCAGAAATTGGTATCAACTTGATTTTGTTGTAATTTTCTATAGAATTTGTATATAAAATTTTACTAACAATTGCACAACTTCGTCCGCATGATTTATATACATTAAAATAGCTACAGTAATTACACATTTAGATATATGATTTGATAAGAAATCAATTTACGCTTAAAGGTTGGTTTAAGTAAATTTTGTGTATGGTAAATTCAACTAATATAAACTAAAATGACTCATACATGACAAAACATACAAATATTAATTATAAGTAAAATAGATTGTGGAAAACAAGAATAGTTATGCCAAATAATTGCACTATAACGTTAAATTCAATTGTTAAAATAATTAAACAAAATCTTTGCTGCAAAGTAAATGATATTGTTGCTGTTGCCATTGTAATGCACTTTCGATTTGCTTCAGCGCCACTTAAATTATAAAACTTAACAAACAATATTTTCTTTTTCTTTTTTAATAATTGGCTCGGAAATTGCTTAATTTGTCCAGGCAACATGCCAATGTAAATTTCGAAAGCATCTTTCACTTAATTAGCTTCAAAATTCAATTGACGATTCCAGTTGCGGCTGGTAAACAAAAAAAAACTTAAATGCTGCGTAAAGACATAGTTCGTCAAAATATGTACTAAAAATATGCACTACATAAGCATAATTCATACATAGTTATGTATATGGAATTGTTGTCGATTTTTACTTTGCTTTTGTTGCATTTGCTATGTTTTTGATTTTTTTTTTTTTTGTTGAGAAATTTATCGTATAAAGGAACAAGAGTCTTGCCAAACAAAATTCAAAAAACCGTTCCGTACGCGGGAAAACAGCTCTGAAAGTAGTTTGTACAATCAAGCATTATTAAAACATAATGTACATGTCGTTGCTCTTAAATCAAATCGAATCGTTGTTTTTTGTCAGAGCCCACAACTTAGCATGCCATATGCGTTTTTGGTGTTTGTGTTTGTTGTTGTTAACAATATTATTATGTAGCTTCTCTTTAGACGCTGATTATGTGGGGTTCTTTTGAGCTTGTTGGTTGCTGATCATTATGTCTACTCTTTATATCAGGTTATATAACAGGAATGCATGACTAATAATATAAGATACAAACTATAAGTAGCTAATTATACATTATCGATACAGTGCACATATATATATATATACATATATATATATATATTTATTTATGGTTTCAGTTATGTGCATATGGGCTGCTAAATCTTAAGAGATGCTGGCAGGGTTATTTTGGGGGAATGTTTACCGCTTTGTGCTAACCAAAAAGCCAAAATTTCAATTTTCTTTCTAAACTGATAAATTCTTAAACAAACAAACTCTTTCACTCGAAACTCGTTCGGTTCTCGATACAACGAAATAAAATAAAATAATAAAATAAAATAAAATATCTCTCGGGCAGGCAGGCAAACATGAACCGTGGCCAGCTTTGGGCCTTGGTTTCAGGTTTAGGACTTTTTCACATTGTGCTTGCTAACTAGGGCCTGCAATTTGTGCAGCTGACTAAGTAGATTGGCATTGGTCTCCTCCAGTGACTCGAGGCGCTTCTTGTAATCATGATTCTCAGTAACCAAAATTTCCACTCGCCGTTCCAGCTGATCCATGTACTCTTTCTTTTTACGACGACTTTCCTGAGCAGAGATCTGTACAATTGAGACAGACATTGGTCAATAAATTCTCCAGATGTTTTTCTGCACTGAGCTCCCACATACCTTATTTTTAATTTTGCGTCGTATCTTCTTGAGCGATTTCTCTTCGGCTTTGGTGAGTGGCAGCTTCTGTGGTATCGGATAGCCCTCAGCGAGCAGCGTGCGTTTCTCTTCCTCCGTCAATAGCAGAGTGCCCGTTGAGCCTTTCTACAAGTGCGAATAATCGAAATGAGTTTCCAGTGACAAAATATATATTATTTTAATCTAGATATAATTACCGGCTGTGAGCTAATCAACGGTGTGTGTATGGGCTGCCTCGTCGATGGTGCGGCCGTGTTGGAGGCACCATTGCTACTGGCGGCGCGGGTTATGGCGGCAGCAGCGCGTCGCGCGCTCCCATTGCTTGCCGTTTCACCATTGGCGGCTGCATTGGCCACGGCGGATATGGAAACGGAAGCATTGGGCGACAGTGGCGCATACAAATGTTCCGGTGACAAGTTACCTTCCGAGTCATCGCTGGGCAGAGAAGAAGGCGGTGTCAGCGGAATGCCATAGGCATGCGATTTGCCCGTGCTGTTGCTAGCGTTGCTTTCTTTCTCGCTCTTGATGGCTATCTTGGGCAGCATTAGGCTTTGGCTGCCCTGGCCAAGCAAGAGCTGTTGCTGCTGGGATTTGATGAGGCTGTTGTTGCTGGTGGCAAGCAGAAGGCCACCGTGCTGTTCCATATAAGAAAAAAAAAAATTCTGTTTAGCATTGGGCTGATAAGGGGTTTGGGCGGGACTGTCTAACCTTTTGGTCGAAGAGCAATTCTGGCTGCAAATTGGCCAGATTAAGGCTCAGCTGCTGGGCGCTGCTGTTCTGTGAGTTTGGACTGGCGGGGCAGCTGGAATCTGGCGACATCGGCTCATCCTTAATGATCGCATCTTCGATCTCAATGTCTGAGCATATATCGGGCGATATGCTGCCCTCTCGGGCCGATGACACCGATGAGCTGCAATCGTTGTCGTCGTACATTTCCGCCAAGTGTTGAGGTAGTTGAAAATGTTCCAGTGAAACGTTCATGCTGCCGTTTCCACTGCTGCTGCCGCTGCTGTGCTGCTGCACCTCGGCATTGCTGCGTGCGAGGGCTGTGGATGCAGCCGCCAACTCCGTAATGGCTGCGCTCAATGCGGAACTGGCGCTGGCGCTGCTCATGCTGCTCAGCATGGCGGTGCTACGGCTGTTTCTTGCGGGCGGGTGTAGTGTCAGGCATTTTGGATCGATGGTGATGCGCCCACTTCCGGAGTAGCACTCGTCATCCATATCTGCAAAGGCGAGTGGTCGAAACATATTTACTTGGAACAGCAAGCTAATCAAATTATATTTAAAATGTATTCATAAAATTGAAAAGGTCGCTTCTAGGAATTTGACCTATTAGCTAATAAGATGGCGCAACTCTGATTGGAGGCGCATTTAACAGCCAAATAATCGGATGTAGTAGAATTTTAGCATAACGTTTGGTTATCCGTTGTTAGCAACCGCAACGTATCCGTTACGTTACGTTACGTACATATTGCTTACGTCTTTGGCTCAGACGCCAAATCGAATAATATCAAATAATGTGCGCGCGCAAATATTGTGTTGGGCAACCTACTTTTGTTGAATGTTTCATTCTATGGCCTAGGGCAGCAGTTTGGTATTTAGCAAATATTATACAACAATTTGATGTTCTTTTCTGTAACTGTACAAACAGGGCCAAACATTGGATCACTTGCCACTGGCGCGCGCGTCAGCAGATGCTTGTGGCATGGCACTTGTGTTTGCATTTGATAGGTATGTATGTTTTTTTTGTATTCGTTTTTTTGTTTTTTCAGCCACGTTCTTGTCGCTCGCCCTCCCTGAATGGTCTTTTTTGTCATACATTTTAATTTTATTTACACAGTTGTTGTACAGTTTCCATAAAATTACAAATAATAAAAAAACAGGCCAGCAGCAATTATATACCGTGCGTCCATATTCATACAAACATATATACGGGAATATTACCAGCAACAACAACAACAACAACAACAACAAAAACAATAACAATAACTGATATCGCGTCAAAGTACAAAACTTCATGCACGAGTACTGCGTTAAATTGCTAAATGCTACCGCGACATTAAAAAAAAAAAAAAAAAAAAAAACAGAAGCTGTTCAACTGTTTTTCATGTTGTCGTTCACTATGTACATGGCCTAAATTCACAATGGAGCCACCAACTGGCAACTGTATTTGTCTTGACTTTAACCAGACAACCAAAGCGTAAACTCAAAAGAACAGAACGTTAACGTAACCGTTATCCGAAAAAGAAAAATCGATAACAATTGGCAGCTGGTTGATAAACTCAATCTTAAATCGATATCACACGATTCGCAATACCTACCATCGATCTTGGCCTGCAGGCTTTTTGGTGAATCGGGCAGGGAGTCACCGTCGCTGTTGAGACTATAGGAATGCTCCGTTTTGATGGGGCCCGTGCCATTGAGCAGCGCGTCGGAGATGAGCTTGTCGTGTAGAATGACAGTCGGATCCTTGACATCACGATCGTAAAACCAATCGTGCATATCATGATCACTGCTTATTTTCAAGGATTCCGTCTGTAAAAATATCAGCAAAAAACAATAGCAAAGGTAATTAGTAAATGTACACACGGCATGGAGTCGTAGTCGCAGTCGTGCTGCATAGCGATAGCGCACGCTTATATAACTTAGAAACAAAAGTAGAAAATGTACATTTTTGTGCAAACAAGAAAAAAATAAATCAAATAAAAAACACTAGAAATAATTTGAAAAGCGAATCGCACGAAACGCTGGCACACGTAAAACCAAAACGCAGCGATACAGATACACGACCCATGCAGATAGCCCAAAACAACAAGCTTTGGGTCTATACATATATGAAAAATACAACATTTTAAAATATATATATAGAAAGATGGGCAGCCTTGCATGCGCTGCGAGGAATGTAGTATTTTTTTTCGTATATATATATATTTTTTTTGTTTGTCAATCTTATCAAAGACGACAGCGACACTATCGTACCCTTGAAATTCTCATTGATTCAAACAAAATAAAAATAAAAGCAATTTAAAGTTATCATTTCATAATAACTGAAGTGGAACCAGCAATTGAAATGATTTGTATTTGAATTTATGAACGGTTAAAATCATTTCAAAATGTCCGCCTTTCTGCTTGTCATTGCGATAGTTTTCCCTCGTATCGATTGCATGTCCTTTCGCATGCGACAATCGATAACACTGACACGGGGCCCGGCAGCAATCGCAACGCATCGCTTATTTTGCAGGGCTTGCAAAAAATTAATTGAAAAATGTGTAACAGATTAATAAATCAAATTTAAATGGATCGCATTTTGTGGTGTTGTGAGCGTGATTAGTCGTCAACAACCTTGAAAAACAACCATGTGCATGATGAGAGCTTGTGATGAGCACAAATGCGATTTGCAACAAGTGTTTGACTGTTGTTTGCCGCTTAACAGGAACGAGTTTTCTTTTTCTGCTGTGCTTCGACTCGAAATACCCAGAATGCGAAATTAGCCTGATGATGTAATCTGAATGTGCCAGTTTTTGACAAAATATATGTATGTAGTATACAAAAAAAAAAAATAAGACGGTTTGAATTTACTTAATTGCTGTAAGCAAATCTACGGCTATAAATTGTTGACCCATATAAATGCGACACTTTCTGCATGTATGTAGTAAGTGTGTGAGTGTGTGTCTACATACATTGTATATGTACGTATGTACGTACATATGTGGAATGATAAAAAGTGCATGTAATTACGCTTGGCTTTAAAAGCCCATTAGTATGTAAAATATATATTTTTTGCCTCAAAAATGCTCACATTCTAAGCCACACTCGACTGGGAAATCCAGTTTTGGCCATAAGAAAAGGGAACGTCGTCGTCGCGGGCATGGCCATAAGTGAGTAACTATGTGCGTGTGTCTGTGTGACAGCCGGCTTGCTTGCGTGCCGCCGCAGGTATGAATCTCCCTCTCTCTCTCTCTTTCACTCACTCTGCCTCGTCTGTCTGTCCCCGTCTCTCCGGCTGCTTCTGTGTGGGTCTTCTTTCAAGCTTACCACTTATTCGTACTCGGCATATAAACTTAAACATTGATTACCGTTTGCACGCGTGCATTGTATATGCCTTTTGTACGTACGTACGTATGCGCATACATATGCATGTAAAAGCATTCGCTGGTATGCGCGAGGGTGGATTTAAAAGAAGTCGTAAATGTCGTAGCCGTATGTACAACCTGACGCGCAACTGCGATGACACTTGCATTGTTAACGCAGCTAAGCCGCGATCGTATTTGTGATGAGCCTTGCACCGATAACTTAATGTAATTGTGATGAGCCGTGCATCGATAACTTAATGTAAATGTGATGAGCGATAGCCCAGTTTATACTAATTGCATTTTCATACACACACATACATACCTATGCAAATAATAAAAAAAAAGTACCACAAGACAATTTTCGCAAGCTCCATTTTATGATCCACCCTCGTAAGCTTGTACGTATGTTTGTATATCCCTGCACAAGTGCTTTCTCCATATTTTAGCCGTCTCTCCGCAGCGGCCAAGAATCAGCAAAGTAGCAGCGGCAGCAGAGAAGCGTAAATAAATTGTACAAGTGTGTGTGTGTGTGTGCGTGCCTGTAGCGAGTGTGTGTATGTTTATGATGAGTTCAACGAACCTTGGAATTGTTGAGAATTAGCAATTCTTGAAAAATGTTACCAAAACGGGCAACATAAACACACACACATACACACACACACACACATAATCACATCGGTATACAGAGAGATATTGTGTGAAGCTTGATGATGAAAGAAAGCCAAGAGACAGCAAAAAAAAAATGCTCACAGGCATTTCTCGCTGCTTCAGCTGCCCGCCCCTCCTCTCAGCTGTGGATCTTGGCATGGCGGCGCTGGGGGCCAAGTTACGGACAAATCAAAGATGTGGAGCATCTCTCAGAGTTCGTTGCTGCAGGTTTCAGGTGTTTTTTGTCTTCGCGCTCAACGAAAGCCGAGGGCGAGTGCCGAGACAAGTGGTGCGGACCCTTAAGCCGCAAAAAGCGCTTAAGCAATAGCTTAAGCACCTAATGATCATCACAATGCATGATTTCGATTGTATGCTGTGCTATCGATGACAGACCGTTATCGATGCAAATGAGCACCTGTTGAGCTCGTCACACGTGCGACTCGTATAAGTTTTATGAGAACTTTTCCACATTTTCTTCGGTTGCACTTCGTTTCGTTAAACTATTCAAAAAAATAAATTCACATAAGACCAAATGAGCCGCCCGAGGGTTTCTATTCAACATACCATACAGACTGGTATCTGTTCGACATTAGCATATCGCCTTCATTCCATTATACAATTTTATTTAAATTTTTGTTGTTCCAGGCAAAAGAGCAAGAAAAAGGGTGTAAAAGACAAAAAGCAAAGCTACAATCAAAAAAAAAAAGCACCAACAAAAACCAAAAATACAATTTCATAAAATAATTAAACTGGTTATAGTTTTTTTTCTCTCTCTTTAGTTTTTTGTATTGTCTATACATATTTCGATTTTGCTTTTTCGCTTGCTCCACAAATTGGATTGATTAAATAATGTTGCAGCAAGCGAAAACCTTTCACATTTATATAAATGCAGTTGTGTGCGTGTGTGTGTGTGTGTGTGTGTGTGTGTGTGTGTGTGTGCGAGTGTGTGTACATGTGTACTTATGTTTGTGGGCACAAACACACTCAACTTGCATATATATCGGTTTTCTTTGTGTTGTGCACAGCATTTTTAGTTGCTCTTTATTTCTTTTCAATTTTATGCTTGTCTGTCCGTCCGTCCGTTCGTCCGTCTGTCTGTCTGTCTGACTGTCTGACTGTGTGTCTGTCTGACTGCCTTTCTGCTTCTTCTTCTTCATCATGATCATCATCGCTGTAAAGTGAAAGGTGCTCCCACAATTCAAAAATGCTTTTTAACTTGAAAAATTGCTACGCTTTGGCTTGCGCTTTGGTTTCTTATGGGGTTTTGCGTTTTTTTTCGACTTTTGCCTGGCAGTCGAAAAGCGTGGTAAATGGTAATTGGTAAATGTAAAGTGGCCTGAAAAGAAAGTGGACGAACAGAAGAATACTAAAAGGCAACCCTCTCGATAAGCTGCCTTTCAAATAGTGTTGTAAATTCATTTTACAAATCGATAAAAATTTTTTTTGAAAATTATAAGAAAGAAGAAAAGTTAATTTGAATATATAATTTACTAATTTTGTATGCTTTTTTATTTTTTACTTCATTTGAGATATGTTAATTAACGCCAAATGATCGATGCCCCAAAATCGGGCATGCTTATACTATAATCGATATATTGATGTTTCGATAATTTTCGATTAGGCGACTAATTGACCTTGTTAACACCCATTGACATTACGTATACGCCGTGTGGCAACCCCAATGCGACGCAAGCCCAATTGGCAACACGGAACAGCAGCTAAGTGACGTGTTTTTGGCGTATTTCAGTTATAAATATACCCAAATGGGTATATTAATAGCATGGACACACACAAACATACACACCCCAGAGCGATATGGCGTGCGTCCTATGCGGGCTTAACCTTATCACCAACAAACAAATATAATATATAATATATAATTGCGAATGTGTGTGCCAAAAGAGAAATGTACGCAAGCAGCAAGGCGCCCTGACGTAAAACCCACCCGCCGCCAGTTAACCGATTCCCCAAGTCTGACAAAATATATTCGCAAAACGGAAATGTTGTGAAAGTTGCGAACCCACGCGTGAAGACTCCAGTAGCCATGGCTTGCAATTGGTCCTAATCGCATTGGCATTTGTGGCATTGCGGTTGCTCTATACGCTCAGCTGCCAAAGTGGTTGACTTTGACGCCATTCACAAAATAAAGCAATAAATAAATGAATAAAACAAAATAAAATGAAGAGAGCCAATAGGACGGAAGCAACAATTATGTAGATCAACAAACGATTTTGGCCAAAACCAATTGATCAAGTGAGCTTTGTTAGCATACTGGATGGTTGAATGAATCACTTAGGGTCTTCATTATTGATTCGCTTTCAAGATGTCTGACTCATTTGAGTGATAATGGCTACGCCGGACTTGGGCGCGATAAGCTGACTCTCTTAATTGATCGCTTAATTGCCATAAAAACAGCCTAGCCGAAAGTCTATTCAAACCACGTTTTAATATTTCAAAAATCATTTGCTTAACATAAAAAACGTTTATGAGAAATCCAAATACAAAATATACGTAACTTTAATCTGAACTTACTAACTGTATTTAGCATGCGCCATTTTGAGTAGAGCTCAAATTTAGCCCGCGACTTATATATGAAAATATGTACGAATTCCAATATTTTCAGAATAACGGGCAATTGCAAATTAAATATTTAAAATATTTCATCAAAATATCAATATATATTAGACTAAAAGCGAAGTTCAAGGATGTGGGAGATTAGGGAGTATAACAGAAACCCCGTGATCAACGCAACCTCATAGCTAATTAACCTTTCATTTTGCATTACATACCATTCACCCTTTAATAAGACTTAACTGTTGCACAACTTGTTGCCATCGCTTGCTGTGTTACACTTATCGTATAACACTTCATTAACGCACATTGGAGACAAAACAATATGGTGCGCCCACGCTACAGCAAGACAGACCCCACCCCACCCCGCACAGCCTGGCCCTGTTTGGACCATGTGCTCGTATTGTAAATTCAATCTATGAATAATTCACACAGAGCCTTCAACTCCTGCCTGGCGGCTGCTGGCGCTGACTTGCTGGCAGCCTGCTTGGGCCTGACATTGACGTCAAGAGTAAACTAAACAGCTGGTCGCCTGACGGCCGCCCACATACAATCGTAACTATGTTGGACTTAAGAGCAGACTGTTGCTCTTTGCACTCGCGCTGAAAAGAGAGCAAGAAACGGCGGGCAGCAACAACAAACTGTGCAATGCGCATCCTGCACTGCGCAGCGCGTGTAAAATTCGCATGAATGGACGCGAAAGTTGACTCAATGAATGATGTGGGGGGTGTCTCTCTCTCTCTCTCTCTCTCTTTCTTAACATCTCTCTTTCTAACTGTAATACGATGATACTATAAATGTGCATGTATATATACAAAAACATATGTGTGTGGTTTGCACAAATTTAATTATGCGCGCTTTTGCCATATGTTTGAACTTTTTTCATAGAAATGTGCCGCTAACAAACCACAAAATTTGCAGTGTTGCCATCGCTGCATGATTTTTTTTTGTTTTTGGCATTCGCTTTGGATTTTTAACCTGTTTTTGCAGATTGCAACGCTAGCTACGCTCATTGGAAATGTCAAAGTTAAGCAATACACACACACACACACACACACACACACACACACACACCACACCATACACACGCACACAAACACACTCACTCACACACATTGTTTGAGTTTATGCCATATTGAAAGTATCGTGCACACATAGCTCGAACTAGTTATTCAAATATGCTGAGCAACCGTCTCTTGAGAGACTGTTGCCAAGCACGTTTTTCAGTTTTGTGGGTTCTCGTGTGCATTTAAAATAGCGGCGCGCTGCACTAAGCCGTTAGAAACTCAACATAACCTCAAAGACACACACACACAAACAACTCGCACACATGCAGAGCGACATTTGCATGCATTTGTTAACTGTTCTTTGTTCGCTGTTGTTTTTGTTTTTGTTTTACCGTAAAGGGTGTCAAATTGTCTTTGGCAAAATGGTTAATATCATTATGTACGCTCTATACTCTATGCTAGCAAAATTTGTTGGCATCTTTTGCTTATATAAGCGAAAGTTGTATCAAAATGTAAAGCGGTTGAAATGTTAAATACACAAACACACACACACACACATGCATGCATATGTGTATGTGTATATGTAAAGGTAAGCTGTGGTTAAGTTTTTTAATGCTTCTGGTGGCCCCTCAAGGGTAGCAGCCGTCAAGTCGAATAAACTTGCTGACTTATTAACTTGAACTTGTTTGTTAATGCTGCAATTTTCTTCTCGACTTGACTTTTGGTCTTACAAATTTGCCCCGCTCAACTTTTTTCTTTCTTTCTTTCTTTCGGTTTTTTTTTTTTTTTGGTCAGCATTCTTTCTGTGAAGGCGATTGCCTTTTTTCAGCTTTCGTCGAGCCAAGGTAATAATTTTACTGGTTTTTTTATTTTGGGTTTTCAATTCTGCATGCTAAAAGAAAGAGGAAGAAATTGTAGACCAAGTTTTTACTTGGTTAATTGAATGCCAAAAAATATCTTCAGATAGTTTTTAGGAAACAATATCAAGCTTAAAAAAATACATGAGCATATCATGTTTCCTGTGAATATAATCATCGTATATTTGCCGACATTCCTGAAGATTTGCTCTACGAGTGAATAACCCCTTTAATGGTTTAGAATATATTATAATCATATACAGTACATTTCAGTCTTCGAGTACAATGTATGTACACATGCATATACATATATAAGATTAATTCGAATGCTGTCTAGCATGACGTTTTGTTTCCAAGCAACATGTGCTCCTTATCTTGGTACAAAAATGTTAAAATAGAATTTTAGCTTCCAGCAGCAATATGTCAAAGTCCTTATCAATAGAACAGTGGACCACTATTAATGAATTATAGCTAATGGCATCTAAGGTTTCTACGGAATCTAATATGAACGCGGAGTGTTCAATTGAATACATATGTACATATATCTACATTTAACTTATCACAAAGATAAAACTAGAGTTTTTAAGAGTTCGATTTCTGGATGAGATGATATAGTATACCATTACTTATACATGTTTTTTTAAGATCGTAGTATTCCCCATTTAAGACAGTTTTTCATGCTTATTATTTCTAAAAATATTTAAAATTATTCAATAATTCGTGAAGTAATCAATAAATAATGTAATGACTTACTGACAGCCCTGATAAGCGCACACTTGAGGCACAAATGATTGCCCCCGACCATCTAGCTTAAAGGGGGACTTTTTTTGTTTTTGTTTTGTGTCGGTCAATTAACAGATTGCGATGTACGGTACATGTGTAAAAAAAAGTAAAGCACAATGTCTGGGATTTTTTTGCAGTTGGTAAATATTTGAATTTCACTTTTATTGCAAGGTAATCCCAACAAAACGGATTATCTATAAATGTTATTCTTTTGGCATTTAGCCTGTGGAAAAGCCCAATCGAGCTTTATTTACTATATATAAAACACTATATATATATATAGACAAATGACTTTTGTTTATGTACAAAACGAACGCGCGCCTAATCAAAACTATTTTGAGGTCTTATCTGGCTTTTGGCCCTCTTTTGTTTTTACTTTTTTTTTTTTCGGTTACAAAATGGTCTGTGATAAGATTTTTGATATGCCGCAGCCAGACGTCAACTTGAGGCAATGATAATTTAAATTTTAAAATAATGCCAAAATTAGCCAAAACGATAAACTATGAAATAAATACTTATTGTGTTTAGAGTGATGGTCAAATCATAAAGAGGAAAAATACGCACACACACACACACACACGTAATGCAACCCGAAACAGATTCTGACGTAATCGAGGGCGCACGCCCCGGGTCTACGGCGTACTGCTTACGGCGGGAAAAAAACTGCACGCGCATTTTGTTCCCGGGAATTTTGTTGTTTTTGCCGCTGCTTTAGATTTTGTTTTGGTTTTGCTTTTAATATACATACATATACATTTTTTTTGTTTTTCGCATGAGCCTATTTTGGTCGGGCGTCGCGGTCTTTGCTGCATTATCTCGCCCAGTAATGACACTGACGGCCCGAGGTTTTGTCAGTTTAAAGTGCAGCAACAATAACAACAATACTAATAGCAACAAAAAAGTCATTAGTAACTTTGCATTTAGCGCAGCTGATAGCGCAGTTCGTCTTATCACTACTGCACCCCGCACGCCCCTCAGGCCTGACAGTTCTCCAGTCTATGTGTGTGCGTGAGTGTGCCGTAATAGATTCTTTCTTTCTATTGTATTTAGAATCTGCTGTCCGCCGTAGTACTCATAAATGTTACGCCGACAGCAGCAGCAGCAGCAGAGACGCTTCCTCGACGGCGACATGTATTCATTACTGTTTCCGCAGCGATAAGCAGGCCTCACAAATGAGGCTCAACGCAGCACACACACACGCACGCACAAAAGAGAAGAAGAGAAGAGAAGAAGAGAAGAACCGTACGTATAACAATTTTTGCTCGCTAAATGATAAATTTCTTCAGTTTCTTTTCAATTTCTTGGAAAAACTTCAATTATCATTATCAGAACACTTTGGAGGTACAAAAAAAAAAAAAAAAGAAGAACTTTCGTAAGACCAGAAATAGTTCTCTCCCTTATCGCCGGCCATGTAAATGATATTTTTTGAACACAAGAAATCACTAACAAAAAAAATGATTTGTCTGCCGATGTTACCCCCTTCACTAAGAGGTAAGAAGCTAAACAAGACTCAACGTAACCGAGTTGACAGAGATAAAAAGAAAAGAAGAAGAAGGGAACCTTGTAGCCTTGCCTTTCATATCATATCTTATTTTTTTTTTGATTTTGTTTTTTTGCAAAAGTTGTTTTCAGTTATGTAGCTACGCCCCGGCACGTTCTCCTACATACATAAGTGGGAAATCGAATCGAAATAACAGTGTATCGAGAACAGGGTGTGTGCTGTCGTATATCACATAGTTAGGGTCCCCGATGTGGTAGCTGGCGCAACGGTGTCGATTAGATTTGGCTTTTGGTGACTGGCAAGAGTCAAGACTCAAGTCTCAAGTCTCAAGACTCTCGAGTCTCTTGGACAGACAGTTTTATGAGGTTGTTTTATAGGACAGGTTTTTATTTACATATACATTTTTTTTTTTTTTTTTTTTGGGGCCTTTTAGCGAGTGTTTCAAATACGCTGACACGGAGATCAGCTTGAATCGGAAAGGGAAAATGGAAGTTGTACAACAATTTCTCCCAATTCAAGCAATCTATGGCTAACGAGAGTTTTCTCCACACATTCATAATGTGTAATATATAATCTATGCCCCTTTATTTAAATTTTAACTAAATAACAAATCGTTGCACGTTCGTCGGTTCATTTGCCCGGCCTGATAAGCTCTATAAGCTTAATGTGGGTCATTAATACATATATATATATATATGTATTTATATTTTTTAAATTCGTTTTTCAAATGCAATTTCATTTTCTCCCGAACATGACTTTTTATTAAGTATATGCAACACTTGGCCCATTGTTCAGCTAATGTCAAGAGTTTACATTTTAATGACAACAGCTCAAAGTTACATATGTACATGGAGACGTATGTACAGTCGGGCAGTATATGTATATGTACTATATAAGCATGTATCTGGGCGGCTTTTCCATTATTTAAGATCGTACTCTTATCGTGTGGCTCGGTTCAACTTGAACGTCACTTGTGACTATAAAACATACACGAGTGTAATTAACACGAGAACTGATAAACTGATAAAGCATTTGGCTGGATGGTATCATAAATTGAACTCTAGAGGTTCGCTTACCGGATCTAAATCGGAGTCCCATATATCTTTGAGGTCGCCATCGTAAAACGAATCCATACTGAGGTTTGGTATTGTTTGCTTATTTATTTTATTTTTCGCGCTCTAAGAACTTTTTAGGTTTTTTTTGTTTTTTTTTTTTTTGTTTTTTCTGTTAATTTTATATTTTCAGTTGATTTTTGCGGTGTTCGACTTCGTTCCACCTGGTTGCAGTCACACAATTTTCTTAGTTTTCCTCAATTTCTTCTCTATTAAATATATGTATATATTGTATATATCTATGTATATATATTTTAGTGATAAATATACAAATTCCTTTCTTTCTGGCTAAAGCTAGTCGACAACAGTTCTGGACGCGCTTCTTTATAACACTTATTAGGGCGAAACCTGTTGCTTCCAAAGAATGTTTTCACTTGACATTGTTAAAGTCCGTGTGTGTGTGTGTGTGTGTGTGTTTTCTGTGTGTGTTTGTGTGTATCGCAGCGCGAGCGAGTGCTTGCGTGTGTGTGTACGAACATATGTATGTATGTATAGTTCTAACTTGGTTTACAACTTGTAGCTGGATTAAACTTGTTGCACGCGTTCGTTGGGGGGCTTTTTTCCGTTGTTGTTGTTGTTGTAATTATATATTTAACGATTTTATCCAACACATTCGATATTCACTAGTTTTTCGTAGAAAATTGTTATTAATTATAATTTTGTTTTTAATTGCGGTTTTCTTTTTTTTTTTTATATAGATTTAATGCTTTTGATATTTGTGTGGGGGACAGCAGCACATTTCCATTTCCATATGGCTGGCGTTGGCCATGTATAATAACATTTAAAATGTGTAGTTAATATCATTAACTGTTGCCGCTTTCGTAATTGAATTGTATATGGTACGTATATATGTATATATATGCATATATCTTGTATATATAATTGGTTAGCACAATTAGAATATTGTCCGTAGTGCGACTGCAGCCAAAAACGGTACTAAACTAAATGTCGGTGAAATTCTTGTGAATGCGAACGAACTGGCAGGCAGCAGCCGCAGCCGCAGTCATTGTCGACGTCGTCGTAGATTCGCTCTCTCTCACACATACACACACACACACACACACACACAAACGCATACACAATCGAAGCAAAGAGCGAATGTGAATGACTTAACGTATATTCGGTCGCTCCCTCTGCCGCTCGCGCGCATTGGCTGGCGTTAACAATGCCGGTTGCCGGCTTGCCTTGCGGGCTCTCTTAGCTTAACTTTCACGCTCTTTGGTCTTTGTAAAGTGAATGTAAGCAGGCGTCGCTCGTCGCCGTCGTCGTAAGCCGGCTTTGACGTCAAGCCAAGACTTATAGGAAAAAACAAAAACAAGTTTCTTCCGACGTTGACGCTGCTGCTGCTGCGGCTGCTGCTGTTGCGGCAACATTTGTTAACCTGTTTTTTTATTATAGACTCTTTTTTTTTTATTTGGTATTTGATTTGGTTTTTCCCCCCTCATGCTCTAGCGCGCTCTGCAGCTCTAGGCTGTGGCCGGCTTCAGCGCTGCCGCTTGGCAACACTTTGCGCTGCGGCTGCTGCTGCTGCTGCGGCTGCTGCTGCGGCTGCTGATCTTGTCAACTTGACCAAGTTATTTGAACTATGCGCATGTGCAGCCGACGTCTAGCTGGCCAAGCCAGCCAGTTAGCCAAGCCAAACTGAGTTAGCTAGCCTTTGTCATTTGAAGGCTGTTTGCCTGGGCCCGGCTGCAGCGACGTCAGCGTCAGCGTTAGCAGTAGCAGCAGCAGCAGCAGCAGTAGCAGTGGCATAAAGTGAATGTACTTTCAAACCAAAGATCCGGTTTAAAGCCAGGCACAGATACAGCGATGATGACGATGGCGACGACGTTTTCACAAATGCTTGTGTAATACATATAGAGAGGCAGAGCCTCAATACATACGTGCACATGTATGTATGTATGTATGTGAATATGCATGTACATACTTACTTACATATTAAGAGCTTTGGCTACAAATTTCTGATGTATTTGAACAAAGCTAAAAACCCATATGTATATCGAATTGTTGGCCAGGCTTACAGGCTAAAACCGGTCGCCTGTTCGTGATTATCGCACGAGAAAAACAAAAAAAAAAGCCCCCTCCCGGGTGCGGGAAAGTATCAAATGGTGCCTGTGCCTAGACAGGCGCTGCGCTGCGCACAGCCGAGCGTCGTCGTTACCCCAGATCAATGAGCTTTGATAGCTCGGGCAAGACGCCAGCCGCCCCAGAGATCTTTTAATATTTAATGTACACACAGAAACACACACACACACACACAAATGCACGAGTGTGTATATGAAAACATGTAAACGCGAATCATTGAAAATGTGCATTGCAAGCGTATGTACATATGTGTTTGTGTGTATATTAGTAAATAAAATTTCATTTTGTAGCTGCAACTGTGTGTGTGTAATAATTCGTCATGCTGGCCGCATTTGAACCCGCATAGCTGCCGGGCCGAACCGAACCGAACCGGGCCGGGCCCAACACCGCCCCTAATAAGCAAATCGAAACGCAAAAACAACAAACAGCAAATTTTGCGCTCTTAGCTTGCCGTTCTCTCTTGAAAACACGCTCAGATCTAACTCTCTGGGTGTGTGTGCTTCGAGCGCGCTCTTCTCAATGCGCTGATCGTGCGCTGGCGCTTCAAGTGGATTTTACAGTTACATAGTATATACGAGCATGTATAGAAAAAGAGAGGGTGTGTGTGAGAGAGAGATCGAGTGGGAGGGAGGGAGGGATGTGGGGGGAGAGTGAGAGAGATACTTTTGTATCTTATGGCTGGCACAAATATTTTTCGCGCAGCGCCCAAGTCACTGAACATTTTTTTTTACTTTTATTATTATTTTATATTATTTGATTTGTGAATCACAACAAAAACTCGTAGATATATGGGTGTACACATATGTACAAATGTGTGAGCGTGTGTGTGTGTGTGTGTGTGTGTGTGTGTGTGTATGGTTGGGTTTCACTGGAAAACAAGATACATTACGTGCCTGTTGTTGTTGTTGCTGTTGCTGCTGCTGTTGTTGCTATTTAGGTGTCGGTGTCGGTGTCTGTTGGTCTGCTGCCTCGTTGTTTGCGATTCGCATGTTGTTTATCTGCAGCAACATTTTAATCTGTACTTCAGTTATTTAACAAAAAAATATAATTTAGAATTATGCCAAGCGCCTTCTGATTAGATTTTTGTTTTTTTTTTTGTTTTTTGTACCTTTCTGCGTAAACTTGATAATTTAATGACTTCCTCTAAGATACTTAACCAGCTGATCTATAAGAATTTTGATAGAATTTCATATTATTTTCGCTTGCCATCTTTAATTGCCTTGCAAGCGATATCTGTTATAAATGAATTGCGGGTTTTTTAATGGCAAATTAATGCGACTATCTGTGACCAGAGTTAATGTACCCTAAAAGGTTTGTGAAGATAAGATTTTCGTAGTGAGAAACTATTTATATTTTGAGTTTTACACAAGGGACTGAGCCATAAATCAGTCAAACATAAATCCCTCTGAGTCTCATTAGCAATTCGCAGCGGGGTTTACTTATCAGAAATGTTTTTTCCTTTTTAGCATAAATTTTGCCTGAGACATAGAAACTTGGAAAATCTAAAAGCAACCTACTTTAGCTGCCAAAATAATAAACAGAAACCATAGATCACACTGGAAATGATTATGTCGCAGTTTATTTAGTTGATAAAGCAATTTGAAGTTTAGTTTTATATTTTGTCATATTTTTTAATTTGAGCTAAAATTAAGTTTCATTTAAACTGCACATTTAACAATGCTTTTTTGTTGAATGCCTATAATTAGTTGCGTGAAAAGCAGCTGTGTCTGTAATATTTGATGGGACAAAAGAATAAAAAAAAAAGAACAAAATAAATAATGAAAAGAACATATGCCAGCAGCTAAAAATATGTACATATGTTTATCTTCATTTAGCTCATGATGTTGCAGGTGTAAATAAAAGCCAATTGTTGATTAAAGACATTACCAAGAAAAATACCAAAATTATAAACATAATAGATATCATTTTGGCCCACAAAAAAATATATAAATGGGCAGGCGCATAAAGATTCCACACTTATCTCAACTCTATTATTTTAATTTGTTTTTCGCTTATATAGAGAGAGAGACAGAGAAAAGATCCATGACATAAATTTGACATAGTTTCTTCATTATCACATTGTAAATTGCGAATTTGGCAGTCGTTTGTTTTTCGCCAAAACCAAACTGGAACTGCGTTTAACTGCACTGGCCGCGGGTATCTTAGTTAGGGCATTCAGCTTGAGACAGTCTGTATATTATAGTATGTATGAATAGTCAGTCTTGCCGTGAATACTATAATTTTGTCATGGGATGGAAGCAGACTCCATAAGGCATATATATTCTTGATCAATCTGTCTGTCCGTCTGCTTCTTTAAAGATATTATCATGAAGAAACACCCTAAACTGGGCGGATCGGATTACTCTATCAGATATCTGCCAAGGCAACATTGAACATTTGAGAATTCGATTCTCTTCAGTTTTTCAAGATATGCTAAGCAGATTAGAGATAAACAGATTAGTTTTTGAAAATATAATAAGCTCTTCTGCAGTGCTGATTGCATATTAACAAAATCTGACCCGAATCGGCCTACTATATCATATAACTCTATAGTAAGAATCGAAATCGATGCGAATGAGCTTTAGCAAGGCAAACTTTTCTGTTTAACAAGATATCTTGAATTACGAGCTTCACAATACTCCTCACAAATCCACAGAGCCATAAGTCATATTTTGTAGGGTATTAACTGGTCGGCATAAACTCACTTGATATTTTGTCAAAAACAGAAATGAAAGAAAAATAAGAAGAAATACAAATATAAGCGTGACTTCATTACGGCCAAAATATAATATTGGCTCCCTCAGGACTATGAAAGCCAATAGTCATTGTCATCATCATGGTATTCTATTTATATATACAATACACATACATGTGCAGATGCGATGCACACATACATACATATATATCATACATGTCACTTGTTTCGGCTGGCTTAATATAAATGTCTTGCAAGCTGTACAATGAAATTAACACATGCTTGTAAATAAATGTACATGTGCATTGTAAATTAAACATGCAGTTCACTGATCGAGCTACGACTCTGTGTCACTCTGTGTCTCTGTGTGTGTGTGTGTGTGAGAGTGTGTGTACCTGTCCGTGTGTAAACATATAAACAGATCCGCACCGGCAGACATTTTGCCGACGTCGTCGTCGTCGTCGTCGTCGTCGTCGATTTACAACTGAGTCCACAAAGCGCGTGCATTGATCAGTCTTTTGTGTGGATCCGATCGTGTCTTTTGTCCGTCCATCTGTCAATGCATTTTACAAAGCAAATATGGTTCATACGAAATGATCTATGGTAAAGAAAAATTGCTTACGTTTGCACTTGTTTAAACAAATATATGTACATATGTACAATATGGGAGGGCTGCCCCTCAACCTCTTGTTTGCCTTCATTTCGTTTATTATTAATTTTTCATATTTGATTCGGCTTACAGGTGCAGGGCAGTCGCTGCGCGACCGTGATAAAGTCAGCTAACATAGACCGTCCGGGCGGGCCCGTCTTGTCTTATCGTATTGGCCAAATGCTTGACAATAAATTAGATTTTGTGTGCAAATTTAGAAAATAGAAATAGATGATATGCCATCCACTCCAACGTCGCTTGGCCCGGGGTCCCATGATGTTGCAAAAACGCAACTCACATAATTGTGTGATTTATATCACAACAAACAGCGGGCATTATTTTGAGGGTTCTCTCGACTCTTCGCGAGCTGTGAACGCGCCCTGCCGACTAGAAGGCAGCACAAGAGCCACAACAAGAGCCAAAAAACCAGGGCTGCAGTCGACAGTTTTCGACAGTTTTTTGAAGCCCGAATTCCAGTTCCATTTACCATGAACCGTGGCTTGAAACCGATTAGTCAATTGAAGCTGAAGCTAAAACCGAACTGTACTATATGAAAATAAATACATATAAATGGAAAATTTTGAAGTTATCTCGATACTTTACGAGTAGAGGGCAATACAAGTGCCAAAAAACCAGGGCTGCAAGCTGTTTTTGAACCGAAATTATTTGTGTAGCGATTTTCAGTTGTTTTTTTCCATTAACCAAACTTCAAGCCGGCTAAGTCCATTAAAGCACAGCTAAGCCTAAGCCGAACTCTCTGAAGATCTCTCAAATCTGATGAGCTGTAAGAGCCCTAGCGGGCAAGGATAAGACAAGTGCTAAGAATCAGGGCTGTTATTGAAAGGAAATGATGTTAACCCTCAGTACCAATTGCTTATCTACTATTTTCCATTTACCATGTTGATAATATATGAGATTGAAATATTGAGGTACTCTCAAGTCTTCCTCAAGCGAGAAGAGTATAAAATAAGTTCGAAAAACCAGGGCTGCAAAACTGTTCACATCCGAAACGGTTTGATATTTGAATAAGAATCGATTTTGTTTACAAAACAATCTTTGTTTTATTCTTTGAAAATATTATTGCACAAGATTTGAGCTTTAAACATTGTGCTTGCGATATTTTCAGTGTGAAAACTTAAACAAAATTTCAATAAATAAAAATACAAATTACTAATTAATTTAATTATAAATGAATCGAGTTGTGATATTTGTACGAACAAATTCCCTTAGCAAGAAATATTTACCTTTTTCATATTTTACTAAAATATAAACTTTATTTAAGGACCTAAAGCAGTTCTTGTTAAATATTGATAATATTATTTGTAATAGATTAAATTGTTATCTCACAATTAGGCAAAACGAGGTTTACGAAGCGAAGCTTAAGCCGAGGTTCGACCCATTTGCTGGGCTCGGTTACAAGCTGCATCAGAGAAACGTAATAGCCGACAGGTGCGCACCTGTAGCGAAATAAATATATATATATATGTATATATATAAGTTGGGGCACGTTTTTAGCGGTCTTCGGGCTCTATAGGCAAAATGCGGCCAAAATGCGGCGCTGTTGAGGTCAATGATTTCTGCCTTTTCACGCTTTTGGCTTCGGCTTTGGCCAGCGAGACGCCGAAGAAAAAGCACTTGGTGTGCGTATATATTGAATATTAATTAAAAACCAAAAAAATAAGTCATAGCCTGGGCTTATGTAAACACGGAGAGTGTTTCGAGTGGACCATTGCCCCGCTGTTGTAATGACAATCGATGACATAATGTGATAAATGTGATATATGTGATATATGTTGGTTGGAATTTACGCATGCTGTGATTCACTCGGGCGAGAACAATCTGATAGCTATATATATACACATATGTATATGGAATTTGAGGCCATGCTGATAAACAGTATTCAATTAGACTAAAAAGAAATGCATGTTCTTATCAGATTTTCGGAAGTTCGATCGGCAGAAATCAAGCCCATAAATTCAAAGGAAATGTCGCCGTGAGAGCTCAGTTCAAAAACCAAGCTGAAGTCAACAAAATGTCCAAATCGTCGCTTCTTTTCGCGCTAGTCTTCATATTCTGGTCACAGACCATAAATGCCGACATCTTCGAGGAGTGCTCGGATGCGGAGGCCGAGAGCTTCGTCTCCAGCTACGAGAGCTGCCAGGCGTATGTCTACTGCGATGGCGACGACTCCATACTGGGCCAATGCGATGATGGGCAATACTTTGATCCCGAATCGGGCACGTGCGACGATGCGGAAAATGTGCAGTGCTTTCTGGACGAGGTCGATGAGCCGCCCGTGGAGGAGGAGCCAGAGGAGCCAGCTGTGGTGCCAACACAAGAGCCGGAACCAACGCCGCCAACCATGGACACGCCCGCCCAAGTGGATGTCGTTAATGTGGCGCCCATTGTGAAGCCCAGCTGCCCGCAGAGCGACGATCCCAGCCAGGTCATATTTATGGCCAACAACGAGTCGTGCACGGACTACTATCTGTGCTATCACGGCCATGCCATGCAGATGCAGTGCACCAATCAGCTGCATTTCAATCCACGCACCGGACAGTGCGATTATCCGGAGAATGTGCACTGTGCGGTAGGTTTCGGGCCGTAAAATGGCAAATAAAAATCTCCGGCCGTATGATAATTATTGTTATTTTGCGATTGCAGCTGGATGAGCCAGCGGCGCACAAATGCCTGCCACACATGACCGACTTCTTTCCGCATCCGGACAAGTGCAGCTATTTCTACTACTGCATCAAGGGCTTCCTCACGCTGCAGCAGTGCCCCTTCTACTACGGCTGGGACATCGAGAGGCGCAGCTGCGTGCAGCTGAACGTGGCCAAATGCTACGGCAACTCCCGACGTGCGTAACGTTACGTTACGTTACGGGTTTACCCAGCACAGCTCTATCTAAGATAAAAGAGAGACATAATATTGTATACCTTTAATTGATAAGCGCCCTACTCCCTGATAAGCCAAGCTAAACACGAGTCGTTTAATTAAATGCAAGTATTTAGAAGACAAACCGTTATGGGAAAATATAAAAAGCCTTAGCACAACTCCAAACAGCCGCACACAATGAGACAATCCGTACGCATTGACATCCGGCCGATCGTCGCCGTCGTCGTGGTCGTGGCCAGCGTCGTCATGGCAGCCGAGTTTCCGGAATGCGATTCCGTGGCTGCCGAGACATTCATTAACCACACGCGACCCAATTGCAATCATAGCTTAATTTACTGCGATGGCGACAGCTCGCAGTTCTGCGATTCCACCGTACTCTGCGACCTGGAATACACCTGCCCGCTGGCTGCAGACGGCAGCACGAACAGCTCCACGCTGCTGCCAGTGCCCGCCGACGAGGTGCCCGCCTCAACGGCCAGCTCCACCGAATCCAGCGAATCCACGTCCGCCTCGACGGCGTCTCCTCTGGATGTGCGTGCGCTGTGCCGGCGCGGTGTGACCAAGAAGTACATGTATCCCGGCAATTGCAACTATTACTATTACTGTGTGGATGGCTTTCTGGTTGTGGAACAGTGCCCCATCGGCTACGCCTACAACGAGCTGAGCGGCACGTGCAGCGGACGCATCCAAGATTCGGCCGCTTGCCGGCAGCTCTGAGCCGTGAGCTGGCGAACATTTACCAATTAAGCTTTCTCGTTGTCAAACACATTCTTTAACACAATTAATAAATATGAACTAATCGCCTTATCGAACTGCGTACGGCCAGCGCCTCTAAACGCCTATAAAGCGGCCGACTCCGGCTGCGGATCTCAACAGTATTTGATGTTGAAACTTCTAGCAATTGTCTTTGGCTGCCAGCTGGCCTTGCTGGGCTCCCAGGCGGTACGGGCGGCATTCCTGCAGGAGTGCGAGGGCGTCATCATTAGCCGTGTGCCCAATCCGAATACCGAGTGCAGCGAATATGTTTTCTGCAATGGTGACGATTCCTACTACTGCAATGGCGATTGCATCGAGCCGGTTAGCTGCTACGGCTCGAATGACACGGAGCCAACCACGTCGCCGGAGAGCACTACGCTCAACACTCCGCTGCCAACGGCAGAGTCAGCTCCAAGCAGCAGCAGCAGCAAGAGCTCAACCAGCACCAGGAGTACCTCCAGCAGCACCTTGACCAGCACCACCACGACGAGCACCACCACGACGAGCACCACCACGACGAGCAGCCTCCAAGTGATCTGTCGCCGGAGCGGTCAGAACGGCGTCTATCCTTATCCGGCGAACACAAACTATTATTATCAATGCATCGCCGGTTATCTGCTGCTGCAGCAGTGCCCGCAGCATTTCCGATTCGATGTAGCGCTGAGCCAATGCACTGGCTCAAACCCTTATCAATTGTAAGCCCCATGGCAATAATAAAAGTCAACACAATCAGCAGGAGTTTTGCATGACATGTTCTGAGCGTAAATTAAATGGCCTGATAAGCGGGCAGCTCTGGCAACGTAAAACGTTTCCGTAGCCAAACTCTGCTCTTTAGTCGTCCATCGACAACGTTTGGAAGCGGAGGCCATCAATCATCTGAAGAAAATGTATTTGCTGCTGCTGCTTCTTCTTGTGGTTGCCAGCTGCCATTTGGCGGCCAGCGACATCTTCGAGCAGTGCAACGCGGCGAATAATAATAATTTTGTGGAATCGAATAAGAGCTGCACCCATTTCGTGTTCTGCAGCGGCGAGGATTCCTTCGAGGGCGAATGCCCCGAGGAGTATGACTATTTCAATGCCCAGCTGGGCATGTGTGAGCCCATGCAGGATGTGGACTGTCGCACCGGCTTGCCGCTGCAAATGCCGGAGGCTGCCGGCTCGATCACAGTCACCGAATTGCCAGCAGTTACAGTCACAGTCACAGTCGTGACTGATATGGTGACCGATGTCGTGACCGCCTCCAGCCTGGCCACGTCCTCTGCGACAGCTGCTCCGACAACGGCTGCCAGCGTTGGGGAGCATCAGGTGATCACCCTGGTGGCCAGCGCTTGCCCAGCCACGGATAATTACAATCAGATTGTGCTGATGGGCCACGACAAGTCCTGCACGGAGTACTTCATATGCTATCACGGCAAGCCGCTGGCCATGACCTGCGCCTCCATGCTGCACTTCAATGTCAAGACCGGCAAATGCGACAAGGCCGAAATAGTCAACTGCCTGGTGAGTGCCACAGGAGATCTTAATATATATATACATATATCTAAAAATATACCCAATTATTCCTTGCAGCGATCGACTATAAGCGTGCGGGAACAATGCAAGTCGCATACCGTGGATATCTATCCGCATCCCGATAACTGCAACTATTTCTACTATTGCCGCAATGGTTACCTGATGCTCCAGCAGTGCCCCTTCTTCTACGGCTGGGACTACGAGAAGCGCTCCTGTGTGGCGATCGCGCATGCCAAGTGCTATGGCAGAACCCGACTATTCAAATAAATTCCATTTATGCAAAATCTAATTTACTTTAAATAAAACTTGACTTTAAAGGAACTTACTTTTGTTTTATTATTAATAGCATGGGAAATGTATATATATTTGGTATATATAAATATATTTGCAAACTATATAAACTTAATCTATTATAGAGTATACAGAAAAAACAAGTAAGAGGTTCTAGTCGGAAGCTCCCGACTAGGGGATACCCTGAACCCTCTTCTTCCAACAGGCGATAGGTATCAAATGAAAGATACTTGATATATATATATACTATTCTAGAAGCTACATGTCAAGTTTGTTGACTCTAGCTCATATTTTATTTACCGAAATTGCTCAAAAAACATGATTTCAATATAGATTTTTATCGATTAATTGGAAACGGTGCAAGTTATCGAATATCGAAAACAACCCTGAATGACCTACAGCTAAAATTTCAAGTCTCTAGCTCTTATAGGTTCTGAGATCCTTGCGTTCGTACATACGGACGGACGGACGGACAGACGGACAGACGGACGAACAGACGGACATGGTTAGATCGACTCGGCTATTGAATCTGATCAAGAATATATATACTTTATGGGGTCGGGGATGTTTCCTTCTGCCTGTTACATACAAATACATAATACCACTAACTGTACAATGCATTGTATAGTTAGTGATAATAGCCTTTTTACCCATTTTCAATGGGTTAAGGGTATAATAAAAATAACTCTTGAATTTTAGAAGAGTGTACTACCAAGGCCTTGGATTTGAGCCGTCGTCCATGCTAAATGACTGACTGGATGCCAAGGCCTATAAAGGAAGATTGGTTTGTCTACACCCTATAAATATATTTATCTATTTCTGACTTCTGACTTCTATGTTTATCCAATAAATATTACAAATCTGCTTGGAATGACTTTTACAATTGGCCTGCCAAGAGCTCACTCCAAATAAATACCTTGGCAAGTTTATTCGTCATGGCCGTAAATATAGCTCTTCGGATAACTTCTGGAAAATCACTTGCTATTTCGCAATCTAACAGGGAACACAGGTAAAGACATGATCATGGGTTGTTTTTCAAGGCCTCGGCACAATTTGATCACAGTCAATTGTTGAATCATTGCACAATGAAAAAAGATTTGTAGGAAATTCAGATATTAGAAATGGGCCAGCTATCGCTAGTCACCACAAATAAATAAAGATGAAGCCCCATTGACCGATAGGACAGCTATCGAGCCAAGGACAAGTATCTATTTGTACTTCTTTGCTATCAGCCCACACACAGAACATAACATAATTAATTGGGCTTTTATTTTGTCGCAGCCACAATCTATGGCAGCTAATCTCGAGTTGAAGTCTGTTTTTTTTTTTTTGGGATCGAAATTGTAAAATTAATAACGTAGCACAATGCGCTTCGTTTCATGCGGAGCTGAGATGTGCGGCTCGGTGGTAATTGTGGAATCAATATATGTCGATCGATTGTGTGGCAAAAAGTAGTGCAGAAATTGTTTTGGTTGAAGGCCTTATCGAAACGTTGACACGCAATTGAAAAATGTTAATTTTCTGATATTGATGCTATGCTGTCGCATATATGCCAAGTTCTTGGCGCATTACGAAATTAGAATAAAATTGTGCTCTACTGAGGCTTGACACACATTCAAATGGACTACAACTGGAAACTTTTTGGTAGATCCTGCAATTTATTTCGGCCCAATGCCTCTTTTAACCCATTTTTTCATTTCAGACATCTACTTGCTGCTGCTGCTGTGCTCCACGTTGTCAACGTCTCGGATGCAGTGGAACATCCGCAAACCCACAAATTCGGTGACCATACGACAGAGCGCTGTGAGCATGTGCTTGAATCATGCGAGCGGCAGCTTTGTGGAGCATCCCGACGACTGTCGCATGTTCTATTTGTGTCAGGATAACGGCGATGCTGTGCTTGCCTCTTGCCCGTCCAATATGTATTACAATAAGGAGAACAAAATCTGTGATACGGCTGACAATGCTAAGTGCAAGAATAGCACCAGCGGCGAGATCAGCAATGCACCTGACACCGACGAAAATGAGCTAAACAACATGGTCACGGATGCGGCTACTTATTGTGCTACGTTAACGCCACAGGCGGGCACTGATCGGATTGTGTATATAGGCAGCTCGAGCAGTTGCAATAATTATTACATTTGCTATTATGGACAGGCTATACTGCAAGAGTGCAGTGTGGAGCTGCACTGGAATGCAGTGACGGCCAAATGTGACTTACCGGAGCGCGCGAAATGCACGCTGGAGGAGAATACGGTGCCTGTGCAGCCGCCTAGTGATATTGCCAGCGAGCTTTTGCATTGCCCGGCCTATGGACAGCATCTGTATCCGCATATGCAGCGCTGCGAATTCTTCATTTATTGTGTTAAAGGTCATGCAACCTTGCAGCAGTGCCCGTTTTACTACTTTTTCGATGTGATTTCCAAGACCTGTCAGTGGTCACGCACGGCGTTGTGTGCGAGGGATTTGAATTTTCCGCGCCATTAGTAATAAGATAATCGATACCGACCGTGCCACAAAAACACAAAAGAGTGACCGTATCGGTACCAATTAATCGATACTAAGTATCCGTCGAATTGAGTCGATTAATATTTGTCGTGATGTCATGCCATAAAACACCAGAATTTTCTATGTGACGGTCACACTGTTGTTGGCCTGGCCACTGTTTACACGAACTTTTTTATAATTAAAATGATAAATTGTGCAGCGCAGCTAAATAAGATGAATTAAATAATAAAACCAAAAATATAGCTTAAATATGTCCTTACTAAAACTCAGGATACAAGTTTTACGAGCAACAACAAAGTAAAGAAAAAGGGAAGGAGTTATTTTTTTATTGAAAAATCGCTACGAATCCGAATCAATAATAAAATTGAGTAGTTTACTTGGTAACAGTTAACATCTGCAGGTAAATTATACTTCACCGATAAACAACATTTCAGGGCAGCCTCGATATTGCTGGAAAGTTCTATAAACGTCTTGAACAATTGATTGCAAGCAGCATATAAAATAAGTGTCAATTTTGTTTTTTACTTGTGTGTGTACGTAAGAAAAATATGTTTGAGAATTTGCTTGGCATTTTTCGTAAACGTCGACGCTGCGATGAGCAACTGTCTACCCAGCCCAGTTCCAATTATGACAGCGATGAAGATGAATACAATGATGACGATAACTATGCCCATCCAGCCGAATGGACTGGCGCATATCTTAACAACTCGCAAATCGATAGGTAATTAATAACTAAATAAAAGTTCTTTTTGCTCTCTTCTTGCAGCTGGTGAGTGTGTATGTGTGTAGCTATCATATAAACAGTATAAGCATCAGCCAAAAAAACAAAAAACAAGCCCACACAAAAAGCTTAACACATTCCATAACAGCCAAAAGGCCGATCAAGTTTGCTGAAAAGGCGCGAGCTTTGAAACTGTAACAAAAGTCAGAAAGAGAAAGAGAGAGAGAGAGAGAGAGAGCGTGAGCGAGAAGCATCTAACAGCTTATCGTTGGTCTTAAGTTCGATCTGGCACCGAGGCCGGACGGCTACAGCAGTTTTTATTGGCACCCTGGATCAGCCGCAGGATATGGATATTGATGCTCCAATTGCGCTTGGCATGCAGGAGCACAACGACGACGACAATCAGCATCATAACAGCACATCACACGTTTATCATTCGGAATCATCAATGAATTTTGATTATTTGCAAGGCTTGCATGCGGATGCAGCATCATCATCAGGCGGTTCCATTGGCTCCGGCAACACCTCTTATGGACTTGTCGACGACAGTAGAGCGCTGGACAGGTTGTTATTCCAAACTACATACAAACAAAAAAAACTACTAGCCAACACCACAACAAAAACACCTCTCGAATCAAAAATTTAAATTTAAAATTTTATTTTATTATTTGTCGCTTTTTGTCGTATTTTGTTTCATGCTGCTACCTTATGTTTCATCAGCTTATGTAGAATATCATACTTTTTTTTACATACGACTCGATTTGGTAGTGTCTAATAATAATTATAATACATAATGGTGGTAGCCCAAAAGTGTTTTGGTTTTGAGTGTCGCCCACACAATGTCCAAAATATAATAACAAACGTTGTGTGAGTGCCTCTGAATTATTTGTAAGTTTCTACAGCCTAACAACGTTTAACAACAACTTTGCTTGTCTCTTTTCATATCACCAACAACAACAACAACTACATAAAATAACCAACATTGGGTAGACCTTTCAATGCGAACGAGCGGTAAAACCACAAACATTACTAATGCTTAACAAACATAAACTAATGTTATGCCCATTTACAGATTTGTTACAATACTCGATCAATTGGATGCGCGTGTAGAGAAGTTCCGCAAGGATTCCTTGAATTTACAGGAAAAGAAAGACTACCTCTTAATGTCCATGGATCTCATCAAGAGCAACGAATTGCTGCAAAATATGAGTGAGGGTAAAAAGATTTTGAGTTAAATGTAAAACTGAAAACTAACTTGAATAATCTATCTGATGCTCAGGGGAGCGCGAGGAGATCATGTTGTACATTCAGCGCGTTAGTTCGCGCCTTGCCACGGTTGAGCTGAATGTGCGTACCGTAAGGGACGCTTCACAGGAGGATTCGCTCAGCCAGATTAATGCCCTAATCGATACAATGATCAAAATGGGCGATCCTGTCATTGGACGACAGCGTTGTCAGCTATATTTAAATGCCTGCTGCACCACCACCATCGATCCCAATGGTCGTATGGGTACAGTGCATGAAGCGGATGTGGGACCGATCGATAAGAAATTCGAAAGTGCCTTACTTGGCTGCACTCTGGACGATCAGAAGAACATTAAGAAGCGTCTGCAGGCTTTAATGGGATATCTTAATAAGCAAACTGTTACCAATTAAATTTAACTAGCTATCAATATGCCGCAATATTATAATGGAATTATGTTATGCCAGGGCAACCGATAAACCAAAACGAAATTAAATTACACAATATGCCGACACAAATAAATCGAATCTGATATATATACGCATAGTTTTATAGTTTTTCTGTTATCGATGTTTATTGTTTGGCGCGCCAGCAATCGATAATTGTCACGTTCACTCACACTAAACAGCTGAGCAAGTGCCGTTAGTTTGGTTCCATCTTGTTTTTTCATCTGCACATTTTAATTTCATAGGCCCGGATAGCAAATGTCTTGCGGTTTAAGCACACGATCGCTTAGCACCCAAACGGCGCCCTCTACTCCAAAGAATATTTGCTGTATATTCTTAGAAGTTAAATAAATAATCTCATTACCCTCGGCGGTTAAATTTGCCAGCTGCGCGCAACGCACAACTGCGCCAAATTTGGGCATCACATAGAACAGCGCTCCGAAGTAATCCATTATCATGCTGCGACTGGGGCCCAATAAACTGCCCAGCCGTGTGAGCTGTATGTGCAGGGTATCCGCTGAGGAGGAGAAGGAGAGGGAGGCTTGCGTGGAGCCTATTAATTGCAGCCTTTTAATGGAACTGTATAGTGCACCATCTTGATCCGATACAATCAGTTCGCCCTGCACACCAAATGTAAAGTCAATTGGCTTGATGGCAAACGCCTGACTCATGTTTTCATATTTTTTACTTTTTAGCTCACGACGATGCCAGGTTTGTTCTAGTATATCATAGGCCAAGATATGCGGCTGGCTATCCAATATAAAGAAGATGTGGCGCTCCAGCTCGCAGCTACTTGGCTTGGGGCCCAGATGTACCACCAGGCTCTGTGTGGCATTGGCGTCAATGTGCTGACCACAATCGATGCGCAGCAGCTCAGCATTGTTTCGTATCAAATCGAAGACCAGCAGCTTGGGCGCACACTCATTGTTTGGCCAGCCCACGTCCATGACCCACAGACGGCTCAGGCTATCCACCTGTGACCAATGAGCCTGCTGCAGACGCGTGCAGTCCATCTTGCGCTCGGCTTTATTTGCATGGACTTCGCTGTTGGGAAAGATGACCGTGCGCATGGGCAAATAGGAAACGGGCCACTGCGCTTCGATCAGTGTGGGAAAATCATTGTGTTCCACGCTTATGCTGAGAAACACCCGCGAAAAGTGTGTGGACAAGTGACGCACATTGTAACTGGAGTTGTTGAGACCCGCCTGGGACAGCGACCAGCCTTTACAGAGCCCCGGTTCAAGCAGCACACAGAGAAGAACGTAGAAACGGAGCCGCGTGTGTGTGTCCATCGTTAAGCGAGCGGACTGCAACTGGAACTCAGCTAAGGCGGCCCCCAAAACAACAACTGCTTACGTTGTAAATGGAAATTGGCCAAGTCAAGGCAGTTAAATACATTCGTCAAATTTGTCTATCTCAGCATTTGGGATATCGTGTGTCAGCCGACAAATTAAATAAACCGGCAACCTGCATTTCGACAAGCGACCAAAAAAAAAAGATGTTTGCTACCACAACACGTTCTTTGACGAAATATGTAATAGCGGTATAAATAGATCCGTCTCAGCTGATATATTCCCTGAGGTATGATGCTTATGGTTAATACTCATGTATTCGGAATACTTATATTCGTTACAGACTTTATCAAAGTGTCATCGCTCAGGATAAAACAACTGTATCGCTATAAGAAACTGGATGAAACTTTGCGTATATAACTTAGCGGATTTTTAAAGCTGAATGACTTTTTTGTATAACTTTTATAAAGATAGCACAATTGTATCAGTCAGTCTGACTGTAGGGTATTAAGTCATCGATGCCCCAAGTATTGTTGAACAATATTGCTGTTAACGTTTTTACGGATACGTGAACTTTTTTGTTGTGCAATGACTCACATAAATGGGTGTTATCATTATTGACAATATATCTATCATAGATAACCCGTGCCCGTCAATTGCCTTAACGGATCGTCTTATAATATAATATAAATATTATTATATTATGCAGACGGTTTCATACATACACGTAGAGCGAAAAAAACAAAAAGTAGGGAGCGGATTGGAGTATTGGCAAGAGAGAGAGAGAGAGGGAGAGCGAGAGACGGAAGAGAGTAAAGTTGAGTAAGAGCAAGACCAAAGGTATTAATTAATTAAAAACTTGTGAATTTTGAATTTTTTTTATTGTATATTGCAGCGCAGCGAAAAGTGTGGTACAATATAATGTAGATATACGCATATGCATATACATACATATGTAAATACGCACATATGTACAAGCGTGTACACATACATAAGTAGATCAATATTTACATATATATTAAATATGCACATGCACAAACATACATACATGAATGCATGCATACACACACAGACAAATACATATGCATACATATATATGCATGCATAATACATACATGCATACACACATACATACATACATACATACATGCATGCATACATACATACATACATGCATGCATACATACATACATACATGCATGCATGCATACATACATATATACATACATACATACATATGCATATGCACAAACACTCACACATGCACACACAATTAACTTTATTAGATTAACACCACACTTGTATGTAGCACTTCACTTACTGGCCAGACAAGGAGTTCCGCAGGTGCTACTTGAATTTTTGAGAATCGAGGAGGAGAGCTGCATTAAATTTACGTTAATTTTTAAATTTGCAGCGCAGCAGCATGTTAACTTGATTTGCGTTTGGACATGCAGACATATACACATATGTACATATATACATACACACATACATACACACACATACATACACACACATACATACACACACACAGACATGCATACATACATATATAATTCGTGCTGATAGTACATGTAAGCATTATTTAATGTTATCTGATAAGAAAAAACCGCTTAAATGCATAAAATAGGTTCTGTCAAAATTGCTATTATCTATTGTTATAAAACAAATTCATGATATTTTTATTATTTTATTTATAGCATTTATTGCAATACCTAAATTTGAGGAACTGATCGATCAAGTGAATACGATCCCAAATATTTTCTTATATTTCTTGACCTAATCATTATTTTTATGACTTACCATACCTGATTTAAACGCACCATTCATGTTCCATTATCTAATCTAGAATAATTCGAATTGCTTCTTTAGCTTTTGCCAAAAACTAAGCCAGATATGTTATTTATTTACACAATTGTTGATAATAGTTTCCTGTACTTTTTGTAAATCCCCAAATGATATGTATATAGATGTATTAATACCAATTTTATACCTATTACCCATTACCCATTATTATCTTAGTATTATCTCAGATGGCTAAAAGCAATTTGTCACCACATTTCTACAAGTGAACTTTTTTTTATCAAATCTATCTGTGCTATATTAATCCGATATTCATTTCAGTTATGTAGATCATAAATTTTTAGTATCTTTATAAGTGGTTTTCTAAGGAGTTACGACCAGAAGCTGCGATGTGCCTGCGCCATTGTCTCTTTGAATTTGCGTTTCTGGCGGTTCGAGGAATTGGCTACCTGTTCTTTGGGTAAGAAACAACTAGGTTTCATATATCATCAATCTATCTATATATATTTTTTGATTTTCAGTTTTTTGGAGCTACTTATTGTGCTGGCTGTAAGTCGCGTCGTTTGGGTCCTGGTCGTCTTCGGCCTAACCGGCAGCTTGGTCATTTTCGGCGTTTCGGAGTACATGAAATCAGGTGCTTCTTCCATGCCGAAGTCCCTAGACTTTGATGCGGATCTCAGCAATGCAACGCAACTAAATATGACGAACCTGACGATGTTTTAAGTTCGGGCAACCTATGGAAAACCGAGTATCGGTTCGTCAGTAAGCTTTTTTTTTTTGTCACACAGTTGGAGCGTTGATTACCGATGTCATGTTATCAGACTATTATTATTATTTTTTTTTTTTTTACCTTGCCACGATATGATTAAAGCTTTTCACAACTCAATGCTACAATTTGGTTTGTGAGCAACGATTATTTCAGTTGTTATTTTGTTTTGGGAACAGACGGAACGTTACAAATTATTCCGTAAAGGCTATACACACCTATATATATATATATATAGTATATATATATTTTGTATATTGAGGCATATACGTGAACGAAACACTTAATTAAAATGTGCAACGCTTGTTGGGAGTGCATTAAATGCCCGGGCAAAGTGGTTTGCTGGTAAGTCTTCGAGTGCCTGAACCTGCTGTGACTCAGCGTCGGAATGATATAGGTGGAAAATCGTAAAAAAAAATATATATATTCATGTGTCTATCCAAGGAGGCATACACAAATGGGGTTTTTTTTCCGAGATAGTTTGGGAAAGAGCGTATAAAGCTGTTATCAGCTAATTCGTGCCATAAACATGCACTTGTAAATTATTGGATTTTCGGCTATAATTGATATATTATGGCACACCTGAGTTATTCCTAGAGGGTTTTGCACTGTGTTCGGAGTAAATTTCCATGGATAGTTTTTACACCGATTTCTAGACTGATTATATCATCAATTAATCACTAGCTACCGCAACAATCATCTATATTTAGTTGGTATTATTAATTGTTCGCTCTCTTATCCATTTTTAGTTGCTGTCAATGCGCCTGCAAAATGGTCATGAGCATTTTATGCTCTATCATAGTCCTGTTGGTAATTATCGGATTGATCGTCTACTTCACCGTCTATTATCACAAGGACAACGACAACGATGCACAGAAACAGGTGGAGAAAATGTTGCCAATCGTAAAGAGAAGTATACGCGATTACTTCGGCAAGGAGGACTAGAGTATCGCGACGCTCAAAGAATTTACATATAATCTAAGTTACAATTAGCCAACGAATAAAATAATAAAAACGAAATAACTAAACCTACGAATTTTGAGCTGTGTGTCAATAATCTAATCGCATAGCGTTGAGCCGAGTTCCCATATAATTGGTTTTGGCCTTATCTGGTCGATTGTGCGATTGTTTGGCCCAAATAGTTGGTATGACCAATTTAAAGGGGTTTTTGCTGGGTTCTGGGTTTGGCCGATAACGCCATAAACGTAGTATGATTCATAGGAAATGTCAGATATTATTCGTATATTTTTTCCGCGAATGGAAAGAGCGAGCCAAGCAGCAGAGAGCGAGAGAGAGAGAAGGATCGACTACCCGCTGGCAAACCCTCGTCTGTTAGCAGCTGTTAGGTAAACATATTTCCGTATCCCTTTGTTAGGTCCGATCGGATCGGGTCGGGTCGGGTCAGGTAGTCGAAAAATCGAGGGTTGAAAATGGCTGGTGGACTCGGACTCGTCGCGCGTCAATCACAGTTCAGTTTTTGGCCGCCAAGCGTCAGGTTCTTTGAAGCAATGTCCTCCTCCAATGCAACGTTGTATTACACAGCCATCGATGATATGTTCAAGGAGTTGTTGCTGGACACAAGCGCAGAGGAGCAGGTGGACACCATAGAGGATGAGGAGCCATTAAAAGCCACACCCAAGCGTCTAGTTCGCATACGCAAGCAGAATTTGTTCGCCAAGGAGCAGGAAGAGTTTGTCATCTGCCGCCGCCTGCCGTTGCCCGCAACCAAGCCAGATTTGTCCCCGAGCAGTCAGGAGCTGCGCAAGGAGCGACAGGCGCAGGAGTTGCTGCGACTGCGCCGTCAGCGCTGGGAGTGCGAGCAGAGGAAGCCAATGCGACGCCTCACGATGAGAATTTGAGCGGGTCAGTGCTATTGTGGACTCCGGTGATCGATAACAATCGATCGATTTTGCAATCGAATGCAGTGCTTCCGTGCCTTATGCTTTACTTTTAAGTCGTTTCTTATAAGTTGTTCTAAGTATGCAATGGTGATTTAATTAGTTAATACAAAAACCTTTGAAAACAAAAATGAGTACTAAAAGCTTTGCGAGAAGCTTTTGCTGTTGTCGATTTGCACTGAGAGAAAGCGGGCAAGAAGCTGCGAAGCTTTCAAAGCGACTTTTGCTAGAGAAAGCGTAAAGCTAAAGAAATTTGATAAGATCGTTGACTAATATATGGAAAATACGTATGAAGTGATATTGAGAGCTTTTATATAGTTATCACATCAAGCTTCCGGCTGTTCGGGAGATAGAGCGACTTTTGCTAGAGAATTTGAATGTTTTGCACTGGAAGAAATCGGAGGCTACTTGGTACAAGATCATTGATTACAATTCAGAAAATACATTTGAGATCTTATCTCTTATTTTATGTCTTATATCAAATTATCCGGGAGACAGAATATGAGACGCTTTTAAGCCGACTTCTGTAAAGCTTTGTCAAATGAAATTTGAGAAATTGGATACTTTGTATAAGATAGGGCTTATGTTTAAAGAGATTTTACGATTTTATATATATATAGATATCATATCAAGCTCACGGTTATCCGGTTTTAAAGTCCAGTGTAATATTGTCTTAGCTGAAGGTCGGATAGTTTCTAACTATATCTCATACTTGTATAAAGAATAATAATATTAATAATAACAAGATATTCAGCTCAATTGAAAGTAATTGAAACGTGAACTGAAAGGAAACGATCTCACGTCAATTGCTTAGGGCATTGTTCTCTTCTATTATCAGCGTTATATTCATCTAACCTTGATATCGCATTAAATATGCTTTGATAAGATTTGGCAAAAAAGCATTTCCATTTTTCAAGTGTCTTTCCTTAACCTTCAAGATATTTTCTGAATTTCAAAGGAACGCGCCTCGCAAATCTATTAATGTATATAATTTTATGACAGGATTAGCGAGAGAGTCAAGTTTAAGAAAATACTTTAAGTGTTGCCTTATCTGTAGATAAGCCCTCGGATTATACAAATTATGGCCTTCATTTTTGGCCAATCCTTGGATTAGTTCACTGCACCAGGTATTATATTATTTATCAGCTGCATGATGACTTTCACAACTGTCTTTGAAAAAAGTTCTATTTAATCAACAGAATTGATTTATGAACCGATTCCGTTATGTTTTGAATATTATAATATAAGAAATTTGTACTATTTTATACATATGTATATATTTTTTTGTCACGCAATTAATGGAACTTTATGCAAATCATTTTGATTGCAGCCGCACGAACCCCGTTGACCCCATTTTTAGCGGCATGACTTGACTAAAATGTCATGCAATTCCGCAGGGCTGTCTGCCCTATTCACTGGCACGCCCCAATCGCCCACGAACCCACGACCCCGCCAATCCCGCCCAGACACACACAATCTGAACCTCAAGCGACAACAATTACATACTAAAAAGCATTTATCTCGTGCCGCGTTTCTACGAGCTGACGACAACGTGAGATGAAACTTATAACGCAGGAATTTGGAAAAATCGCTGGAGCCCAACGCTTGGTTGGATTTGTCTGAGATTTGGTGCAGGGCTGCTCCGGAGTATCAGCTATGAGATGGCCAAAATATGCGGAGATCACTTTGCCGCAAGGGGGTGAAATCGCAAAAGTTTGTAGCTTCGAAATGCCAGCTCCGATTTTGTTGATTCTTGAAAAATCAGATACTTTCCATCTGTGGCTATAGACTGACCAAATTTCAGGCGAATCTATGGCTATTAACATGTGAAAATCAATTAAAGAAATACATTTTAAATCGTGCATTTGTTGTAAACAAAAAAGCATTTCAAAGTTTCGATGGGAATTCGCTGCGACTTTATCATCAATGAGACACGCGGCCGGTTAGCCATATAGAGAGAGAGAGCCGGAGAGAGGGGGAAAGCCGGGGTGAGAGCCTCTGGTGAGAGCGCGTCAACTAAAAACATGTATAAGCACTTTAGGGGAATGGCGGAGGGTGGAGGGGGGGCTGGTAATGATGGCGTGTGTTAAATTAAATGTATGTCGTTTTGTTTGATGAACTTATTTGATTTCAGCTACGGCTGACCTCCATAGATATAGTTTCGATATAAGCTGGACATGCATTTAGGGGCTAAAATTCTCAAATATTAAGCTTATATCATAGCTTAAACTTGAATCTAATCGTATACTAATCTAATTTCCTTTGACAATTGGACTTTTATAACTTGTGATAGATATTTGTTTTTAATTGATCACAATTTGCTAGTCATTCGGTTCGCATTTATGACCATGAATAGCTCATTTGTAAGTGGAATGTCTACTATGTATATAGATCCATGAAAAGGCGTTTTTCAAAAAATCATTTATGATTAGATCTAGGCCCATGATAGCTGTACGTGTATTCGATTGCATTCATTCAACTTCCAGTCAATCACACATGTTTCTGCACATGTCCCTATATAACTGTATATATGTATATATATTTGAATATGTATATATTGTATATACATATGTACTTCGAAGTGCTGCACATGATGAAGCTTTCAATTAAACCGGATCTCGTATGATATTTTTAAAATATAACTTTATTTTCGGACTTTATTTGTGTGCTTTAGGGTTTCACTGCATTAGCTCAGGGAACTGCAATTTTTTCTCCAAGCTCAGCAAAAAACACAGAGGATACTTTTTTTTTATGATTAAATGATTGTTAATTAAGATTCTTGAAGAGAATACCTCTTAAAGTTGTTGACTAATTTGCAAGTATTTACAGCTGTTTCTTTAGTTTGGATAATTCTCAACATACGGCACTCAAGTGCGAGGATGGGATCATATTTAGATATAAAGACAGCAGATACTCTCAGAATTTACAAAATATACATTTATTTTTTATTATTATCATAATATTCGTCTAAGATTAAGTAATACACATTTTGTCAGACACAAAACAGAAAAGGATATTCAAGGACATTAGCATAAAATTATTAGTAGTATATACCCCCCTATGTATAAGATTTACGCTTAACATCTATATAGCTGGGTCAGCAGTAGAGACCCTGACCCTCGTTCTGCTCAATGTGGTAATTGCAGTACTGGCGCTGAGTGGGCGTCAATCCGAGCGTTTCCACCTCCGATTTGAACTGCTCGATGCCGCCAACGCCGGCGAGATAGCCGTTCAGTTTGGTGGCCACGTAGCTGGTCTGCAGCAGCTGTTGGTTGAGATTGAGTGATGCTGCCAAATCCTTATGACCCTGCAGTCTGTACTTCTGGTGGTAGCTGTGCGCAGAGAGGCGAATCAGTATTGGAATTAAGTTAATTCAATTCGTTGAACTTACTCCTCAGCCGCATAGAAGTTCTCCTTGGGCGCAATGTTCGTGGTAATCACCTCGGGCACACGACGCTCCTGCTCCTCCAGCTTGGAGGCCTCAGCGATCTGTTTCTGTTCATCGTCGTGATAGAGTATCAGCGATGCATATTGACGCTTCATGGGCTTGGTCAGGCCGTACTCATGATTGTTCCAGAACAGATCCAGCAGCTCCTTGAAGCTGATCACCGTGGGATCATAGTCAATTTCCAGCACCTCTGTGTGATCACCCCTGCATAGAGTTGAGCGGTTAGTTAGGCGATAAGCGTTAGCAGGGGGCAAATGCAGGGGAGAGTGAGTGTGTATGAGGGAGAGAGCAGAAATGGTCTTTGTTAGCCCAATTGATGTCCCATTGCACAATGCTTACATTTTACGGTACGTTGGCAATTCGGAGCTGCCGCCGGAATAGCCCACAGTGGTGCGTAAGACTCCCCGCGTGGCGCCATACAGCGACTCGGCGCCCCAGAAGCAGCCCATGCCAAATGTGGCCGTCGCATAGCTGACATTCAAGCGATGCACTGGGGCGAGGTTCAGCTCCTTTTGCTCATTGCGCACGGTGCTCTGTGTAAAGGAAGAAAGGAAACAACGAAAAAACAATGAATAAGAGTTTTAAGTTCAATGCACTCTACGCAGCCAGCACACCAGAAACAGAAAGGTGAGTCCGTAGCCAAAGCCTGGCAGACAGCGCATCATGCACAAACGTGGAAAGTATATTGCACAAACTCTGAACGCGTCGCTTTTTGAAGTTCCTTGGCACTGACTGCGTTTCGCCGACAACTGAAAGCTGTGCTCACGCTCTTTGCATTTTGACTTGCTCTTTGACATTCGTTCGCGACTCTCAGCGCTGCTCAGCTGTTTGAGAGCAGAGAGCAGCTGTTTGCTCTGCTGTGACGTCGACAGCAGCGTCGTAACGTGTCGCGTCGCTGCAGCGCACTCAAGGTCAATTTGGTGTGCAAATAGTTAATGCAAAGAAAACGAAAGTTACGCGAAACGATTTACAGCACAAGTAGTTTTGTTTTATGTTTTTCGTCAATTTGCTTAGGCGGCAAGTAATAATAATTTAAGTATTAAATCACATTGTACTTGCCCTAAAATTAAGAAACAGACGCGCAAACATTTTTGGCAGTTGTTAAAGCTTTGCTAGTTGGACGGCTACTAAAGCTGGCCAAAGCAAATTTCTGTTAGCTGAGCAAACGTAAAAATGTCGCTTAAAGACGAGCCATAAAATCGAAACAATGCGGCAATAGAAGCTTTAAAATTGCTGTACTGGCCTTGCATAAGTTCAAAGCACTCGGAAGCCTAATTGAAGTTAATTTAAATTGTTTGAGCACTTCACTGTATTAAATTTGGACTTATTACACTTAATGGCACTTTAATAGTTGAGTGCTTACCAAATCCTTGAGCTTAGGAGTCGAACAATCTTTGGTGATAGTCAACGACATGTTTCTACGTGGATTTTTGTAATGCTTTGCTTTAAGAAATGCGAGCAACTGTTGACTTTAAGCAAGTTTCCACTCATTTTATAGCCGCCGCCAAAGCGCATCGACTACTTTGATAACATTCTGTTCATCCACAGAGAGAGGGAGAAAGACAGAGAGAGAGAGAGAGAGATTGAGGGAGTGACAGCGAGAGCAACTAGTAAAAGTGTTGCGGCAACATTCAAACATGTTGTCAAGCTGCCCAAGCATGCGCTCTTTACTTGAGCTTTCAAAAACAGCTTTTACAGTGCTTTAAAATTATTTACTACGAGTAATTTCATTTATATATGTACATATTTTTACCATAAATAACAATGCCATTTTATGGAATAGGCTGCAGTCTTGTGTTTAATAAAGCTCAAGCTGTTTGTTACTTGTTCGGCTCGTATTTAAGTCGGCTCAGACGTAAAATGAAATCTAGCAGGAACATTTGTATTTTGATTTCCTTGGGATTCTGTGTGTTATAAAAACCAGGTACGCCAGCCTTTTGCAGCATCGATTGTTGGTCATAAACCTAAATGAATATTTTAAGAATTTGGTTTTAATTTAAGTTTTTGGTGGAAACTTGCCTTCTGATCCAGCACTTCGATTATTTTCTTATCTGTTTCCAACAATTTCTTGGTGTGCTTGATTTTCATAAGACCTAGTATGTGCTGAAGCTCCTCCGGATCCTTGATCTTGCCACGCCAATCCGCCACCTCAATTTCATATTCATTTTCCACTTGCGCCCGCATCTGTATCAGATGCTTCTCTGTAACATGCTGCAGTTCCATTAGCGCCTTGACTATATCGAATATGCTTTCGTTTAATACACAATTAGCCAGTTCCGTGAGCAGATCATAGGATATGCGTGTCTGCAAGGTTCTACATTTTAATGGCATATTTAACAGTTTCCAGTTCATTTCAACTTAACACTCACTCTGGGAGCTCGGCATGCATTTCTTTAAGCTGATCCACTGAAAACAACAAGTTAATAAATAAGAGCTGGTGACAATTGCAATAAACACATACTTAGGAAATAGATTTTGCGCTGCAAAAACTCGGGCGTATGATGCTGCTGCGGTTTCTCTGTCTCATTTACCGATTCGATTGAGTTTGGCTCATTGGTCACTGGAACGTCTTCCATAGTTTTCAGTTGACTTATATTAAAAGGGACCCACAAAAATTTAGTTGCAATAGCAGCGTCCACGGCTTTCGATTTAATTAGCACGCCCGAACAGATGTTTTAAAGTAATCAGGGCTGAAATCAGCATCAGCTTGAGTGTGACCACAACAATTATTTCTAACCACATATCGAAAAGGCGCGCAACATTTAAATTAAAAATAAAATTTGAATGTAAATATATTTTCTATTCTCAACTACGTGTTTGACTTAAATTCATTCACAGCTAAAGAAATATTCAGACTCTAATATCATATCATTGTGTCTGATGGAATAAGAAATGTATTTTGTCGAATCCTTTTTGCTGCCTGAACAAATAATCGAGCAAAGCCTTCACACCGGTTCTGGGATTCGGCCGTGGTGAATAACAGCAATAGGACCAGTGTGACCACAAAAATTTTATTTGACCACATAATATACCATAAAGCGCGAAATATACAATTTAGAAATAAGGCATGAACATTTTTATTTGTATTTGATTCAGAAAAATATATTTGATTTAAAATCAAAGGTGATTATTGCTACTGATTACATCAAAACTATTAGTTATGTTAAAAATTAAGCGATTTGCGTGCTTTAATAAAGTGTTTGTCTGTCTCATAGTTGTAGACGCGATTTAGTTTAATTTTTCGTCGCTTTTTGAGTTCCGTTAAAAATGTGACAGCGCCAGAACAGGGTGTAGCTGGTACATGCGTCTTCTTAATATCCTCCGAATAGCATTCACGTTTTCCGGCTTCGCGTTGTGGTTGCTTTGGTGTCTCAACAATTTTGAGGCTGATTAGGCGCTGTAAAACTTGACTTGTTTCAATGCTCGTCATGATTGAATGTGCAATATTTGACTTCGATACGCTGATCTTTGGTCGGAAAATCTGAACGATGCTGACGGATGCTGCCTTGCAACTAATTTCCCAAATAGTTTATTCCTGACTTTTATACTTTAATAGGACAGTAGATGTCTGGGCAAATTTAATTAGTCCGTCATAAAGTTGTGCAAATTTCCACAAAATTGTCGATGCAGCTGCCTGTTAGAACAGGTAACAGTAATAAACACGGTGTAAGCGATTTATGATTTTCCGATGAAAAGCGCGTAATCTATGTTTAATGAGTTTAAAAGTGAGCAGGTAAAAATGTAAATCTAGCATATGGCGTGTACACACTGGAACCCCACCATATGTTTTCAGAATTCAAGTGCACATGTGTATGTGTGTGAGTGGGCTAGCGAGCACAGTGTGAAGCTATTGCAGTGTTGGGGATACGTTACAAATGTGTTACGCGTACGGCGAGGCAGGCAAATCAGTCGCTAACCCTTCCGCATTCAATAATAATTGGCAATAAATTCAAGCAATTGATTTGGACAATAATAAATCAGTAACAGCGAATAACATCAGTAAAAGACATCGATAGATATAAAAGTCAAAGCTAACTGTGAATATTGTGTAATTGCTTGAACGAGAAGATGAAATTGAAATGAAACAGCAGAAGCAACAACAAAAACAACAAGAGCAAAGAGAACAGCTTGTCAACAGTTGGATTTAAATAATATTCATAAAATCATATAATTTTCTAAAAAAAAAAAACTACGTCAAAGCAAAGAAAACAAACAAAAATACAAATCAAAGGAAAATCGGTTGCTAGCATAAGAACAACATTAAAAATTATATAAAATTGACATGTACACAGTAAACAAGGGACCCAGCAAAATTGTTGCTAAGACGCGACGCGGTAAGTTACATTTAGTATTTACATACATTTAAACATATAATGTGTAAAAAGTACAATAAACCCTACGGGAAGGGCGACCGCCTGCAAAAAAGTGTTGCTGTTATGTCACAACACACGCCGCTGCTGCCGACAGAAGCAGCGCTGCTTAACGCTCACACGGCGCTCTTATGCGCTCGCGCTCGCTCTTTCTCTTTTGTTTTGTACTTTTTGCCGGCAAATCGAATTTACATTCAAACAATAACAAACAAACACCCACAGGTCTGCCGCAAAACTTTGAAAAGTTCGAGAGCATCAAGGAGAGCGGCAAGAAACATGGGAGCATCAGCAGCAGCTTTGATCTGAACAGTCCCGAGAAGAACAAGAAGTAAGTGAACGGCATGAGTGTGCGTGGGGCTCTTATGCAAACGATGAACGCGCTGCACTGCGGCTTATCTCGTAGCATTAATTTTATCACAAAAAGAAGCCTACGGTGTCGACCTTTGTATATAACACAGCCATGTTAATTGAGAAACCAGAGCAATCGAACAGACAACACGTGGGTCAGTGTCGGTTATCACCAGCAGCAGCAGCAGCGCATTGACTTTTGTCTCTGCCATTTTCTGCCCGTTACGTCACAAGATTTTCCATTACTAAATTTATTTTCGTAGTCCACATGTGCGTGACGTACATATGTTTGCATAAGTACTCACTTGTGTTTGCATGTGTGCATTTTGTATTCTTATGTTAATATGTGTTCATTTGAATTTCTTAGCATACCGCGCCCGGTATTTCAACAGAGCTTCGCTTCTAAACGCATTGCGCCCACAAAACTTATTGAGGATGAGGTGATAACGCCGCAACATGAGGAGATAATACGCTACATAAATGACTGTAAGCAGCAAATTTGTTGTTCTTGAACTATATTCATTTGTTTATTTTCACTTTCAGCATGGAACATTTTGGTCGCACAAAATCCATATGATTCCAGCACTGCAAAGCCCGATGGAAAGGCTGATGCCAACAATAACAGTGCCAGCACCTTGGCTACGCCTAGTCCTGTGGACAGCATTATAGCCAATACACCTGTGGCGGCATCGGCAGCGCCGGCCGTTTGGGTAGAGCCGCCAAGTCCGGCACTGAACGATTTTAAGCCATTCGATTTGGAGTCCTGGTGGGGACGTCGTTTGTTCCACAACATTACCAAAAGCCTATAGACTGATTGGCCCCTGGTTATGTTATTTTATTAGTCGGTGCTTCCGTTATTATTATTTTTACATCTAATTTCGACTGGAAATCAAATTCACATTAGATATAAAGAGAAATATAGCGGTTAAGTTATCATTTTGCAATTTTAGAGTAGCCGTTTGGAAAAGTCCTAATGACATGCGTAGGCACATTTTATCTTTTCTAGTATATAAATATAAATTTAAAACTCTTCCCAGTTGGCCGTGTAAATAATTCGATACAAAAGTCATTGTATGATTCTTTCATATTAAACTAAGATTGATTCTTTAAGTTCTATATATACATATATATATATAAGAGCAAAACATGTTAATAGTCCCGTGTGTGCATTGAGCCAGTTTTTAATTTTAAAATCTAGAGCAAAAATTGTACTATTTTATCTTAGCATGTCCAAAGAGAAACAGGCTCTACGGAGAGTTTTTTTATTTTATATTTTGAGCCCACGCGTAGCACCTGCCGAGCAAAGTTTGTTATATTAGATATACCATAAAAAAAAGTTTAAATATATAAAACTTTAGTTACTAGAAAACAATATTTTCCTAGTATGTCTTTAATAAGAACGCACATCAGTTGCAAATTGACTCGGCACGTGTAAGCTCGCGCTTAAATTTTCTCAATTTTTTTTTTATATTTGTGAAAAGGCGCGAAATACAATTACGTTTACCTAAAATTGTTAATATTGAAATAATTTGTACCATTAAAATGGTTGCATAAATAAATGCAATTGAAAAGTTTTTCAAATATTGCGTATTTAAGACTGTTAAACTTTTGTCTGGTAATTCCCAGAAAAAGAAAAACGGGTTTGTATTTGCTCTGTTAACTCCCTTTTGAGTGGTCGCGCCACTTAACACGTTGTAACGATTACGTAACGTAGCACATTTTTATTATCGTTGCGGCTTTTGCGTTAGCGTTAAGCTTTTTTGCGTTAGCATTGAGCTTTGTGCGCAATCATTTAATAGACAACTACAGCTGAGCGCCGACAAACAAAACTCAATTAATTTATTAAAAACTTAAAAATGTCGAGCGAAGCAGTTAGTGAACTAGAGACACGCTTGGGCGAGGCCACACTGGAGGATGTGGCAAGTCGCCACCGGCGTGAGCGCAAGGAGCTGCAAGCCAAATTGCAGGCAATGAAGAAGAATGCGCCGAAGAACAACAAAAATAAACGCAAGGAGTTCCTTGAGGAGATGGCGCGTCTAGAGGGTGAACTGGAACAGCGTCAGAAGGCTGAACTCGATGTTGCCGCCACCGAGGTACCGGCTGTCATTGAGCAACCAGCCAAAAAAGCGCCAGCTGCGGACAGCGAGAACGACGACGACGATGCAGTGCAGCCGACGCAGCAGCGCGTGTCCAAGGCCCAAAAGCGTCGCAACAAAAAGGAAAAGGAGGCACGTGAGCGTGAGCAGGAAATACGCGTGCAATTACAAAATGCGGCCAATCAACCATCGCCAAAGCAAATTGAGCTGCAACAGATCATAGCAAAGTTGAGCGGTCGCCAGCTGGCGCTGCATATGATCGCCTCGGACGGCGATTGTCTGTACAATGCGGTGCGACATCAGCTGCAGCTGCACGCGCTGCCCGGCCACACTGTTCAGGAGCTGCGCACCGAGACAGGGAACTATGTGCGCGCGCACAAGGATAATCTCATCTGCTACATGACCCATCCAGACACGGGCGAGCTACTTAATGACGAGCAATTCGAGGCTTACTGCCGGGACATAGCTAAGACGCACGCCTGGGGCGGGCACATTGAGCTGAAGGCGCTCTCCTCGCTGCTGCGTGTGCCCATCGAGGTTATCCAAGCGGAGGGCGCCTCCACGCTGCTGGGCCAGGAGGAGTTTGGCGGTGCGCCCCTAGTCATCTGCTACCATCGCCACATTTATCAACTGGGCGCACATTACAACTCCACGGTGCCGCTGGAGCAATAAAGCAGCCAACTTCAAATGAAATCTGATTTGTAACATTTTTATTGATTTAATATATTGATTTACATATATAACTATATACAAATATGCATTTGGAAGATTTGAATTATTGTCAAAATTTGCAAATAGTTCGATACGCTTTGTACAAATGTTATTTATTAAATAACAACAATTAGATTAGTTTAGGCATACTTTACAAAATCGTAGGTATTTTAAATACATGTTAAATCTGTTTATTAAAAGTACTTTCGAATGCGCATTGATGATCAGATTTTATATTTAACATTATCATAATACAAAATGCGATCAGAAATCCGCATTTGAGTATCTTGCAATGTATTTAAAATGTTTTCGAATTGTTTTTGTTGTTCTGTAAAGTAGAAGCTTAGCTTATTAAATCCATGGAACCCAGCCTGATAATGCTCAATTAATTGTTTAGTAAAAAAAGTTCTAGAAGCGATTTGTTTTTTCTAAAAAATATTCCTTAGTTAAATTACAATTTTTGATTTTAGTTTCTTGTTTTTATCTAACTATATAAAAGGCGCCATGAAAAAGAATTATTTATAATATGAAAAGAGTTTTACCTATTTTCTTTTGCACATATTTTGTCTTTACCGTATATTTCAGAACAATTGTTTTTGAATTGTTCTCTCTTACTGAAGATATTCCAGGTACTTTATTTTTCCTTCTTGGCGGACTTGGCATTGGGCTTCTTAGCGGGCGTGCTGGGATAGAGGACAAACATCGCCAGCTGAATACTACCCAAAATCCACAGGAACAAATTCTGGTACTAAAATTGAGAGTTGGATTTGAAAGCAAACTTCTTTTTAATGATTAAGATAAACTTACCACCATGACATGATTGCGTATGGAGATTGCATACAGCGTCCAGGCTGTGGCAACCAGTTGTCCGGCAAATATAATGGGAAAGGGCATGCCCTCAGTGCTTTTCTTCTTAATAATATTGGGCAGATTCAGCAGTGGGGAACCGACCAGCCAAACGAGAATGGATGTGATCAACATGCCCAGCCGGAACTCAATCTGCTTGGGATCCTCAAAGTTCGCATAGGCTATGCAGGCCATCAGGAACAGGGAGACGTAGCCAAGTTTGATCCAGATTTTAGATTTACTCTCACTGGAGGCATAGTAATAGAAACCGACCATGAAAACTGTATTGATCGCAAATCCAATTATATTGACATTTATCATTGGCTGGTCGCCCATCAATTGGCCCAGTTTCAAGCTGAGAACTGTGCTGTGGGATTGCAAAAATATAAACAAATATTTATAAATACAAAATCTGATATTCAAGCTGATTATAGATATTTAATGTGTCCTAATAGTGTTTTAAGTGGGGCACATCCATTCGAATTTCACAATATCTTCGTTTTCGCGTAGTTCATTGATAACACACAAATTGCATATTTCTATTCGTTATCTAATTAGCTAGCTTATCGATAAGACGCGTTTAAGCCCATTCACAAATGGAGCATACGTGTTCTTTGGTGCGGAACAGGAACATAATAACCATGCCAATATTAATTTAACATAAAACTCAAGTATTTCAACATATCTCGAAAAGAGTTGATTATCTCGGATCTAAAAACTTCTAATGAATAAATTAGATATGCTAAATGTGTGCCTGATAATATAATTGTATTTCGTCAATTTCTTTTAATTTTCCTTTAAGAAAATTGTTGAATTAACTTAAATAATTTAATAAATTTCAAATAGAATAGAAAAACGGAATAATTCAAATTTATCAACTTTTATATAGCACAAAATATTTTGCAGAAATTGGAATTCTTCCTCAATCTTCAAAAAGGGTATCGGGAAGTTAATTTCATATTTAAAGTACACAGTTTTTTTAGAAATCAATCAATAGATCCTGCTGCGAGTCGAAAAAGGTATATATCCTTTGAAGAACTAAGGATTTGAGCATGTTATGGCTACAATAGGAATTTCCTTTTCTGGAAAATAGTTCCAGCTCGGTTTTATGCGTGCATATATTCAAATGACATGGAGCCATTCTGTCCGTCTCCCATTAAAAGAATAGGGAATGCATGCCAGGATCTAATCAGTTACAGGTGAGCACCCAACTCCTCTAAGCCGCCGCTCAAGCTAAACAATTTATAAACACACAACTGTTGCGCCTAACGCGGATTCTTGCGTGTCTTTGAGCACTTGGCCTCATTTGCATATTCATTTCCATTTTCATTAAGGAAAATCAGCACGTGGCGTGGGCAAGGTCGACGCCTTAGCTGGGCTAAAAATGGGTTTGTCTCGCTGACAGATTAGCTAAGCTCGGAGGCTATAGACAAGACGACTAGCCCAAGTGTCGGCCGGCGCATATAAAGCGCTTATGTATATATAATACGTATGTATGTGAAGATAAGATTTACGTGCTGGCCGTCGGTTGGGGGCGATAAGGAATCTCTGCTAACCAGGAGACTTCCAAATTGTGTTGACTTTTTCAAATTGGGGGCTGTCGTTTGTTTTATGTAACCGTCAATTGTCATTGAAATTGAAAGATCTACTTAACTGGCAGCAGCCATTTGATTTAGCCTTGAACTTAGCAGACACACAGAGTTACCCTAACCCTTAACCCACTGACACCCCCCTTTTTATTTTTGTTTGAAAGCCTACCGCCATTTGGCAGCGTCATGGCGACAATTCAAAAAATTTAATCAATTTCACACGGCTACAGTTTGTTATTCTATTGAATGTGTGTGTGTTTGTGTGTGTGCAGTCAAGCGGCAGTATTTTGTTTTTATTATGAGATTTGTACTTACAGCACGATACCGCCCAGAAACGGTCCAACCGGGTAAACATCGCTGCTGCCTTTTTTGCGTATATCATTTAGCAGAGCGACACCGGACAGAAATTGTAGTGTAGTTATTGTGCCGGCTATTTTGCCAATAGTCTCGCTGTATGGTGCCAATAAGTCGCTGAGTGCATCCATTTTGTATGTGGCAGCTGTGTTCTATGTTGTTCTCGGGAAACTTGTTTTACTACGCGCAGTCAAGGTTGGGGATGGGGGGCGGCAACTTTTTAATCGGCTCGATTTTGATATAAACAAATGCGAAATAACGAAAACGAAACTAAAATCTAACGACCAAACGAAACGGACTGCCGCTGCCGTAACAACTGACTGCTGGCTCCACAGCACGGAACTGTCAACCTTTTATAAACGAAAATTGGCTAGATAAGCTCACACTGGCAACTCATTCCGATTACACGTATGTCACGCTGTTATCGTTATCGCTGGCAACACATATCGATTAAACGTTTGTCGTATTTCGCAATTTGAATTGTATTTGCATATTGTTAACACTAGACAACTTAAAATTATTAAACATCCTCTCGCAGTACATGCTTCTTCTTTTCGCTGACAAATGGCACCTTGCCCTTCTTGGAGTGCTTGCGCACATTGGCCTCCTTGACCAGTTCCTTGTCCTTGACCATACGCATCTTCCTTTGCGCATTGAGTACATGCCGCGGCACCTGTCGATGGCGCGCTATGCGCTTGATTTGAGGATGGGCTGCATATTTCTCCTTGAGGGCCTCTTGATAGTTGAAGTTGGCACGCTCGCGCGGACGTATGATGCCCAGTTTCTCTGAGGCATTCGCCTTCCACATGCGCACATTCATTTCATCAGAGCCGGAGAAAATGTAGCGATTGTCCAGTGACCAGGCAACGCAAACCACATGCTGCATTCGCTTGGTGTGATAAATATCACGGGAGTGGCTTTGATGTGCATTATAGATGCGCACAGTCTTGTCATAGCTGGCCGAGACAAACTCGTGGCCCGTGGGCGCATAGTCCACGTCAGTCACAGCCGAAACGTGGTCAAAGTGAACCTTCAGCGGCGTCCGTAGCTTACGTGTGTCGAATGTGTAGAGACTGGAAAAAATAATAGTTTACTATTTTACTTTTGGCTATTGCTTAATCTTTGCTTACTTGCAATCCTCGTTGGCCACGGTAAAGTTGAACGCTTCCATTGGATTCCATGCTAGTTTATTGCTCTTCATAGTCAGGACAATTTTGCGCAGCGGCTGCGCCTCGCGTTGATCGTACAAAATAATGCTTCGATCGCTGGCACAGCAGGCAAGCACATTTGTTTCCACAGGATTATAGGAGATGGTGTGCAGCGTGTCCACTCCCCATTTGAGCGTCTTGATGGGATCGTTGTGCTTCTCATCCCAAATGGCGCACACCTCGCCGCATGTGGCAAAGCTGTTGTCCTTGCGATTGTGTGAAATGCCATGCAAAATATGACGACTCAATATTGTGTTAACCGGCTCCTCTTCCTGGCCCACATCTGGCGCCTGTGAGCTCCACACTTTAATTGTTTTGTCGTCGCCCACGGTAAACAAACGTTCTCCATTGCGCGCATATGCAATGCCACGTACAAAGCCATCGTGTGCCACAAAGCTACGCACGCTGGTGCGGTTGGCCAAATCCCAGATGCGCACCTCGCCATCGTAGGCGCCAGTGGCCAATGTTGACAGCAATTTGGGATGTTTGCCAAAGCAGGCGACGCCATCGCGGTGACCGCTCAAATTGCACACAAACGGCTTGGCAAATACGCGATCCAATTTGGTGGCATTCAGTGCGCGCACATATTCCCTGGCACCCTCCAGCGGATGCAGCGCCGGATCGTAGTTGCGTGGAACTGCAATTTGGGAGTTGTTTAGTGTGTTTTTCCGGACGAAGTTGTCCGAGTTGCGACTTTTACTATTCACTTTCATCTAGTAAACAGCATCAATAAATTGGTTTGTTGTGCGTCTTACCTTTATGTTGCTGCAGCTTGGTCTCCCGGACATAGTTGTCCGGGTTGCGACTTATCATTTTCACTTTCATCTTGCAAAAAGCATCAATATATTTGACCAGTTGATATTTTATTTAACAAATAAAACCAAAACATGTGCGCACTTATTAATTAGGTATGGTAATGTCGTAGTATCGATAGTAGCAATTAGGGCATTAGGTATGGCCGTAATCGTAATATCGTAATATCGATAGTATCGTTTAATTTAGTTGCCACTGAACAGCTGTTCTGGTCTGTTAGGTTACGCGCATAACTAAATAAATTTGAATATTGCAACAGGTTTGTATGCGATTATTTATTGCGTGCATTTATGATTTATTTCATTAATTTAATATGTATAACATCCGAAAACAGTGACAATGCATATAAAACTACCGGCATCAAAGGTATTGCACAAATAATCATCAGAAAGCGTATCCCAAACAGCACGGAAGCCATGAAAGAACCCGGCACCGTTCTGTTGATATATAGAAACATTTATCACATGCTTGTAACGCTGTTGCAGGCAATATCCCATCATTTTCGTGTTGATAGTATCAGCAACATCGCGCACCCACTTTACAGCATCCCCAGCTTGATATGTCTTGCCTGTGCCCGTACAAAGTGCAACTAAGTCAAACGGATCTCACTTTGAATATGCATCCTTACCCTTTAGCTTTTCCACTAAAACACGCTCGACCATAAATCGTATAAATGGTATGGGAAACTTGCAGCCAAATGCGGGCCCCATATCGTACTCATTATAAATGGTGACATCTGTGGCCGGCAATGCTTCCGCATGCTGCTCATCTGAATCAGAATCGGATTCATAGAAACTGCCCGGTTGATTCGCCGGTGTACTCAGTTTATCTGTGCTAACTGCCTCGTTTCCTTTAGTCTTATCTGGATTGATAGTAACGCGATTGGAATTACGAGATTTTCGCACTTTTGCTGGTTGAACAAGAGTGCGTTTTTGTTTTTTCGTATCGAATAGCGGCATTTTGCCTTAGTTTTAAGATATATCTGATTATTAAGATTAAAATTAATTTGAGTTTCTTTCAGTACTGCCCCATTACGATTAACTAAACAACGATCACTGTGTTGTTCTTAAAATTTGTTCAGTTTATGTTTAGATCATGACATCCAATAGAAAGGGGACTTGGTTCGACAAACAGATCAGATGAGAATCTAAAAAGTCTATTAGGGCACACAAATCGTTTGATTACGTTTCAATTTGTTTATTAAGTGCACTAACTTTTTTTTTGCTATTTTCCTTGCTAAGCTTAACTATTTTTTTGTTTGAATTTTTCTTCCAAAAATGTCAAATAAAACATTTAACTTTGCAAGCACATAACCTAACAGTTAAGAGCAAATGAAATGAATGAATAAATTGAATTTTTTGGAACCTTTTTCAATGCTTCTGACGTTTCCGATGTCGCCGCTTCAGCTTTGGCGCATCCAATTGCGATGGACCGTTCGAACTGAATCCAGACGAGGCTGTCGTGCTCAGCTCTGGGCTGGGCAACTCCGGCTCCTGCTCAACGTGCAGGCCCTGCTGCCGTTCCAGCTCTTGTAGTTTGCGCAAACAGCAACAATTGCGCAGAGAACGCATAAATAACTCCAAATTTTGATTGAAGAGGGTTAAATGCTGCTCGTTGATGCCGGAGCCGCTGCGATCGCAGCTCTCAATGCTCATCTGGGCGTGCAGAATGCATTCGCTGGCATAGCCCAGCGTTTCCTTAAGGATGCAGATCTGCTGCTTCTTCTTCTGCTGCATGTGCATATAACGTGTACAGAGCGCTTCCAGGCGCCGGTGCTCGCTGCGATAATCATTGCAAATGGAATCATATTTGCCACGCAACACCTCCAAGTCGCACTGAAGAAGCTTAATGGCCTTATCCTTCTTGGCCAACTGCCGATGGGTTTGACGATGAGAGGCTTGGAGTTCGTCGTAACTGAACGTGATAAAATTAGGTGAATGATAAGATTATAGTGTCCAATTTAGCATTAAGTCGAGCTTTAGTTTTTTCTTACTCTAAGCTTTTGAAAGCTTTTATTAATAAGGCCTAGTTCAGCAATAAGTCGGAGCTTTAATTTAAAAGTTTTTTAAATAATATACTCCAGTTCAGCAAAAAGTGGAAATTCGTTTTTACGAACTTTAAGCTTTCAGAAGCTTTAATTTATTTTACAATAAGCCGGGCTTTCCCTTTTTAAATATACATAAGTATTTTGAAAGCTATTTAAATACTGCTGTTGACCAGTTCAGTAAAGTCTAGCTTTGATTTTATAATTGACTGAAAGCGCCCGAAAGCTTTTTTTGCCCAGATCATAATTAGTCGAGCTTTTACTTGTTTTCTATCTTACTTAAAGCTTTTGAGTACTTTTTAATCATTGGTCGAGCTAATTTAGTTCAGTTCAGCACTGAGTCAAGATTTTATATTTACAAACTTAAAGCTGTTGCAAGATTTGAAAGTACAGTTACTGCTGCTACACTATCATAGGACTTATCCGATTGTATAGTTCAGCAATAAGTCTAGCTTTCATTATTTACGTTTAGCTTTTCAAAGCTTAAGTCTACTTCACAAAGAGTCGAGCTTTAAGCTAAATACTATCAGACTTAAAGCTTTTTGAAGTTTTTAAATCATACTTACCGCTGTTGCATTAGCAGTGGACTAATCGAGCCATATAGTTCGCCTTTGGTGTGCAGCCGCATGCCGTTCAACAGCTGGGATTCCGGCTCACTCTCGCTGGAGGAGTCGGCATCGACGCCACGCAGCAGCTGCACCAGTCGCTCATTGCGTTGCTTTTCGGTGTCCAGCGAAAAGTTGAGCTCGTGTATGCGCTCCGTTTGACGCTCCAGGGCCATGCGCAACTTGAACTCCTGCTGCTGATCCTCGTAGAGCGTGTGCTCCAGCTCACTGACCTTGTCAAGAATTTGATGAACCGTTTGCTTATAAGGCAGACGGCGTGGATTGATCCGTGCCACAGGCTCACTGAGATGATGGCCACTAAGACTGTCCAGCTCTGTGGAATTGCTGTTGCTGCTCGGCGGCGTCGATAGCTTAGCTGGTTCCGTTGGGCTTTCGCTTGCCGTTGGCGTTGTGTCCAGCTGCTTCTTGGAGCCGACGGCAGTTCTCAGACTATTGCTCAGGCTTCTGGCCAACGCGCCCAAGTTCATCCTTGGTCTGTGAAGTGTTCAACTGTCGTGTTCGTGGTCGTGTGTGCAAAGTTGTTTTTTTATTCGCCTTGTTTGTTTGTTGTGTTGTGTGCTGTTAGCTTTGACTGCGTCGTCGACTGCTTTGTGCTTAGTTTGTTTTTTTTTTCTTCTTTTAACTCAGTTTATTTTATTCTTGTTTTTTTTTTTTTTTGCATTCCTCACCAGCCGCTCTCCATATGGTTAGGCCAACTTTTTAAATTGGTTTCAGTTCTTAACACCTTCCACCCGGCAGTTTCTTTGGCACTCAATCAAAGTTTTCCATGTTTTGGGGGCACTTGTCTCTCTGCTGCGCTTGTTAGTCGTGCGTAAATTGCCGTTAGCAAAGGGTCTGTACAGTTAGTACACTTATTGCATTTTTATGGTTAAAAGTTTTTGTGGCTCAAAGTGTGTCCTTGATTGGAATGGAAGACGGAATGAGCTGAGCCCTGATTGCGTCAACTGGGTACATAAAGGATTTCATGCATATATAAAGGAGGAATTTTAAGAAGGTTGAAGGAATGGGCACAGTTGGATTATAGAAGTTGATAAGGGATGGGAACAGCTGGTATAAAAAAGAGCTATGGATCGGAGCAACATATAGTTTAATTAACTATTTATTATATTGCAGACTTACGTTGCAAATGTAGGTTGATATAAAATGGAAATACAAGCTGAGCTAAAAATATCTAGTTTTGTTAACAATTTATTATTTATTTATTATTTTATAGTTTTGTAGAAGAAGGTTCAGGGTATCTCCTAGTCAAGCACTCCCGACTAGAGCAAACAATTTGTTATGTTGCAGCTTTAAGTTTCTTTTTATTTTTTATAAAAATGTTATAGAAAGTTTTTCATATATTTTGTACAACAAATAAACAATAAACAATTATTATGTTGAAAATTTAAGTATCTTTTCCATTTTTTTAAATTTTGTTTAATTCTTTTTATATATATATTTTATGAACTAAGTTTCTAAGTTCTTGAGGCTTAAAGTTATTTCTTGTGCTTATTCCAGTTGGTTATTTATTTTACATTTAAAATAAGTCTTGTTATCAATATTTTTGGTTTATTTACACTTTGACTTTTATCTGCTTATCTTAATGGACAAGTTACGTTTCATTTGAGCTTTTGTTGCTATAGGTGTAAATTTATATTCTCTTCATTCAGAAATTGCAGTTTAATAAACAAATCTTATCTGTACATAAAGCACAGATAGTAAAATATATATGACCTGCATTGTAAATGGAAGTTTTTGCCTTTTTATGATTGTCATAAATAAACAGCTAAAAGCAAAAATATTAAGTTCTGCAACAGTTCATTATGTTTTATTGAACTTCATATATCATTTAATTTTCGGCACACACGAAAAGTCGCTGCAGCGGATCTGTAAAGTTTATCAAACATAACCGGAAAATGGAATATCTCAAGCGCCCTCTCACTATCTCTCTCTCTCTCTCTCTCTCTCTTGATAAGCCAAGCCAGTCGCTGCGCTCTTTTCAGCTGTCGCAGCATTTGTAACAGCTGAGCGGCACGAGCTTCATTCTGCTGTGAAGCTTTGACGGCGCTGGCAGCTGTCTCTCTGGAAGGGCAAGCGCAATTGTAACAGTTAATTAAATAGATATATATATATAAATAAGACTTGGACTCGGTTTGTTGTTTCCATTGCCAGACGATGTCACGCCTTATTGCCGGCGCCCGCGGCCTATTCAGACGCCATCCCTTTGTGACCAATAGCGCCATCTATGGCAGCCTCTATGTGGGTGCGGAGTTCACACAGCAATATGTCTCCAAGCGCTGGCTGGCGGTGAGTGGAAGCAGTTGCATACATACATACATATATGCCCAAGTGCGGGGGGAGGCTAATTAGATTTATGTGTCTTGCAGCGGCCGGAGGAGCGTGAGGATATCGATTATGCAACTGTAGGACGCTATGCGGTAATGGGCACCGCCATCTATGCCCCATCACTTTACGCTTGGTTCGTCTGCCCCACACTTAACATATGTAATACGCACTAACACATGCACACGCACACATATGCATATTACTAATGTATACATGTGCTTATTGTGTCTGGGCAGCAAGCACCTTAATTGAACAACAACAACAAGACGCACACACACACACACACCCGCACACGCATACATATTACCCCCCCTCTCTCTCTCTCTTTACTTAGATTGTAAATTGTCGCATGTTTTTATTTGGTGGCTTCTTTCGTTTCTTTTATCAATTTGTTTACTATTTGCAAAAGCTGCCCAGCACGTGTATGCCATCAAAGAGCACTTTTGGCCTCTCTTTCTTCACTCTCTTAAGCAGCACCGGCAAGAGCGCAAAGCTTTTGTGCATAAAGCTCCAGCCAAGCACGCTACGCACCGTCGAATGAGGCATATGTGCACGCTAATGCAACAGATATGTAAGTGTCGGATAAAAGCCACACGAAACACCATCTACAGATACAAAGATACACTAAGAGGCGATTGTTCACGCATATATATAGTCCAAAGTTACACTAATCTCAAGCACTCTACGTATACTTCATTTCGTTATCATATCTGCCTTGTATTCATATCACAGTTGAGCGTCGCTTTCTGTTGATTGACTTGTCTTACATCAATCTTAGGTACAAATGGCTGGATGGCACTTTTCCAGGCACATTGAAGACAACGATTTTAAAAAAATTGCTGCTGGATCAGTTTATATTGACACCATATTGCTTGACATTATTTTATACAGGTGAGCAAAACCTTGAAAACTTTTTAGAAGAAATACTCAAGTTCTTAAGTTTACCAAGAGTTTGTTATAAAATACTTCGTAATATAGGCAGTATATAAATTGATTGAAATCTTTAAAATGCCTTAATTGTATATGTTAGTATTTTAAGCTATTATATTTTAATGAACTTCATATATATTCTTTTTTGTAAACCTATTCAGGCATGGCTCTTATGGAGGGCTCTGAGGATACATTTGAGGAGCTGCGCGCAAAATTCCTGCCAACTTTTATACGATCGTGTGCCTTCTGGCTGCCCGCACAGGCTCTGAATTTTATGTTTATAGCGCCAAGATTTCGCATTATCTATATGGGAGTATGTGGCATGATTTGGGTGAACATTTTGTGTTGGATAAAGCGACAGAGTCTTACCACAGAGACAGCAACAACGACGACGACAACAACAACAGTAGGCAAGTGCAATGTCAAGGCGTGATTGGATTAGCTGGTAGCTTAACACATACATATACATATATAGGTACATTTTTATATATATATATCCATGTATATTTGATAAAGTGCAAAGTAGCTTTGCCAAATAAATACATTCCAAATGCTAGATATGTGTACATACATACATAGAAATGTATTATTTAACCTGGGCACAAAATGCTGGGCAACACAGTGCGTATGATTGATGTTGTTATAAAAGGAAACCCATCAATTACTACTTATACATGCTGTCTGTGCGCGTGTGTGTGTGTGTGTGTGTGAGTGTGAGAGTTTGTGTATCTGTGTGAGCATCACTTTGTGTGCTGCGTGAGTAAACGTGTTTAATTGTGTGCGTATGTGCGTAAATGTTTCATCAATATTTGGTACACAAACAACAACATTAGAGCGCCGAGAGATGGCAACTATTTTGTGCCAGAACATACTATAATATAATATAATATAAAATAATATATGTAAGTAAGTTAGCCAGTAAAAGAATGTCCTAATGTATTTAACAGCTAGAGATGAAACGATATCTGTAAGCGGCGGAGTATGCAAAACTATCGAATACAACTTTTGCAGATAAGCATTGGGAATTTTTCGAAGAACCTGGTCGTTGTCAACAAATAATAATCAATTAAAAAATAAATAATTTTTTTGGGATAATTAACAATTATTTTATAGATTTACTATATTTGCAAGGTTTAGAGCTTTCTCCTCAGAAAAATTTTAAATGTTGAAAAAAATATATATGTTTTCATAAAGAAGACTTTTTGATGTATATATGACAGGTGGACACAAGACAAGACCTTCTTCCTATGAGATACTTAATCAGATGTGCTCAAATAAGTCCAGAGAGTTCTCGTTTCCTATATGATGTGTAAATAGCTCGACCTTAAGTAGAGCTCTCTCTCTCTATCTCACTGTCTTAAGGTACTTCTAGAGAAATCTATGCCCTATACGATGAATAAGAACCTCTTCCTTGAATATGGAACTCACACTTTCTACCATTTTACGATTAGATGTGATAAAGTCTAAATCTACTCCCAGTTAAATGCTTAACTTCCTTGTGTATTCCAGAACACAATCTCTGCCTCCCTTTCTCTAATTCTCTGCCCATTGCTTAACCGATAGTCGAACTATCGCCCATCTTTATGAGCTCAGGTCTTTCATCTCCCCGCCTGAGCTGCTAAACTAATTAGATGTTGCGTGCTTTATGTCCTTCTCATGTATTCCCCCCCAATTCCATTTGTGTCCATGTGCGTCTGTTTAACTTATTGCTGTCTATTTAAATTGCAATTTGTCAATAGGCGTGTGTGCGCCCACAATTGGCCACGCCCAGGCAGAGGCAGCCACTACTCCGTTCTCTATACTCTCTATATCTCTATCTTTCTCGTAGCTCGACTTAACGCTTAACGCTGGGCATACAATTAAACTTCTTGTACAGTCATTAACAGCACATAACTTGGGCCAGCCTGTTCTTGGGCTAAACTTGGCAGACGCAGCGCCCTCGCCTAAACAGCTCGACAAGAACAAAAACAACTGAATGGGGGCGGGGAGGTAAGGATAGGGTAGGGGCCGGGGTGTCAGTGGGTCGTAGTCTAAGCCATTGCGGCTGCCCGGCTCCTTTGGATCCCCGCCGACCGCGCGCCGAATGACTTTGACGTAGAAAACGTTCGCTGGTACTTTTTATTTACATCCGCTTGTTTGTTCAAAGCGGAAAATTAATTCCATCTTGGCTTGTTTCCGTTTATCTTGGAAAACGTATTCCCCGTGCCCGTCCACGTCCTCGCCCTCGTCCTGGCCCTGGCCCTGGTCTGCGTCCTGGCACTCGTCTATTCGCACCACTTCCCTGCTGCCCGTTTCGCTTTGTGCTGCTGCTTTACTTTTATTTTCGGCTGCGAAAACCAGCGAAATCTGCTGACCAACTGGAATTGTCTGCCCCTTCGCTCCAACCTCGCATTTTTATATTATTTCGGCGTCTATTTATGTACTTCATATACTTGCGGGCTCGTTCTGGCCACTTTTGAGCCCAGTGTAGCCCAGAATTAGGGTATTTAAATATTGTCATAAGGTTTATTAGATGTTATAATGGGTAATTGGATATCTTATCAAATTTGTATGCTCATGGATCTTAAGAGATTTCTGTTTTATAAATAAGGCTAAAGTTGAAGTTTCACGGAAAATCAGAGCCCAAGCATGTGAAAAACCCTGTTGAGAATCGCAAAGAGAGGCATTGATTTGTTATAGGCTTGTTAACCCGTTCCTCAGAGCTTTTTTCAGTTAATGTTTTAAAACGTAACTGAAAATTGATGTCTTTGTTAAGCAATAAAAGTTTTCTGAAGTTTAAACAAAGTTTGCTTCACTTTATTAATTATGTTCATCAAATGGTTTTAATTATTATTTGTTTTCTTTATTTGCAGCAAGTGCCTGGCAAAGTCAACTTTACTTAGGCAAGCATTTAAATGCTAACATTTCTTCTGTTCTTTTTTTTCAACTTGTAGCCAGAAAATGTGTAGAAAAGGCAACTTTATAAGGTATAATGGCTTATAAGTCTAGATGAGCGTAAAGAGAGCCAGCGATTTAGTCAGGTTTATATGGTTTAAATGTTTAATAATAATCTTGAGAATCTTGAAGCAAACCTTCGTTCATTAAACATTTGATACGCATTCCGTGAAAAACGTATTTAATCAATTTTCACAAATTTCTTTAAACAAAACAAATGCAATTTTTTCTACAAATTTCCACAGTTGCGGGTGGAATTTCCAAAACCGCTGAAAAATCAGATCAGATGCTTGGATTCTGCGAAAAGTGTGAAACCCGTGGATTTTCCGGGAAGTGTGAAACACGCATCAAATGAATTTGAATAAACATATTTGAAAATGAGTATGAGGCCAATCAAAAGTGTTTCACACAAACGTTTTTCGTGATTTTTCCACTCTTTTGGGTGGAATATCCCCGCTTATTTAGTTACAGGACATGTCTAAGCCGTGCATTGCCGACTCTTAAGTCTTGTTTTTTTTTTTTGGTTTGTTTACCTTTTAATTTTTCTTTTGCTGTCCGCCCTCCGCTCGCACACAATGCTCTCTGTGCCTGGGGGGGGGCGTGAAACTAGCTAGCCCTAGACTGCCCTATAACACGTATATTAAATTAAAAATTAATTTAGAAAAACAAACACAGTTATGGTATACAGTAGCAGGAGCTGTTGTAGCTGCTGAAGAATAAGAATACTTACTAAGAAGCTAATACTTACTAATGCTGCTTCATTTGATTCAATTACCGGAAGCATTCACCCAGCTGAGAATCACTTCTCGCCAGAGATCTCGGCGCTGGCTGTGTTTATCTTGTGCCACGCGGCGCAGAACTTGTTGTAATTACCGAGAGACCGAGACTGAGACCAAGACAAATAGAAAATGGCGCAAAAACGAGAAATTAATCAGCGTGGCGACTGTGGTGGGGGGGGGTGGCAGTGTGGGGGCGGGTGTTGATGGCGTGGGCGTGCCGCAGATTTTGATGGAACCGGACGTAATGTGAAGCGCTCGGCAAATATGTATGTGCCCAAAAGTGTCCACTGTTTGCCCAGTTTGATGGCCATGACGGCACTTTCACACGCGCACAAGCTCCGCCGCATTATAATTTTAAACTACCCAGTGGGAAAATCATGCCCCCCCCCCCCCTTTTTTTTGCCCCTCACACACACACACAGAGAGAGAGAGAGTCGGGCTCCCCGTTGCGGCACATTTGTTCGCCGGCATGTGAAAATTGATTGCTGTTGTTCATAGCTGCGGGATATGGCCAAAGTTTTTTAAGTTCCTCAAGCCGCGCTGCGTCGCGCCGCGCTCCCAGTTGCCCAGTTCCGTTCTTTATTTCGCCAACTGTTCTTGTTCTTGTTGTTGTTGTTGTCGGCGCTGAAAAGCTGAAAACAATGCGCATTCCGCTTGCGGCTCTGCTGCGCCTCGAATGGACTTTTCTTTTTTGTATTATTAAGAAAGTTTTGTATAGTATAAGTATTTTTTTCCTTTTTTTTTTTTTGCTGCTGCTGGTTTTACTGGGAGTTGGAGTATATTTACATTTGGCAGTTGGCTGCGTTAAGCGGCTTGGGTTGCCATGGCGGAGCTCTGTTGTCCTGCTCGGATGGGACCACTCCGGCTGGCTGGTCAAAAAAACTGGCTGCTGGTGCTGAAATTCTTAATACTCTGTTACCTTGCCGTGCAGACAATTTGCTGGCCCATCGGACAAAAAGCTGAACAAGTGTGTGCGGCGTGTTTTATAATTAAAATAAGATGGGGACAAAAAAAAAACAAAAGAATAATAAAAAACAAATAAATGCGGATAACTGTTGGCATGGCACCTATTAACGCATAAAGCTTTTGGCAGCCATTGTGAGTGGGAAATGACAACAAGTACGGTACGCTAAATCTTATTTTAAATTAATTATAATTTATTAAAAATGTACTTGTGCACATATTGTTCTAACATATATGCGTATTTACTTTTTTTTCGCACATAAAGTAAAAAAACATATTGACAAGCTGTGAATCTATAGGCCGTACTTGAGTTTATGAGAATCGCATATAAAGGCTGTATTAAACAAATGAGAGAGCGAGAGTGCAATAGATATTGAACAGAGCAGGGGCGCGTGTCTGAGAGATTGGCACATAAAAAATTAGTAATAAGTAATAGTAATAATATCAAGAATAAATATAAATAAAGTAAAGGGGAGATTTAGAGCAAGAGAGAGAGAGAGAGATATAGAGGGACAGAGGAAGAGATGAAGAGTGAATTGAGTCAGAAAGGAGGGGAGAAAGAGGAGAGAGGAGGTGATGGGGAGAGATAGACAGAGAAAGGGAGATAGAGGGAGAAGAAAGACATGAAGAGGGATATAGAGAGAGAGAAAGATATATATATATATATAAAGAGAGAAAGAGAGAGATATAGAACAAATAGAGAGAAAGATTGATAGGGAGAGTAAGTGATCAGCCATGACGAAGTGCAATTCTCCAAACAAGCTAACAATAACCCGCGAATCTTCAAGATACTTAAGTTCTCGCTATGAAATTCGCATAGAAGAGCAGTTAATAAATATTTCTACACGCGAAAGCATTACTTTTGAGCGACTTCTCTTCATAGC